AATTAAAAAATACATTTCTTATTGTGAAGACAGCAGGGAAGAATCTTTCAAACAGAATGATCAAGTATTCTTAGCTGTGAAGTGTGCAACTCTTGTTATAAACAAAGCCACCCATTCCCTGGTGACCTGCTGGCACCCCACTCAGAGTAATGACCATGAAGAATTCCTGTGTGTCCTTGGTGCTGGGCCTGCAGCTGCTGGCAACTGAGCCACCACACCGAAGAACAGGGTAGCACACTCTGAGAACACGCAGGTGGGTACAGAGCCAGATTCAAACACTTGCTGGGCTTATGGTCCTAAGTAAACCATTATGATCTGTCTTCTGTCTTATCTTTTCTGGAGTTTTCCCTTGAAGTCACAGGTTGGTTTTTTTTTTTTTTTTCTCCCCTCTTTTCCTGAATTCAAATACTTTGTGACTTTCAGATTTTCTACTTAATTGTGTTGACTTTACTGCTGGGGTTGTTTTTGGCTTTTGTTCATAGCAGTTACGTATATAGAAACCCAAGTTGATGGAACATCCACACTATTGCTCAACTTAAATGTTGAGCCAAATGTGACAGACACTTTTAATGTTTTCTTACCGTTTTTAGATGGCTATGGCTGGGGTTGCAGCTCAGTGATAGAATTCTTACTTAGCATTTGGGAAGCTCTGGGTTTAATCCCCACTGCCGAGGTTAAAACTGCTAGACAGCCTCACTGTTTTTAATGCACTCTGGTAGCCAGCCTCCTGGATGACCCCAGATATCTCCATCTTTCCTGCCATTAACTGGGACTGACCCAAGTAACAGACTGAGGCAAGAACGATGGAGCATGACTTCCAAGGCTGTTAAACGCATCAGTGCCAGCAAATCTCCGATCTATCTATCTTTCTTTTTTGAGACAAGGTTTCTCTGTGTAGCCTTGACTGTCTTGGACTCGATTTGTAGACCAGGCTGGCCTCAAATATATAAGACTGCCACGGACCGGCCCCTTCGGGTGCCCCACGTCCAAGGGAGAATCAGAGAATTCGGATATCAGGAAGGCACAGAGAGGCGAAATGACAGACTCACACCAGGTGGTATTGGTTTGGATCTTCTGCGCTTTACTGAAGTCAAGCCAACACTTTTATAGTAATCTTACAAAGAAGCACCTTAAAGTTGACATATCCCCCGGAACATTTACAAAGTTTATATTTTAACTGAAAGAGTAACCTGGTAGAAACAGTGTCTACAAAAATCTTGGTCTAACAGCCTCTTAAGCAGAGCAAACATAGAACTAGTGACTTGTTTGCCAATTTATCGAGTAGAGGGCCAGGGGCTTGTTAAACTTGTGGTCTGTTTTCGTAGTTTATTGTTAGTTAATTAGGGGTTGTTAATAATCAGAGATAAGATACTTGAGCTAGCCTGTCTGTAAAACTTATAGTATAATACAAAAATTTTTGACCTTCTGTTTGCCTGTCTTCTTTCTGCCTCATCATAAATACCCGTGTTAGGTAATGGTTTTGTAGTAGCTTTACTGCAGTGGGAATATCCAGAGCATTTATCCTAACAGATCCTGATTAAACATTTTCTTTAGAAAGCCCTAAAACTCTTGTCCTTTTACCACCTACAATGTTTGGTTTTTCCACAAGCAATTCCTGATGCTGAATCTGATTTATTACCTCTCCTAAAATTTTATTTTCCTTCTACTCTTATTTGCTAAAGCTTTTAGTGATCTATTAGAAATGTTTCCTTGAATAGTTAACTGTACTGTTTCAAGAATCATAGAGAAACAGCAATAAAGGAGCTCATCAATTCCGGTCTTGTAACCAAATAAGCGTGGAACTTAAAATACATCTTTTGGCTTAGATGGCCATGTTAGGGTTCTTGCTAGGGACTTCCAGGAAGCTGATTCCCGTAGGAAACGTGTCTTCTGTCTGTTTGCATAATTTAATGCTTGCATAACATATTTTTATGCTATACAGACGGTTCTGGAGTTAGTGTAGCATAAGACCATCCCCAGCTTCAAATATCCAATTTTCAATCAGCCAAATGGAAATACCCACATGGTAAGAAACTGAAGCCTCAACAGTCATGTGAATCTCCAAGAAATGGAATCCACCAGGCCGGGCAGATGGATGGCACAGTAACCGAAGTCTCATAGAGAATAATCCTGAGTCAGAGCCACTCAACCAAGTGTTCCTAAATTCCTTATCCACAGAGGCATGGCAAATCCTTATTGTTTTAAGCCCATGGAATAGTTAATACATAATTGACCCTCTGAGATCAGAGGATTGGATCATATTTGTATCTGTCTTGATGTTCAGGGACCACTCTTTGCTTCTATTCTGATTCTTGGCTACAGTCCAGGATACTGATTCTGTCTCTGATCTCTTACATAAAACTGCTAGGCATTATTACAAAACCTACTGGGTAGAACAGCCAGAGGAGGTGGCTTTGGTTCTATACTGGTTAAAATCCAGTTTCTTGACGTGGCTCATGGTCAAGAGAGCTTGTTGCTCTAACAGAAGATCTGCGTTCAGTTCCCAGAACCCAGTTCCAACAGTTCACAATTACCTCTAATTTCAGGTCCATGGGGTACACACTCTAAAAGAATAATTAACAACTACAAAATAATTAACAAGTCCAGTTTCTGACTGTTGCTGGTGCACACTTGCAATTCTAGGACTCCAGAGGCTGATGTGGGATGACTATATGCTTGAGGCCATCTTGGCCTACACAATTAAAGAGTCTCAGAAAACTACAGGCTGGTGATGCAGCGCAGAGGCAGGACACCCGCCCAGCACTGTCAAGGTGCTGGCTTTAACCCCTAGCACTACACAGATACAGAAACGCCACTTCAGCTACTTTGCCCTGTACTTTAGGGCTTGGTCGGCTTGCTCTGGAGTGACCCGAATCTGGGGAAACCAGTTGGTAGGAAAACAAACATTGAGAGTCACAAAGCCATGGAGCAGTATTAATGAATGTGTCCTTTCTTAATCTCTTGCATAAAAACTTAGTCACCTGCAGTAATAACTTTCTACCTTATTGGCTGTGGCAAGTATTTCACAAGTAAACGGACAAAGCTCAGAGTGTTTCCTACCTGAAATCATCACTCCTAGATTTGAAAGAATATCACACTTTAGTCCCTTAAGTCAGAACTTCCCCTCTTCCCCTCCTTTGCTCTGCACAGACAATCACCATGTTGTGTCCTCTATTTCCTGAGTGCACCTTAAACAATTTCCCTTTCCCTACTCTACTACCATTCTTTTCACTGAGGCCCTCACCCAGGTTCTTGCCTGGTACATTCTATGGCCTCTAGGCCAGGCCCACCTAACTGAGTTACTATGCAGTTGTGAGTATGGCCTTTAACGACTCAGGGGCCATCCTTTTACCACCTACAGGGGAGAGGATTTTTTTTTTTTTTATGCAGAGGGCTGGTGAGAGAGCTGGAGCTGGGGGAAGGTAATGGCACTGGCAGCCACGGCTGATGACCCACGTTCGATGCTAAGGGACTCCATTGTGGAGGAGGGGAGCTGACTCCTGCCAGTCGTCATCTGGGCTCCACATTCACTCATCGGCACTAGCAAATATAAATAATAAATATGAAAAAAAAAAAAACCCAAAAAAACAAGTTCCCATAATGGCACCTGCGTTCCACAATAGCTTTAGAAATTAATTTCAGATCAAAATTCCTGTCTTGGTACCAAGAGCATGAGTTTAGACACGGGTGGTCTGTTGACTCACAAGATAATGGCAGGGGGCAGTTATCACAGTAGGGCAGGTGTTGCCCTTCCTGCTCTACGAGTTTCTCCACCTGTGCCCCACTTTCTGTTTCTCAACATGCAGCCGGTACACAGTCACATGAGTCTTTAGGCATAATGTTAACAACAACAAAAGTCAACTTAAAAAAATGATGGTGGTGGCGCACACCTTTCACCCCAGCACTCAGGAGGCAGAGGAAGGCCGATCTCTGTTGAGTTCTAGGCCAGTCTGGTCTTCATAGCAAGTTCCCCAAAAGCCAAGGCTATATAATGACACTTTCTCAAAACCGACCAACCAAAAAAAAAAAATTCCATTTCAGACAGGTGTGGGTCCTCCCATCTGTAATCCTAGCACTTGGGAGAGTTTGGGACCAGGCTAGCTAGGCTGCCTACCCATTCCAGGCCAGTCCCTAAACAAACAAACGTTTCCAAGTGGCTCAGCAGAAGAATCTTCTTAAAGAGTTACTTTTTATTTATGTGTGGGTGCCTGACTGTCTGTTCCTGCATTATGTGGTTGCAGTGCCCACAGAAGCCAGAAAAGGGTGTAAGATCCTTTGGAACTGGAGTTACAGGAAATTGTGAACCCCCAGACATGGGTGCCGGGAATTGAACTCCGGTCATCTGCAAAAAGCAGCAAGTTCTCTTAAATGCTGAGCGCTCTCTCTAGCCCCAAGAGTATAACCAAACTCATCCAAAAACCTAACAAATAGGTGATCGATGAGAATGGCATTTGTGAGAGTTGGTGACTGAGAAAGAACTAAAGGGAGACAGAAACAAGCTGTTCCCCGCAGAGCAGGCATGCTGTTCTTAGAAGTGCAAGTTTTCCAGCCACCTAAAAGTTTATGGGAAAGCTCCTAGGCTACGATTAAACATCTCCCACAAAAAAAGAAAACAAGAAGTAATCACACTATCTAAGATAATTTTCCAGGGTCTTCAAGTGTCCTGACAATAAAACCTTAAGACAAACTGCCCCGATGGACAGAGACTCACCAAAGACATTCAAAACTACACAGCTAACTTGGTGTCTGGTCCACCTATTCCTTCCTTATGAGCATGGCTCGAGTGAGCTTGCGAAGCTCAGACCCCTGATCTTGAAACTTCGCAGTCCCATACCCGTAAAGGTAACAGGCCAGATTACCAACGTAGGGGACAAAGTCCTAGCCACCTGGGTTTAGGGGGGAAGTAAGGACACAACTAGATTGCGGTTGCCACTCCACACGCTTCAGCACTTCTGCTTAACGACCCAGCGCCCTCCGGTGGATCACTCTGTCCCGTTCTCTGGCTGGTGTTAGCAGCCAGGGCGAGAATGACCCTGGCAGCGCCCTCGAGGAGGTGTTCTGGCGCGGGAACCACGCTCCTCCCACACTCAGACGTCCCGGAACCGCGAGGCGGTTCTTTCTCGGGCCCTCAAATCCATCGGGCTTCGGGACCTCACTCCACGATCCGGCCACACTGTAAGGGGCATCTGAAGGTCGCCAGCCATGAGCGGCCCGTTGCGATCCGGCCCGAGCACCTGGCGCCGGGCGGCCACCGTGATGCTGGCCGCGGGCTGGACCCGCCCGGGCCCCGCCGCCTCAGCGGCCGCCGAAGACTTCCGGCTGCTGTTCCTCCAGCGCTCGCTAAAACAGCGCTTCCTGCCGGGCGCGCACGTCTTCCCGGGCGGCGTGCTGGACGCGGCCGACAGCTCGGCCGACTGGCTGCGCCTCTTCGCGCCTCGGCACACGCCGCCGCGGTTCGGCCTAGGCCCGGCGCCGCTTCCGCGGCACCCCTTTCCGGGGCTGTTCCAGGGCGACGCGGACGGCGCGGCGCTGCCTGATGACGTAGCGGCGCGCATCTGTGCCATCCGTGAGACCTTCGAGGAGGCTGGGGTGCTGCTGCTGCGGCCGCGGAGCTCGGCGCCGGCTCCTCGGGAGCCGGGCCTCGCGCTGTCCCCTCCTCCGGGTCTCGCCGACTGGCGCTCGCGCGTGCGCAGTGACCCGCACTGTTTCGTGCAGCTGTGCGAGCATCTCGACTGCACGCCGGACATCTGGGCGTTGCACGACTGGGGCGGCTGGCTCACGCCGTACGGGCGCGGCAGCCTCCGCTTCGACACCACTTTCCTCCTGTGCCTCCTGCGAGAGACCCCGAGCGTGGATATCGACCTGGCCGAGATGGTGGGTTACAAGGTAAGGGGACCGCGGGACCCCCGGGATGCGCGAGCCTTACCCCAGACCAAAGGCGTTCCGACTCTCACCCTACGGGTTTCCCTAAGCGTGGACACGGCAGTGCCGCCAGCCGTCTGTATAGGGTTCACTTTCTCCTGCCGTCTTCATCCCTTCTCACTTTCTCCTTTTTCCTAACTCCCTTTCTCTTCTCTTCCTCCCTCTACTTTTTTTAAAAAAATAGTCTTTAATAAAGGTTGTAGATGAGAGGCCTCTACTGCATCTTTCGATCTTCCTTGTATTTGCCCTTCCCCTTTCCTACTTACCGAGACTTGGCTTTCCTTTCCAGGATCTTCTTAGTCTTTGTCCTGCTTTAGCCTGATGATAACCGCCTTGCTGGAGTGGGTGCCCACGTGGACCGTTTTCTCGTTGAAGTCGCTCATTGTAGATGGCATACTTCTTGCTGTACACCGTACTGCTTTGCCAGTCTGCTGGCCTTTGTGGACACCCCGAACTTTGGAATGGAGCGAACATTATATTCTGTCTCAGCTCTTTGGAAAGAGGGGAAGACGTGATCTATCTCCGAAAGTGAGACGGTGCATTGAAATGCTGTTTGCGGTTCTTGCTTTGGTCAGAGGTCACGAAGGGGTTGAACTTCATTTTGTCACCTACAATCCAGCGATGCCTGCAAAAGGAAAGAGTCGCTCTCCTTTTACCTTCTTTCCCTCCTTTTCTAATCCCTTTCTCCACCTTCTTGCTCCCTCTCTCTCTGTCTGTCCCTCTCTCTCTCTCCCTCCTCCCTCCTGCCCTGCCCTCTCTCCTTTGTCTCACTAACATCAGACACAGCTAGACTTCAGGCTTAGACCCCAAGGTCTTGAGTGTGCCACCACTTCAACTTTGTCTTCATCTATTCAAATGTTTTAAACCTTCTGTTATTTTCTTTTTGTAAAACAGACAAAAGGATTTACTTTGAATTGTGTATCTGTGTGATTAGAAGTGTCTAATCACCTGCAGTTGGAGTTAAGGACGGTTGTAAGCCATCTTGAGTGGGTGCTGGGAACTGAACTCAGGTCTTCTGCAGGATGGTTTCTCTCCACATCTCGTGGAGCCGTCTCTCTGGTTCCCTCCCCTTGTTTTCTGTAACTGCAATTACACATTTGTTGGACTGCTGAGTCCACCATGGGACACGGATGCCTCGTTCACTTGTTTCAGCCTTTTTCTTTCTGTATTTCATTTGAATAGACTCAATTGCTGGTTTTTGTTTTTTTGAAACAGGGTCTGTCTGTGTATCCCTGGGTGTCCTGGAACCGACTCTGTAGACCACGCTGACCTTGAACTCGAGAGCTCCGGCTGCCTTTGCCTTCCAAATGCTGTGATTAAGGGCATGCACCCCCATACCCAGCTTAATTATTGTTTTTTAGGTTTACACTTGTTTTAGGAAATGTCAACTGTAAATAGTGGAACAGCTGCCCGTAACTCAAGTCCTAGAGGATCTGATGCCCTCTTCTGTATAGGTGGTGTACAAATGTACATGCAGGCAAAGCACACACATAGGAAGAGTTAAGTATAAATTTAATTTTAAAAAAATTGTCTTTTATCATATTTTTTTCTGTTGTCATGTTGATATTTTCTTTACATCTTTGAACCAACGGGACTGCTGAGAACAGGGGCTAGAAAAGATAGCGTGATTGTCAACTTGTCGCAACCTAGAATTCCTTTTAGGAGCCTCATGGTGCCAATGCTTACGGTATTTCCACGGCAAAGTGTGCAGAGCCTCCCTGCTTCTCTTGAGCCGCTCACAAAGGCCTTTTTCGTCTATGGTTTCCTTTGAAGTACTGTCCAAAGCTTGGGTGTGCTTGCTCAGACTCTGGGCTTTGTCACTCTTTTCCTCTGAAGCCACTCCCCTATCCCCACTTCTAGCAGGTCACCAGCTAAGCCATAGCTGTCTCCCTTTAATCCACCTGGTCTCCCTTCTGCTAGCACCTGCTGAGATTGATGGCTTGAATGCCCTTTACTCCTAGGAAAATTGTCCTTGAGCTTCTCTCTCTCTTTTAAAGATTTATTTATTCTATGTATATGAGTGCTCTAGCTGCATGTATGCCTGCATGCCAGAAGAGGGCATCAGTTCCCAATAGAGATAGTTGTGAGCCACCATGTGGGTGCTGGGAATTGAACTCAGGACCTGTGAGTGCTTTTAACCACTGAGCCATCTCTCCAGCCTGAGCTTCTCTTTGAGTCTTTTTTAAATTTATCTTTTTTAAGAAAGATGTGTGAGTTACAAACCACATTTCCCTGTGCTTGACCTGTCCTGAAGTTTTTGATTGCATGTTAGCATTTGTTTTGAACTTTTTTTTATTTTGGGTTTTTGTTGTTGTTGTTTTGAGACAGGGTTTCTTTGTGTAGTCCTGGCCGTGCTTTGTAGACCTCGCTGCCCTGGAACTCACGGCAATCTGCCTGCCCCTACCTCCCCAAGTGCTGGGACTGTGGCACTGCGCCAGGTTTAGCATTTGTTTTTAAGTTGTTGAATGCTGGGTTTTGTTCTGCTCCTTTCAAGTGTTGCGCTTTGCTGGCTGGCAGTTAAGTTTTTAGAGATGGACTTTATCATTTTGAGGTTTATTTGAAATGGCTGTTTATTCGGAGCGCGTGGAGCTGTGATTCCATTAGGTGGCCTTCTCTGGTCATTTGAATGGAGGCGCTCCTTACATTCAATTAAGGCATTCCCACTGGCAGGGATACAGTGCTGGGGAAAATTGGGGAAAAAAAATGTTGCCTCCAAGAAAGCATGAAAACTTTAGTCAGAAACCTCCCCGGTGGTTGCTCTTTCCTCAGTCATTCTGCACTGTTGCAGGAAGGAATCTTTATAGGGCTAATAATGGTTATTATTTGCCCCATCATTATTACGGTGGTATTATCTAACTCGCTGTCATAATCAAGAAAGACGGAAGCCTGTTAGCTTTCAGATTTGCCTTACTTCACCTTGGGCTGGGCAGATAAAATTTCACCTATGCTATCTCATTACCTCCCAGCCCCCCAGCCCATGCCATGTGCTTTAACAAACATTCCTATCTGGACTACTTCCCATCCATAATCCCAAAATACTTGCTTATATTCTCCATCTGGGCCGTTCCTTTCCACGTCGGCCACGTGGTTCTTTTTCTATACCATGGCAACTCTGCTTTCTCCTCTCTCCTCCACCTTTCTCCTCTTCCTCCTCACGATCCTCTCTCCTGTAGAACCTTCGCCCTGCCCCAGTCACCTTTGCCCAGGCGTGTTAGAATTTTATTGGCCAAACTGGAAGGCAAGGTTTACAGCCTCTTTGGGAGTACTTAAGTGTCTGCTTTAAAAAACAGCAGGCAGATGGGAGGGGAGTGGAGGGGGAGCAACCACCATTAGAATAAATAGCACCAGACCAACCCCCAACAGTGCACAGGCAAGAAGTTGGTAGAGTCTTGGGGTTCAGTTCTGTGTAGATTTCCCTCAAGTACCTGTTCACCAAATACTACCCTGTGTGAGCCTCCCAAATTTTGGTCTGTGTCTGCTCCCGTCAGTAAGAATGCTAGATGCGGGTGCCGTGTGGTGGCACACACCTTTATTCTATTAAGCTCTTGTGAGCAAAAGGGTTTTTTAAATAATTGTTATTATTTTGTTAATTATAATTAATATCTTAATTAGCATTTGATAATTGTTGATACATATTATTTAATAATTGTTAACATTTTTAATAAGTATTATTACTTAATACTATTTGGTTGATATTATTTCTGTTCGTTAACAAGCGTGCAGATGACCATAGAGTCCAGAAGAGAGCGTTGGATTCCTTAGAACTTGAGTTATGGGTGGTTGTGAGTTGTCCAGCGTGGGTGCTGGGAACCAACTCTGGTCCTCTGGAAGAGCAGCAACTGCTTTTGCCCACTGAGCGCTCCAGCGTCTAGTTCTTTCTTTGCCAGACAGGAGCTCACTCTGTTACCGAGGAGGGACCTCAGCTGCTGGACTCAAGCAGTTTCTCTGCTCTGGCAGTACAGTAGGTGTAAGGCAGGGTCGAGGCCTCTGAGTGCCCTCACTGCCTGGGAGAGATCCGGCGAGGCCTCTAAGTTCATTTTTCAGGTCACGTGGATCGTGTGTCTCCACCCGGCTGCTGGCTGCTGGCTGCTGGCTGCTGACTGACTGATCTCACACAGCTTCTTCCGTTGTCTCCTACAGTGGTCATCCCCGACAGAGGCAACAGAACAGTTACAAACACAGAAAATGTGGCTGGCGCCCCCGCAGTTCTATGAAGTGAGAAGACTTGAAAACTTTGTTTCTTTCTCCGATCTGTGCAGATTTTGTTCAGATTGCCTGCCGGAAGCAGCTGAGAAGTGGCTGCCGATCATGCTCTCCACAGCTGACGGCGCCATCAACCTTCTCCCGGGTGAGTGAGGGAAGGGCCGGTGCCCTGAGTACTCACGTTTGGTACCAAGGCTGCCTGGCTGCGCTGCCCAGCAGAGACAGGAGTTACAACCTGCTTTATATCCTGGGCCTGTGGCATTAGGCCACATGTGCCCCCTGATAGCTCCGAATGCCGCCATCTACTACAAAATCATAAGCTTCCTTAAACCCTTGAGGGATGTTTTGTTGATTTTTTAAATTTTTTTAAGAATTTATTTTTACTTTATGTGCATTGGTGTTTTGCCTGCATGTATGTCTGTGTGAGGGTGGCGGGTCCTGGAATTAACAGTTGTTGAGCTGCCATGTGGATGCTGGGAATTGAACCCAGGTCAGTCCACTTAACCACTGAGCCATTTCTCCAGCCCGTTTTGTTTTTTGTTTTTATTTTAAATTGTTGTTGTTGTTGTTCAGCCGTGGTGCTCAGACATAAACTTTGTAATATCAAGACATTTCCCGGTACTAATTAAAAGAAGGTCAAAGTAGCCCAGCATGGTGGCACATGCCTTTAATTCCAGGACTTGGGAGACAGAGGCAGGCAGATCTCTGTGAACTGGAGGCCATCCTGGTCTACAAAGTGAGTCCAAGACAGCCAAGACTGTTACACAAAGAAACCTTGTCTCAAAAAAAAAAAAAAAAAAAAAATCAAAGGGGGAGGGGGAAAAAAGGTCAGAGTCATAAAAATACATATTTCTAGTTTCACTCTGTTCCTATGACAAATACCATGACCAAAAGCAAGTTTGTGGAGGAAGGATTTTATTTCAGATTACGGGTTTTGGTCCATCACTGCGGGGAGCTAGGGGCAGGAACTCAAAGGCAGGCTTTCAAGCATTACAGGCGACACTGCTTTCAGCCAAGCAACTCGCCTTACAACCAGAGCGCTACATCGGGAACCATGGAGAGTTCTGCTTGGCAGCTGGGTCACCAAGGGCTATGCTTAGCGAGCTTTCTTATTCAGTCCCGGACTCTCTGACTCTGCCCACCCCTACTCAAATAACAAGCAGGTCAGTCTTTCCACAGGCCAGTATGATCCGGGCAATCCCTCAGTTGAGACGCTTTTTCTCAGAGGACTATAGTCCTGCCTTCATTACCCCTGTTCCGGGATCAGAGGTGTGCCACCAAAGTTTCAGTTTTATTACAACTAAAAATTCTGAATTTAGAAACATGCATATATGTATACATATACATTTTTTCTGGGCATCGTCAAATTTCTTTTCTCATGTATTATCGCACTTTTACATTTTAGTTTTATGGGAGCTTGTGAACTGTCAGCTTGTTTGAATTAGGGAATTTGCTGCACAGTTACTGTTTCGCAAACTGATTCATGTTGTGGTGGGCACTCCTCTTTGGTTCCTGATAAGATTTGTTAATAACCCTAAGGAGGAACAGTTTAGCAGGCTTTGTTTCTTATGGTCTGTTTTTATTTTATGGTGTGTTTGCCTCCATGTGTGTATACACACCCCACCAGTGTGCCTAATATCCACAGAAGAGGCCAGAAGAGGGCACTGGATCCCCTGGAACTGGACTTACAGTGATAGTGTGCGGCCGTGGGGGTTGTGGGAACTGAACTCACGTCCTCCGGAAGAGCAGCCAGTATTCTTAACCCCTGAGCCATCTCCCCAACCCCTAGCAGTTTGATACAAATGATATTAAATCTGAATTAAGTGAGTGATTGAGATTTGGCTCAGTAAGTACTTGCTGTGTAAACATAGCATGTGACTTCATATGGCCAGTATTCACGTCAGAGGCCAGCCTGTGGCCACCGTAGTCCCGGCTGAGCAGGTAACTACAGGAGATCCTTGGGGCTTCCTGGCCCGTGAGTCTCACTAAATGGATGAGTTCCAATTTTGGTGAGAGTCCCTGCCTCAAGGAAAAAAATAAATAACGTGGAGAGTGATGGAGGAAGGGCCTCAGTGTCATCTGTGTCAGCTTCTGGCCTCCACGTCTGTACAAGTAAACGGTAAACAGAAGAAAAATTTTAAAATAAGGAAAATAGATTAAGATGATCAGAACAAACCCATATGAAAACATCAAAAGTGCTGTTATTAAAGCAAACATTAATGTTAATGTTTAATAGGCTAAAGAGAGTCATGAAGTAGTTCAAAACTTGCAGATCTTTTGGCTGGACATGTGAGTTGATGGAGTGCTTGCCTCCCTTGAATCAAGGCCTCAGTTTTATTCTCAGTGCTGCTGAATTATGATAAATTATAGTTCATAATAGAGATACTATAGGCATCAATTAAAAAAAAATCTTACAGGGCTGGAGAGATGGCTCAAAGGTTAAGAACATTGCTTGTTCTTCCAGAGGTCCTGAGTTCAATTCCCAGCAACCACATGGTGGCTCGCGATCTGGTGCCCTCTTCTGGCGTCCAGGTGTACATGCAGGCAGAACATTGTATACATAATAAAATAAATAAATCTTAAAAGAAAAAGAAAACTACACTTTAAAAATATTTATTTTATGTATGAGTGCTCTATCTCCATGTATGCCTGCACACCAGAAGACAGCATCAGAGTCCAGTAGAGATGGTTGCTAGGAATTGAACTCAGTACCTCTGGAAGAGCAGACAACACTCTTATCTGATGCACCGTCTCTCCAGCCCATTCATTAGTTTTGATAGTGTGAGGGCCTGGGTTTGGATCCCTTGAACTGGTGCAGAGAGCCAGGCCTGGTGGCAGGGTCTGTAATCCCAGCATTGTAACAGCAGGATGGGAAGCCGTGACGGGCAGATCCCTGGAAGTTCATGGACCAGCTCTCCTGCCCCAGTTGGTGAAATGCCAGGCCAGTAAGAAACCCCATCTGAAACAAGGGGTGGAATGTTCTGGAGGAACACGTGGGATTGTCCTCTAGCCTCCGTTGAGTCCTCATGCTTGCCTGTAGTTGTGCACACACTCGGTAGAGGAAGAGACCCCTCTCTTTAAAAACATGAAACAGGGCTAGAGAGAGTCGCAGTGGCTGGAGGCTGTGCTGTTTTTCTCTCCCAGAGGATCTGAATTCAGTTCCCAGTATCCACCCACCTCAGGCAGTATACATGCACACAGATACACACAAATAGATTAATAACAAAATAATTTTTTTTTTCCAAACAGGATATCCCTGTGTTGCCTTGACTGTCCTGGACTCACTTTGTAGACCAGGCTGGCCTCAAACTCAGAGATCTGCCTGCCTCTGCCTCCCCAGTGCTGGGATTACAAGCATGCACCACCATGCCTGGCAAGAAAATAAATTTAAAAATAAAAGTAGCAACAAGAAAAACACCAACTAATTGTCAACATCGAGTACATACAAAAAATTCTACTTTATGTCATTGATAGGTTGTGCCTTGTGGAAATTAATTTTTACTATTTTTCAGGAGATGAGCTGTATGTGAAAGACTCGGACTTCTTAGAGAAGACTATGTCTACTGACAAAAAGACTGAAGAGATTTTGAAGGAAGGCAAAGTGGTTAACCGAATTGTGTTCCATGGTCTCCAGTGCTGTGAAATCCACGTGAATCTTCCATCCAAGAATAAGCACGTATACCCCAAGACCTACATCATGGATAAGAGCCACACTGCACGCTTGTAAGCTCTTCTGCTTATGCTATAAGGAGGAGTGGCTGAACTTGTCTGAGATCTAAGGAATGCTAAATGCACAATGAGCTGTTTCTTGTGTCGTGTGCATTGCGGGAGCATCTGCCATTCTTCAAATGGCACAGCAAGCCACAAGTATAAAATATATGAAGTATTAAAGATCTTGTTACCAAGCTACACATTTTCACAATGGTTGTTTTATTAGCTTAACATTTAAAGAGGGGTCTCCTGCCATCTTCTAACCATCCCATCTATTAGCAGGTTTCCTGGTATGCTGTGGAGACTGAGCCCTGGATCTCTCAGACTTTCTGTAGGAGCTAATGCAGCTAATTAGGCAGTTTTAGGATTCAGATGGATGGTGTCCCCACATCTCTAGCTACCCTAGCTGGTGGCACTGTTTTGGCAGGTTGTGAAAACCATGGGGTGAGTTTTAGCTGAGGTGGTGGGTGTTGAGGGATTGAGTCGCACCTCTGTTCCAGCAGAGTTGAATCTCTGGTTCCTGATCTGGGGAGGTGAGAGCTGGCCGCCTCAGATTTCTGCCTTTATGACTGTCACATGTTTCTTTCAGGCCTTTGATCATAGTAAGGAAAAGTGTTAACACAAATAAACAGTGATTGAGACAGATACTCAGCTGAATAATTTACGTACAGTATTTAAAACCAAATGGCGTTTCAACATCCAAATCTTATTTTGTATTACTCTTATTTATGTGTGTGTGCACGCGCACGCGCGCGCGCCCTCACACGCTAGTGCATACCGTGGAGCATGTGTGGAGAGCAGAGAATGCCTTACGGGACTGTGTGTGGGTCCTGTGGATTAAGCCCAGGTTGCCAGCTTTGCTTGGCAGAGATGAATTTTAATCTGCATCATGAAACTATGACAAAAACATATTCTCGTAACATTTCTATGTTTAAAAGAACAAACAAACAAGAATTCTCACTATATTTCCCCCTTCCTGTTTTAAGCCATTAATCATTATGTGTTTAGTGAGAAATTATAAGCAGACATTTTCAAGGAAATAAGTGCTTTTCAGATCATTTTGTTTGTGTGTTTTCTATATCCTGGTGTCTCTCAGCTGTTCTTGTCTGAAACAACTCATATTTTTTTGCCGTGGGGATTCAAGCTGCCCCTCCCCTCCATTCCCCTTTTCATTTCCTGACAGCAAGAAGTTGCCTTGGATATCCCTCTTGGACCTGCACTTACTGGTCCAGTGGTAACCCTTGCCACAATGTCTGCAAATACTGGGATGCCTTGGTGTTCTTTTCAAAAACCCATTGCCACCAAAAACAGCTTGTTTACTGTTGGAAAGTACTGTATTTCTCACAGTGAACTCAAAACATTGGGCATTTTGAGATCTTAGGCTTTTAGAGGTTTAGTCACAATTTCTTTGTAAATGACCCCATTTTCTGCCACTGAAGCACTGGACAATTTGATATTGGAGACTTTTATCAATGGCTCATCTTATGATAGTAACATGATACTCCTGAGAACCAGTATCAGCTGTGTCTCTTATCCACTTAACCATTGGCTCTGCTCACCCCTTTAGTGGTCTTAATAGCTTTTTCGAGTTAGGTATTTGATAAGAGACAAGGGTCTCTGTCAAGGCCTGTCTCCTATTAGGCTCTGATACAGCTTTGTTTACAGCTAAAACCAATCTTTGCAAGAAATCAGTGACAGCTTCCCCAGAGCCTTGTGTAATCTTAGTAAATGAGGTGGACCATTTTCCCAGGCTCTTCTACTTGTCCCACACTCTTAAAGCTGCTAAGAGACATTTTTCTGCAGTGGTATTGTGAAACCGAATCTGTTAGTGTATATCATAGTCCTGCCCTTCCCCAAAGCAACTCGTCTTTGACAATAATTTGTTCCCCCTGCTCTATTTGACTGTTTAATATTGGCGGCTTCCTCCCTCCACCATATTAACTGCTGTGACTGCTGACTGGCCTCTGACTGGCCTTTAGCACAGCCTGTTACCAGCCCCTTCCAGTCTTGGGGAATAATTCTGTTTTGAGTAGCTCAGTTACTTAATATTTGTTTCACCAAAGGTAAATGCATGCCATAGGAAATCATAGCCTTTCTAAAAAAGCCTCGGATCAATCACTTCTGTAGGATAGCACGCTAGCTCTTCATAATCGTGATCTGCAGGCACGTGCTGTACGCTTGATTATTGGGAAAACTGATGGTGATTTTGCAACCCCAGGCCACCCCTCTTCTGACAGTGGTTAGCTCAAGATCAACCCTTTCTTTCAGAACAAGGTGTTTTTCTTTAACCCCGTCACCCTGAACTCTTGAAACCAAAAGTTCCGAGGCATCAGGTGGGAACAGTTTGCTTCCCTCTTCTGCCTTTTGAAAAGCTCCTGTCATCCTCCTCCGTCACAGGGTCTGAGGCCTTTTGTTCTCCTTTCCAGCTCTTAGTGCTTCCAACTCTACCCGCATTTTTTCCAGTTGTGCGGCCAACTGTGAAGTCTCTTCAAAAACGAGAGACTAGCGTGACCCTTTTGGCTGTCCCATTTCATCCAGTTTGTTGATGTTTCTCAGATTCTTTCATTTCCAACTGGGAGCAAAGTGGAGGGGGAGAGGAGGTGCACAGGACAGACCTAGTGGTAGCAGCCACAGTAAACTCTGCTGAACTGAAATAGTCATCCCTTTGTCTCCTGCTGTTTCCTCTACAGCATTTGTAATCAGGTTTCCCATTCTGCCTAGCCACATGCCTGAGCGCCACTTGTAGCCTGCTTTTTTGGCTACAATAAAGTAACCCAATAAAGGGTTCTTTTATCTACCTCCCTACACGACCCCTATTCTCTCCCAAGCCCCTAACACTGGGTAGGAAAGAAAGAAGGTTAGAAGGGGAAAGGAGCTTGATACTCCCTGCTAAGGGGCATCAAATACCTTGGGACAAGTTTGATCTTTTTCATCAGGATATCTCCAACTAGCAATCCAGCAACCAGGAATAGCAGCAGGGTGGGGAGCAGCAGCCTCTCAAGAGTCCCCACAATTCCAAACATAAACCATCGTCAACTGCCAAAGTCATGCCCCTGCCAGAGCACAGGACAAATCCTAGTCGGCTGCTGTGGACAATCTGAAGAAGCCTCATAGTCCACACCTGGGATTAAAACAAAAACATATTACCATAATGCTTCTGTGCTTAAAAAAAAAAATTCTTAGTACAAAGATGAAGGAAGCCATGACCCTGGCCACCCGCCTAACGGAAGTCCCGAAGTCAGTGCCAAGCCCGCCAAATAGCCTCCGATCCTAAATGGCCAATCCTGTTAAAAGTCAAACTATCCATCAATGAAAAATTGCCCTGTTGCTGTTGCCAAAGTCTGCCTATGTTTGAATGTGTAAAAACCCAAAGCTTTTGTTCCTCCAGGTCGCCTCTCCTCATGGTGCCCGATGGCCCAAGAGCGCTGGCTTCAATAAACCTCTTGCTGTTTGCCTCGATCTTGGTCTCTGTGTCTCTCTTGAGGGTCTTCCCAGTAACCTAGGACTCCCTCGAGCCTTACAGTACCAGCCAGTGTAACCGAACCAGTGAGCACCGGGTTCACAGAAAGACCCTGTCTATAAAGCAAGGTGGATTAGCCCCAGCTCCGCCTCACTGTTTGAGATTAGCTCCAGCCTTCATCAGAGAAGTCTCTTGTTGCAAAAAACAAAATCCGGCCAAAGTGCAGAGGACAAGAGCTGATGCTAAGCTTGGCCCTAAATGGGACATTTGCAACACTCTCTCCAAGGCTCAGACATTGTGGAAGAGGGGCAGAGAGAATTCAAGAGCCAAAGGGTGCGCAGCAAAACCATGTCTTTTGGACTTGACATTACCATCATGCTTATGAACTCACTGCAACTGTGGTTCTCTGCACAAGACTTTATAGAACTCACAGCAATCCGCCTGCCTCTGCTAGGATTACAGGCCTGTCAGCATCTCATCACTGATGGGGAGGGGCCCCTCCTGGGGGGACTATTGGCAGTCACAGGTTGCTGGGTAACATGGTGTCATTCTCTTCAGCGGTGCCCACCCACCCACTAAGTAAACTCAGTGGGTCTCACCCAAAAACACAAGAGAGGAGGAGAAGGGTTTGTTGAGAAGAGGGGTTTCAGCAGATCCCACTGCTGACAGTGCTGGTCCTGAGCTAGCTAATGAGTAAGCCAGCAGCCAGGGAAAGCGAGCCACTAAGGCGTGTTCCTCCATGGTCTCTGCTTTCATTCCTGAGTTGAGTTCCTGCCTCGATTTCCCTCAGTGATGAACGTGTGTAACCCGTGAGCCAAACAAACCATCTCTTCCCCCACAAGTTGCTCTGGGCCATGTTGTTTATCGCAGTAACAGAAAGAAAGTGAGAACTTATCTGTATGAAACGGTCATATAAATAAAAAGACGTGGAAAAAGATGGAAAGCAGTAAGAGGAAGACAGCCCAAATATCAACCTCTGGTTGCCACATACACACACACACACACACACACCACACATCACGTCACATACATGCAATTGCACACACACTCAGAGAACGTGCCAGGTGAGTATATGGTTATTACTTAATTAGACCTATAATTTCAGAACTTGAGAGGCTCAGTCAGGAAGAATGCTGAGTTTGAGGCTAGACTAGGGCTAGCTTGGTCTACAGAGTAATTTCCAAGTCTGGCTGGGATAGAGAGTGAGACCCTGCCCTAATAACAAATAAAGAACACATAAACAAAATAACTAGATTTTAAGGAACAAGAAGTGTTACAAACATTTGCAACCAGCGATGGGATATCTGGACCATGATGTAAAATGCTGGCAGGGGGGTGTACTTAGTAATAATTCTATATCCGTCTCCTATAAAAGCTGTAGAAATAACCATTTATATGTACGCTCTGAAAATCCTCTGTCTCTGAAAAAAAGTCACAAACATGAATTCCATAGATAAATGAAAGGTTAACTTAAGTTTTTTGTTTTTTTTTTTAAATAAAACTTCTATATTTTATATGTGTGTGTGTGTGTATGTGCACCTGTGTGTGCTGGAACCCACAGAGGCCAGAATGGAACACTTGATCCCTTGGCGCTATAGTTACTGGTGTTTTTAAGCAACCTAATGTGGGTGCTGGGATCCTAACGTGGGTCCTCTGAAGAGCAGTGAGCATTCACTTTATCTGTTTTGAGACAGAGTTTCTCTGTGTAGCTTTGGCTGTTCTGGACTAACTTTGTAGATCAGGCTGGCCTCGAACTCACAGAGATCCGCCTGCCTCTGCCTCCCTGGGTGCTGGGAGTGCAGGCCTGCACCACCACTGAAAATTTGTTTTAAAACTCAATCCTGCAGCGTGGGACCTAGTCAAAAGAGAAAGTGATTGGCCTGCACTGCAAACCAAGAGAAGCCTGTTTTCTCCCACCTTCCTACCTGAGCCTTGTGGAATCAACCACTTGTGTGGTGTTTGTTAGTTTTTTTTTTTTTCTGAGACAGATTCCTCTTGTAGTCCAGGCTGACTTCAAACTCGCAATTCTGCCTCATTCTTCTACTGCTGAGATTATAGCTGTAAGCCACTGTCCCTGGCTTATTTTTGTGGGTGCATTTACCCCTATGGGCCTAAAACCTTGGGTGTCACCCCTCCGGAACCATCCGCCTCGGTTATGTATGCGTGGGAACTCTCCCTGAATCTGAAGCTCTCCATTTTGAGTCGGTTGGCTGGCCAGTGAGATCCTAGGAACCATTGGTCTCTTTACCTCAATTCTGGGGTTATAGGCATATGTCACCAGGCCTAGCTTTTGGCATGGGTGCTGGGGGTTTGAACACAGGTCTTCACGTTTGCATGGCAAGTGCTCTCACTCAGCCATCTACCCAGCCCTGCCTTTTTTTTTTCCCTCTGTCTTTTTTGGTCTTTTACCCTCCTGATGCTTACTAAGTAGCAGGGGCTTGCTGGTCATCAAGCCCCAGGGATCTGCCTGTTTCTTCCCTTTCAGCGCCGGGATTGCACCGGCTTTTGGAAAATGGAACCCAAGGATTGACTTGGGTCCTACATGTATGTGGCAACAAGCACTTTCCCCATTGAACTCTCTCCAAGCCTAAAACTGGATGCCGTGTGCTCGTTGTTTCCCAAACATGACCCCCTTTCCTTCAATTTCCACACTTTCTCTTTGCCATCTTGATTCCCTTACCAGATGATTACAATTGAATACAAACTTAAGCCAAAAAAAAAAATTTTTTTTTTCCCCAAAATTCAACCATCAAATAATTCTTTTGTAAAACTGTTTGGGTTGGTAGAGTCACGGTTCCTTTAATTGTAATGGGCTATTACTCCTCTTCTCCTTTGTCCACGATGCCCGAGAGAGCACTGATAGCTACCCTTCCCTTTGCTTCTGTGTGTCCTTTCCTTCATAGTGTGATCACATGTAACTTAGAACCACTATCTCAGCCCGTCCTAATACGAGATGAGAAAAATTGGGACTTTAAAGAACCCCCATGATGCCACAACAGTAAAATACAGGTGTGTACAGAACCTGGCTCAGGAGGTGGGGCCTTTCCCGGAATGTGGTCAGGTGGAAATGATGCTGGGAAGCCACAAGACCCGGATGGCTAATTAGGAGACCCCGATGGCTAATTAGGAGACCCTAGCATAGCTGCAAACCAAAGTCAGGTACTGATATAGGAGAGAGCCGACGTAAGTGCTGGGATAGAGGAGGGAAGCTGGCCCGAGACGAGTGGAGAGCAGGGCTTCCTGGCAGACAACACTGCTGAAGACTCGGCTTGCAGGCAGCTGCTCCATCCTCGGGGGACCAGTAAGGCCCTGGACAGGTGGAACCCTGTAGTTCCCCGCCCCGCCTCAGGGCGGCGCTGTGCACAGCCAGGCCGTTATCCAGGCCGTTGGCACGCAGGTGCTTTCTAGCTCGCTCCAGCCCTGTGCGCAGGCGCGGCGTGAGCGCGGGCCGTTAAGGGTGCGTGCGGGCACACGAGGGCCTTGCGAAGGCTGCTAGCGTGCAGGCCTCAGGCCTTCTTTGTCTGGTGAGGGACGCTCGCTCCCACTCGGTGCGCTGCTGTCTTCCGGCCTGTGTGGCCTGAGCTGCTCTGTGAGAGAAGGACGAGGACTTGCCTGCGGGATGCTCGAGGTCCTGGTCTTGAAGGTGAGGGGCGCCCGAGGCCTTCCTCGAGGAACCTTTCCCTTGTGCGGCTGCCATCTTGGCTCGGAAGCCCGGGTTCCCTAGGCTCGCCTTCAGACAAGCAAGTGACGCAGTGGCACGCCCTGGTTGCAGATGGCGGTGGCAAATGCATTTAACACACTTAAGCTAGCCAATATACGAACTGCGCTCAGTGTAGCATGCAAGAATGTCGCAGTGAGTTCTGGGCCAGCCTGGGCTACACAGCGAGGACCTACCTCATAAACACCACCTCCCACAATTGAGTGTTCATTGGTGAAGCCACCAACAGATCAGTTTAATTGTAACAACAATTAACTTTATTATGTAAACTTTGCGATCCTGGGATAGTCACACACTGATTTGTGTGTGTTATCTGTGTTGGGAGTGCGTGGGCCTTGGTGCACGTGTAGAGGTCAGAGGACGGCTGACCTCAGGGTTGAACTCAGTCAGGTCTGTTTGGTAAGCACCATTTACTGAAGCGTCTTACTGAATAAGTCCGGCTTATTCTAACTAAATTGGTTTCTTCTAGGGCTAACTAATAGGGCTTATTCTAACTAATTGGTTTGTTTTAAGCGAACTCTGTAGCCCTGGTTTGCTTCGTACTCCCTTTGTAGACCAAGAGGGCCTTGAACTTAGAGATCTACCTCTCCAGTGATGGAATCAAAGCTGTGTCCTGCCACCCTCGGCCTGTCAAGTGTCTTTTAAACATTTTCTTTATTATGTGTCTGTGTCTGGATATATAAGCACATCAGTGCAGGTACCCTCGGGGCTGTGGTTCCAGGAAGTTGTGAGCCAACCAAGGTAGGTGCTGGGAACTGATGAGAACTGAATTTGGGTTCTCTGCAAGAGCAACCAGCCACTCTTAACCACAGAGCTGTGTCTACGCCCATCAATCATCTTTTCGTGTGGTTATTGGCCCCTGTATTAGCTTCATTGGAAAAATGTTGTTTCAGGTCCTCAGTTCGTTTTTGAAGTGGTGTGGTTGTTGAGTTGAGTCTTGGACGTTCTCCTTAGGTTCTGAGTATCAGTCCCTTACCTGAAAAGCGATCTGCAGCACACTCTTCCATGGTATGCTGGTTACTTGGAATTGACCCAATCTAGAATCACCTGGGAAGAGCGGCTCAATTAGGAATCGCCTAGAGCAGGTTGGCCTTCGGACATGAATGTGTGGTGGTTTTGTTAATTGCTGTGGGGAGGCCCAGCCCATTTGAGGGCCTGCGAATGCTTTGGGCCTGGCATCCTGGGTTGTATAATTAAAGTTATCGGAGTGCAAGCTACCAAGATCTAGGTCTTTTGTCCTCACTCTGCTCTTGACTGGATGTGATGGCTTCTCTTCCCTGCAGTATGAGCCACCACTTGGAATTGTAAGCCAGATAAGCCCTCTCCTCCCTTACGTGGTCTTTGGTCAGGGTCTTTTATCACAGCAACAGAAAGGAATCTGGGATGCATGGTTGACTGTTACATTCACAGTCTCTCTGGAGACATAAAATACAATTTTGATAAGCTTAGTAGTTAGTTATCATAACCAAGCAACCAATGCCAAATACAACATAAGGCTTTTGTATTATTTGCTTCTAAGGGTTTTGTGTCAGACATCCTGCAATTAGGCCTTTGATACATTTTGATTTCGTTTTCTCTTTTTTACTTTTTTTACTGTATGGGTGCATTCGTGTTCACTATGAGGAGGCATGTGCCATGGCATACATGTGAAAGTTGTAGAGTTAATTCTCTTCTTACATGTTTCAGAGAGTGAACTCAGGCTTCCCCAGCAAGTGCCTATACCCTCTGAGCCATCCTGCCAGCTCCTTGAATTAATTTTTCTATATGATGCTAACTAGTAAGTTCATTCTTTGGTATGAAATATTCAGTTTCCCGGTAACGTTTTTGGAAAGTGCCATGGACCGGCCCAGTCGGGCTCCTGTCATCTGCGGGAGAACAAGGCTTTGGACAGGAAGACACGGTTTCAGCAAAGAATTGACAGACAGAGACACCTTGATGGTTTTGACTCTGCTGCAACTTTACTGAAATCAGGCTAGTATTTTTATAATGATTTCACAAAAGGCACCTTAAAAGTGGCATACTTCCCAGAACATTCAGACTTTTACCAAGAATACAAAGTTTACATTTTAACTCAAAATGCAGTCAAACATAAAGCAGTGCCCACAAGAAATCTTGGCCTAAAAACTTTTTGAACAGAGCAAACAAAGAAAAAGAAACCTCAAATGCAGTTTCATTATTGCTAACCAGTGAAGAGGAAAGTCAGGAGCTAAGTCAGATGCCTGCCAAAATCTTTCTCTATATCAAAATCTAACTACACCTTTGTTAACCATCCTCCCATTTGTCCTGCTAAAGATTTATGATCTTCCTTAGAATTAGAAACAAGGCACTGAAGAGAGGGGAAACTCCCACCAGCCGCACCTCTCATGCTATTATTTCTTAAGAAGGAGCCTATTATTTTTTTCAGTATTATTAATGCCTATTAATATTAAATCTAATTCATTACCTTTCTTAAACTTATTATTTTTATTAAAGCCTTTAACAATCTACTAATGATAAATTTCTTTATAAAATTAGTTGTGCTGTTTCAGGTGTCACAGAGAAAGATCAAAAAATTTATTATTCCAGCCCCAGAGCCACAACTAAAGAAGCGTAGAAATCTTAGAACACGTCTCTTTTCCAAGTGGGATGAGTTTGCCAGGGACCTTCCAGGGGGCGAATTTCCGGAGAAAGCGTATCCCCCGCCCTGTAGCTTATGCTACTATGGCGACACTGGTGTAGGTGTGGCAGAAAGACTATCATTTCCCATGGAATGATTTTGGTGCCTTGGCCAACTCTGATTGGGTCACATTGTCAAGTAGGTGGTCCTGGGATTTTCACTCTTCTGGTCTGTGTGTCTGAGTTATTATAGCACCACACTGTTTCGATTATTGTAGTTTCGTAGTAAGGTTTGGAAATCTGGCATGAGTCCCTCTAGCTACTTTTGTTTTGATACACTGCAGCTGAGACTGGTTTCCACCTTCTTTTATAGCCTGATGGGCTATGGGATTACAGGCACACACTACCATGGTCAGTTTTAGGTAGTGCTGGGGATTGAACCTTGGACTTACATAGCTAGGCAAGCATTCCACTAACTGAGCTACATTCCTAGCACTTTAACTTTGTTGTTTTTAGAGTTTTATTGGCTATGTAGGGTTCCTTAAAAGTTGTTAAAAAAAATTAGTATTTGATAATGATAAGAATTGGATCTCACTATGTGCTCTGGCTTGCCAGGGACTAATTGTGTGGATCAGGCTGTCCTTGAACTTAGGGAGAGCTGTCTCCCTGCTGAGAGTGCTGTGCTCCAGAGGTGTGAGCTCTGCCTCTCTTGTACTTGACTCAATTTCTTTTATCATAATTTTATAGTTTTCACTGTGCTTGTAATATTTTTATAGACTCCTTAGGATTTTCTGCATAGAAAGTCATGCTTATAAAAACTGGCAAGTTTATATTTTTGTTCAGTTTTCCTGACAGTCTTGTCTTACAGTACACTCCACCCAGTGTTAAATGAAGCAGCATGTACATCACTATTAGAGTTTTATTTCCTATGTGTCACTTCCTGTCCTTTAATATAGATCCCATTTGTAAATACAGCTGGGTGTCGAAGTGGCACACTCTTGTAAACCTCTTGTAAGCACTCAGGAGAAAAAAGCTTTGCTATAGCAAGTTTGAGGCTAGCCTGAGCTATGTGAGATCCTGCCTCAAAAACCAGAACATGACAGAGTCCCATTTCCTAGCTAAGATTCTGTAGACACTGATTATAACCATCTGGCCTTCAACGTCTTGAGCATACTGTAAGAGCTACTCTCAAGCCCTTGCCAGTTGAGCATCTAAGCAGCCTGGGTTCCCTCCCTTCCTCCTTTTCTAGGAGATAGCTCTGGACCTTGAGACATTAGACGGGTGTGCACCACTGAGCTATATTCCCAGGCCTGGGGTCACTCTCTAGTGAATGTGTTGTCTTGGCTGTGTGTCATGGTTTATCCCATCCTGATTATATTCAGCATGAAGGTGATATCTCTGCTACTATGTGACTGCAGACTAATCTGCAATTACCAAAATCAGAATGACTGCTGTCTTCTCCCCCCCAATTATTATAAAAACCTTCAAACAGCCAAGCATGGTGGTGCACACCTTTAATCCCAGCACTTGGGAAGTGGAGGCAGGTAGATCTTTGTATTATGTGGCCAGTTCCAGCCCAGCCAAGATACATAGTGAAATCTGGTCTTAAAAAAATCATAATTCCAGCACTTGGGAGGCAGACGAAGGTGGCTCTCTGAGTTTGAGGCCAGCCTGGTTTACAGAGCAAGATCTAGGACAGCCAGAACTACACAGAGAAACCCTGTCTCAAAACAACCAACAAAATATTCAGAAGAGTAGAAAAATACTAAAGCAAACACTTGTATTTCTACCCTCTGATGTATAGGGTACAAAGTTATAGTGTCTCACTGCTTCTTGGCCCTCTCAGGAGGCAGAGGTAGGGTACACTTTTTAAAAATCAGTGGTAGTTTTAACTGAAGTCTTTAATTTAAATTTAACTTTTTTCATTTTTTTAGCTTATTTCTAAAAATGGTACTTCTGTGGAGTTTTTAATTTTTATATGTGTGGTGGTGTGACTAAGGATGGCTTTCACAGGTTCATAGATTTGAATGTTTGGTCACCAGGGACTGGTACTATTTGAAAAGATTGGGGGTGGTATGGCATGGTTGGAGAAAGTGTGTCATTAGAAGTCTTTGAGGTTTTCAGAAGCCCAAGCCAAGCCCAGTGGCTCTCTGCCCCTGTTACCTGGGGATCTGGATGTAGAACTCTGAGCTACTTCTCCAGCACCATACCATGTCTGTCCGTGTGCCACTATGCTTCCTGCCAAAGGCTGGGACATGGTGGCTGTGGGCACTCTGATGGAGCAGCACCAGCTAGGCAGCAAGCAGAATCTCAGTGAGTTCATTATGTACAGCAGGTGAATGAGGAACCCCTAGTCTCAACAGGAGTCTTTGTAGGGGAGCTGTCTGGGGTTGTAGTTACCCAGGTGGAGAAAGTGGTAGTTGATAGGTTTTCACACACTGTCAGTGTCAACAGAGGAAGGCTTGCTAATTCCCATGGGTCTGAGCCTTGGTTTCTTTGACATGTCTGTGCCAACAATACACATTCACATAGGATCTTACCTGCTCCTTATAGACTCACTCAGGGCTTCCTTGGCTCCCCACACTCATGTTCTTGGTGTTTTCTTTTTTGTTTTGTTTTGTTTTCTTTCATGTTAAAACAGGTTCTAAACACTGTCTATAACTTGCTTGTTTGTGTCATGTCTATTTTTTAAATATTGAAGATCAAGGGCATCTTTTTGCGTTTTATGGGGGCAGAGTTTGGTTTTGAATTTACGATCCCTCTGCCTCAGCCTCCTGAGTACTACCATTATACATGTGTGTCACTGTGCCTGGTACCTTCTTTGCCTTTTGAGTTGTACACATAATTGAGAATTGCTTGCCTATTCTTGTTAGTGCATTTTCAGATATTATCTTCAATCATACCTTTTTTTGTTTGTCTTGTTTTTGAGACAGGATCTCACTTATAAAGCTCTGGCTTTTCCGGAACTCACTGTGTAGATGAGGCTGGCATCAGACTCACATGAATGTACCACCCTGTTGCCTTCATTTAAGACAAAGGTGCTTGTTAAGGACTTGTTAGATCACTTACATTAGAAATAGTTACTGTAATTTAAGGCTTTATATCCTGTGACTCTACTTTTAAATCATACATTGTTTTGTCTTCTTAAAATATTACAGATTGAAGATCCAGGTTGCTTCTGGGTAATTATAAAAGGATGTAGTCATTTTTTGGAACAGGAAGTTGACTACCAAAAACTAAACAGTGCCATGAATGACTTCTATAACAGCATGTGTCAAGACATAGAAATAAAACCATTAATGCTGGAAGAAGGGCAGGTATGTTCCTAAATGTGCTTTGTTCTCAGGGTCTTAAAACAGTGCTCAAATTACAAAATATTCTGCATATAGATAGTAAAAGCCTTTGGAATATTATAACTGTGATTGCTCGGTGCTGGTTGATTTTGCACAAGCTAGAACCTAGTCTTAGAAGAGGAATATTAGGCAAGGCTCTCCTTTCATGTTGGTTCTGGGGATCAAACTTGGGCCATTGACCTTGGCAGCAGGGACTTTTACTGGCAGACCCACCTCACCAGACTAACTTTTTATAACATGGGTGAAGGAGACGACACATGATCTAAAACAAGAGGCAGAACTGTCTTTTGGGCCCAGCACATACATGCAGAGCCTTCAGCAAACAGGAAATGGGGTTTAAGTTGGGGCTTTTGTGTGTGTATGTTTCTGCCTACCTGCCACTTCCTCACTCTCTCTAGCTTTGAGCAACTTATGTTTCTTTATTCTACTTGTTAAATGTCCTGCCCCTATGTGCTGCAACATAAACTACCATTGTCCACAGTCTGGCCTCTTTTTAGACCTTTCTCAGGAAAGTGAATTTTTATAATAGTGTGGTAGGAAAAGACATAAGTGTGTTTTGAGAAAAAAACTAGAAACTGTTTGAGTCTCCCCCCATTATCATTAGTAACATAATGTATTATTTTTCATGAAACACTGAATGTTAGCTTCAAAAATAAAACTAGGACAGTTAGTCTTTTAAAAGTGTGTGTGTACAGATGTGTTTTTATATTTCAGGTTTTTAACTTTTGTCCTTTATATTTTGCATAGACTGATAGGCAAAGCTAAATATTTTGGATAGATTTGGGCTCTCTTTCTCTCAATAATATTTATGCTGTGAACTTCCTGTTTATTAAATTGGAAGGTAAGACTATCTTGGGAGGGGCTAAGAAGCCAGTGGATTAAGGTTGTGACAGCCTGGTCTCAACCTGGACTTTGTTAGAAGTATTTTAGTAGCGGCCACCACTGCCTAGATCAGCTCTTTCATTTGTGTTTTTAACATAAGATTTTTCTCATTCCTTCTGCATCCTGAGTTAGGATTCATTTGTGTTGAATTTTCCCTCATTTATTAACTAATAAAGTATGAAATAGTTAGCTGGGTATGGTGGCTCATGCCCTTAATCCCAGCATGTAGGAGGAGGCAGAGGGAGGCAGATCTCTATATGAGTTTGAAGCCAGCCTCGTCTGCTCTACATAGTGAGCTCTAGGACAGTGGGGGTTATATAAAGAGATTCTGACTCAAAAAAAAAAAAACCAAAAATGGAAAGAAAAGAAAAAATAGTATAAACATTTAAGAATGAGTCTTTTTTGAAATTTTATTTTACATCTGGTCCATAGTTTCCCTTCCTCCTCTTCTACCAGTTCTTCCTTTTCCTCCCCCATCCACCCCACCTCCCTTTCTCTTCAGAAAAGGGCAGGCCTCAATGAATATTAACCAGCTATGCCACATCAAGTTGCAGTAAGACTAGGCACCTCCTCTTCTGTTAAGGTGAGACAGTGCAGCTCAGTTAGGGGCAGGGTCCCAAAGGCAGGCAACAGAGTCAGAAACAGCTCCTGCTCCTACTGTTAGGAGTCCCACCAGAAGATCAAGCCACACAACTCTAACAGATATGTGCATAGAGCCTGCGTCAGTCTCATGCAGACTCCCTAGTTAGTGGTTCAGTCTCTGTGAGCCCCTGTGGGCTCAGGTTGGTGGATTCTGTGGTTTTTCTTGTGTCTTTGACCCCTCTGGCTCCTACAATTCTTCCTTTCCCTCTTCTGAAGTATTCTCCAAGCCCTGCCTAATGTTTATCTGTGGGTCTCTGCATCTGTTTTCCATCTATTGCTGGGTGAAGCCTCTCTGATGACAATTTGGGCTACATGTCAATCTATGAGTATAGCAGAATACCACTAGGAATCATTTCATTAACTTTTCCTTTTCTTTCCTTCTTTCTTTCTCCCTCCCTCCCTCCTTCCTCCTTTCCTTCCTTCCTTCCCCGTTTGTGTTTGGTTCTATTGTGGGTCTCTGGTCTATCCAGCCTCTGGGTCCTGGGCCTCCAAGCAGTGTCAGGGGTGGGCTCTCTCTCATGGCATAGGTCTCAAGCTGGACCAGTGGCTATTCCCACAATTTCTGTGCCACCTTTACACCAACAGACATTGTAGGGGTGAATTTAGGTCGAAGGTTTTGTGGCTGGCTTGGTGTCCCAATCACTCTACTGGAAGACTTGCATGGTTACAGGAGATGGCCAGTTCAGGCTGTGCATCCCCCATTGCTGGGATTCTTAGCTAGGGTCACCCTCATTGATTCCTGGGAGGTTCTATTGTCCTAGGCTTCTAACTCTTCCCAGAGATGCCCCCCCCATTTCCAGTTGTCTCTTCCGTTACTCTCTCCCTCCATCCTTCCCACACCTGATTCTTCCTGTTTGCATTCCCATCCCTACCCCCACTCCAGCCAGTTCCCTCTCCCCATCCACCCTCAGTGTGTGTTCTGTTTGCCCTTCTTAGTGAGAGTCATGTGTCCCCATAGCTGACCTCTGCTATTTTGTGGGTTCTTCTTTTTTCCACCCTTTATTCCCTACCGCTGTTTCACCCCCTAACACTTGATAGGAAAGGAACAATGATAGAGGGGAGAGAGGGAATATAAAAATACATGAACCTAAGTTTTTTTCTTTTGTTTCTTTTTTGACCATGGCTACTAGCAAACTGCAACCAACCTCCCTAAACGACCAACAATTACCAAACCCCTCCCCCACTCCCAAATCAGGGAGTATTTATATACCCTCTGAAAAGTTCCCAGATTTCCAAACATCACACAGTTGGAGAAACTGTCTGTAGCTGGCAAAACCGTGCCTCTGCTAGGACGTTAGGTAAATCATGGTCAGCTGCTGCAGACAGTCTGAAGCAGCCCCACATCCTGCACCTAGCATTAAAACACATTCTGTTATAATATTTTGTGTTCTTTAAAGAAACCAAATTCCAGAGTTCTCACTATGTGCACTTCCTCTGCCCCAAATCCCTCAGCTCTCCTTGTTACTAGCTTCTTTGAGTCTGTGGGTTGTAGCACGGTTATCCACTACAGCTGATATCTACTTAGGTGAGTGCACGCCATGTTTGCCTTTCTGGGTCTGGGTTACCTCACTCAGGATAGTTTTTAGTTTCATCCACTTGCCAGCAAATTTCATGATGTCATTGTTTTTAATAGCTGAGTAATACTCCATTGTCTAAATGTGTCCCGTTTTCTTTATCCTAATGATTCTTATTACAGTTTTCATCTTTGTGATTGGTGCTGTTATCCCCTTTGGTGTTCAGTCTCTTTCTTCTCTGTTCACTTATTTACTTAATTTTTATTTCTATTCTAGAGCTGGAACCCAGAGCTTAATGCATGCCTCTGAGCCCCTAGCCCCTTTGCGCTTTATAGTGGCTTGTTGGTCCTTCCTTTTCCTTTTTGAAATCCAGATGTGTCTTTAGATGGCTCCTTGATCCAGGGCTTTAGTACTGCCTCCTCTGGAAGGAGTGTTCTTCTGTAGACTTTGCTTTTCTGCACATGGCTGACAGAAGAGAGAGCAGCAGCCAGCATACAAGACTAGTTTGTGCACGGCTCAAGACTGTGGTAATTTTATAGCATCCTGGGCATTTCATATCCAGGAAGTAGGAATTGGAGCCCCGCTCCAGATGCTGCTTCTTGTGTTTCCTCTTCACCTCTGGAGGAGATGTGAAGGAGAAGGCATGTTCTTGTTGTCTCCATCAGCAGGCTGTGTGTCTGGATAGTGTGTTGGATAGTGGGGATTAAAGCTGGGTTCTTGTATGTAGGTATGTATATTATTAAGCTACAGCCTGTTAATTATTTGTGTTCTTTCTTTTTTTTTTAAGATTTATTTTATTGCCTGCATGTGTGCCCGAAGAAAGCACCAGATCTCACTATAGATGGTTGTGAGCCACCATGTGGTTGCTGGGAATTGAACTCAGGACCTTTGGAAGAGCATCCAGTGCTCTTAACCTCTGAGCCATCTCTCCAGCCTGTTCATTATTTGTAATCAGAGTTATGCTTGGTAGATTGCTGTAAAATGAAACAGTTGCAAAATCTGGCTGTCACTTTGTCAGGGTGTTTCCCGTAAGCAGCTGCAGGCATTCTGCAAGTAGTTTTTGAAGACTACTCTATGGCAGGTATACAATGACCAAACAAACCCCAAAGACAGATTTTATACTGTCATAGAGTGAAGGATTATGTGTGCCAGACCAAAAAAAAAAAAAAAGACATTAAATTGTGGGAAGCCATGGAATAAAGGAAGCTAGGTTGAAGTTTCTGACAGCTATTTGTAGGCTTTGTCTTCAGACTGGGGAAGAGGGAACAATGCATTTTAACTTGCTTGTTGTACAGACAGCCGGGGGAGTTAAGGAGCTACTCTGCCAAGACCCTAGTAGAGATCTGAGTTACTGAGTTAATTTACAAGTTAGGCATAGGAAGACACTGGCAACAATAATAAGAAAACATAATTATGACAATATACCAGAGTAAAGTCTGCTGTACAATAAAGGTTATTGTAACCAATTGCTTCAGCCCTCTGTCAGCTGGCCTGATATCTAAGACAGGAAGACTCCTAAGTGATTAAAGGCCAGTACTGTTGATATAGTATGTGCTGGACAAGTGAGCAGTTCACCTTCTAGGCTCCATGGAGCAAGGTGGTGGAAGAGTTCTTATCTGCGTGGAGCAGAGGACAGTTTAAGTTATGAATTGTTGACTCCTGGAATTCTCATTAATCTCTTCAGGCTGTAGTTAACTTTGAACTATAGAAACTGACTAATGGGAGCAACTATAGTAAGAAAAATTGTCCTGAACCCCTTCCCTCTCAGACACTGCTTAGTGGGGGCAGGTCCAGCTCCTGCTGCTCTGACCTGTGGCGATCTGACTCGGAGCTTTTTTCACTTTGCAGGTGTGTGTGGTGTACTGTCAGGAGCTGAAGTGCTGGTGCAGGGCTGTGATTAAGTCAATCATCTCTTCTGCAGACCATTACCTGGCAGAGTGTTTCCTTGTGGATTTTGCCAAGTACATTCCAGTAAAATCTAAAAAGTACATATGCATTAATTTTGCCTTATGTGCCTTAAGGAGACAAATGACAGTTTTAAAGGAAAATGTCAATAAATGAAATGCATTTAAATCTCGTTTAAAAACTTTTAAAGATGTCTTTTCAGTTATGTGTACACGTGTTTTGTGTATGTGCGTGCACATGTTGGATCCTTGGAGCTGGAGTTAGAGGTAGTGTGAGCCGCTTGATGTGGTGCTGAGGACCAGATTCAGGACCTCTGCCGTAGCAGTGTATGTTCTTACCTGCTGAGCCGTCTGTCCAACCAACTCAATGTCAGCTTTCAAAGTAAGGCTCACAGGTGGCTTCTTGCCTGAAAGGGCAGGGCCAGTTGTTCTCTCTGCATCTCTTGCTGCCTTTAGCTTGCTTGTGGTCAGAGTAGGTCGTAGAGGAAAGAGAAAGAGGCTCAAGATCAAGAAAGAGGCTGCCAAGAGGTAGGCATTTTCCTCTCAGAAGAGGAGGATGGGGACTGGCATTAGGGTACACGGCAAAGTATGCAAGCATGCGTTTTTGGTTATCTTGCAGAACAAAGGGAGACTAGGCTATCTCCTAGGACACAGGAGCCAAATGTCCGTTGGGCACACTGCTCTGATTCTGGGACCACATGTTACAGTTTACTGGAACTAATGGGTCAGTCTTTGCATTTTGTGACAACCTTTTCAGTTTCATTCCCAGAGTAAAAGGTACTCAGTTAAGTAAATGAGGACCCTTCTTCCCACTGAATAAGGCACTATACCAAGCAGGCTATTGTTGCATGAGTGGCATGTAGCAAACGAGACATTACGGTTTACAAAGAGCACAGTAGCTCATGTCCATTGCTTTACAGCTGCGCTTTATTTTTGTTTGTTTTAAAAGAATTATTGTGTTTACCTGTTGGGGACTTTTCTCTTTGTTTAGAATTACATGTGATAAGTCTAATATGTTTCAGTACAGCCACCATTTTCCTTTGTGGTTTTTTTTGTTTTGTTTTGTTTTCTTTTTGCTTTTTTGAGACAGGGTTTCTTTGTACAGCCTTGGCTGTCCTGGACTCAACTTTGTAGACCAGGCTGGCCTCGAACTCACAGAGATCTGCCTGCCTGTGCCTCCCTGAGTGCTGGGGTTATACATATGCACCACTGTACCTGACTCAGCTACAGTTTTCTAACCTGTCCTAGATAACAAGCCTGTGGCTTCCCATGGAGAGTATTTTGGGGACCCAGGAAGAGAACCAGTTGATATTTGAATTGTGTTAGGTTAAAGTGGCCCATAGTTTGCCTGAAGAAGAGTGGAACAAAAATATTGAACCTGTCATTGATCAAATCTCAGTACTCCAGCTCTTGGGACAACATCCATCTGTTTACAGAATCTTTTGTGTGATTCTGATATGCTAAAACTGGCATTTTATATATTTAATTATATTTATTTGTTGTGTGTGATGGGGTTCATACTTAAGCCACAGTGCATGAGGGCAACGTGTAGGAGTGAGTTCTCTCCTTCCACCACGTGGCTCTCAGGCCTGGTGACAGGTGCCTTATCCCTCTGAGGTACCTCATCTGCCTGAATTTGGTATTTAAAATTTTTAAATAGCCAGGCATGGTAATGGTGGCACATACCAGTATTCTTAGCAGTTGGTACATAGAAGCAGGCCAGTCTGAACCATGTGAGACCTTGTCTAAAAGAATAAAACTAAAATTTTAAATAGGCTTCTTCACAGGTTCAATTATTATTCAGTATTTCTCACTTTTTGTAGCTTCACTAGAACATTTTTGCCTAAACTCCTATACCATGGAATTTTAATACCATAGATTATATATGATATGTAGATCTTTATACATAAAACTTAAGTTTTTTGTTTGTTTTTTTGTTCCTTGGGGATAGTTATGGTCCCTTGGTCAGATGTTCCAAGACATTATTTTAGCTATATCAGAAAAAGGAAAAATTGTTTTCTAGATAAAGTATATTCTGTAAGTGTGCTTTAAATGAATTTATTGTGTATAATTTTTACTTATAATAGAATTATTTATATTTTACTTTTAAGCATCCGTGTTGCAGTTGAGTCTTTCATGAAGCTTCCTTATAGAGCAAAAAAATTCAGACTTTATTGTACAAAACCTGTGACATTACACATTGACTTCTGTGAAGACAATGCTGAAATTGTGTAAGTACAGCTTTATTTTTTTTGAAAGCTTAAAATATTGGCACTCCTTTTTCTGTATGTGTTTCCATCATTTTGTTGTAAAGAGCACAATCAGAGAAAGCAAAATGTAGTCAATTAAAAATGGGCTCTACTTGCATGCAGGTTTGAGCCTGTAATGCCATGATGTGGCATTGTGAAGCCACTGTGTGAGGTGGTCCCTGCAGATACCCAGGCAGGGAAACAAGCTGTGAAGAGATAAGAATGAAAGCCTGGTGCACATTGACTTTGTCAGCCTGGATCAGACGCTGGGGAGTCTAATAACAGTATATTTAAGCCCAGTGTAATTAGGAAAAAAAATCTTGCTGTAATACAGCCCCTGGTGCACAAGGAAGCCTAATTATGTTGAAAGTCAACTCAGGGTACATATCTTTCCCAAGAAGATGGGTTCTAGAGATACGCTACCTGTACTAGCTTAAGGGCCTAATGCTCCGGCCTGGTCTCAGTCATACAGATAGTGTAGAGGTCATTTGGGCTATCAGGTACTTCTGGTCCTAGTTGTGGGAGTTGGGGACCCTCTGGCTCTAAGGGTTATTTAGATCACTAGCCATCTCTGGACCTGATTGTATGAGCTTGATATGGCCTATACCAACAGATAAGGCAGGTGACCAGGCTACTGTTTGCTTCCAGTTCTCAGCTTTCTGAATGGAAGAGCAGATTTTTCATCTTTCCCACTGGAAAGACAGTCCTATGTGCTTAACATTCCTGGTTTCTCTAGAACTCTGGGGGCACAAGGACCTCCGTGCTGTGCTTCCACCAAGTGTTCACCTCCAGATTAAATGATCTGACAGAAGCCAAGTTTACGACTAAGGGGTAGGGTTTCATGTCTTGCTTATCTTAGACGTAAAAGACAACACCTGTTGACATAGAATACTTCCTAGTTGGCAACATGGAAAATAAGGGGAGAAGGCAATGAAATGTTATGAAAGAACGAACTTGTGTTGATTTCAGGTGCTTGCCTATAAGGATAATACGGATTTCTTTTCTTTTTCAAAAAAATTGACAGTAATTTTACAGGCCATCATAAGGCAGCCCTTTGATTGTTTCTGAGATGAGTAAAATAGCTGTTCAGATGTACAGATTTTGTACACAGGGCTCTCCAGTTCCCTTCATTTCTATTTCTTTTGAGTGGTTTTGGATACCACTTAGGCTCATTTGTTAGCAGGGTAAACTGTGGTAAGTTGCCTTACCTCTATGAATTTTTTTCTAAAATTAAAAACAGGGAAATCGTCGGGTGCAGTGGCACATACCCATAATCCCAGCATTCAGGGTGGCAGAGGCAGGTGGATCTCTGAGTTCGAGGCCGGCTTGGTCTACAAAGTGAGTCCAGGACAGACAAGGCTACACAGAGAAACTCTGTCTGGAAAAAAAAAAACAAAAACCAAAACAAACGCAAACAAACAAAAATTGTGACTGTGGTAATTGAAGAAAGTAACATAATAAGCCAGGTGTGACAGTGTATGACTGTAATTCTTGTGCTCAAGAGCCTGAAGCAAAAGGATTGCTTGTTGTCTTGGTAGTGCTGTGGGGTCTAGTCGCAAAAGCAAGCAGAAACAATATAAAACATTAGAGAATTCACTCTAAGTTCTGATAACTGTGGTAGTGAAAGTGAGTAAATGTTTCTCATTTTCATCATTTTATTGAGAAATTTATCAAGAGACATTACCAAATCTTTTATCAGCTATTTTCCCTACATAAACCAAACTGCTTTGAAAATGTCTGAGCCTCCCTGGGTACTATTTTTTCTCCTTTTACTGAAAATAGATTTTTTTTTCACTTAATACACGTCCTAATTATGGTTTCTCATTTCCTCCCATCCAGATCCACTCTTTTTCTATCTCTCATTAGAAAACAGACTTCTAAGAGATAATAAAAATATAACTGTTAAAACACAAATACATATAAGAGTTGGACAAGACAAACCAACAAAAGAAAAGAGCCCCAAGAGAAGGCACAAGAAACAGAGACCCACTTGTTCCCATACCCAGTAATTCCATAAAAACCTTAAACTGGAAGCCATAATACATACACAAAGGGCCTGGTGTATACCTGTGCAGGCCCTGTGCATGCTGCTCAGTCTCTTTGGGTTCATATGAGCTTTGTTCATGTTGGTTTATAGGGCCTTGTGTTCTTGCTATCCTTCATCCTCTTTGGCTCTTTTTCTGCCTCCTGTTTCTTAGGGTTTCCCGATCCCATTTAAGGCTGAATGTTTCAAGGTATCTCATGCTCTGCATGTATCTGGCTGTGAGTCTCTGTATTTGTCCCCATACACTGCAAGGGGAAGCTTCTCTGATGGCTGATCTATGAGTATAGCAGAATGCCATTTTTTAACTACCTTAAAATAAAAAGAAACAAAACAAAAAAGACACTTGGGAGGCAAAGGCAGGAAGATATCTGAGTTTGAGGACAGCCTGGTCTTCAGAGTGAGTTTCAGGACAGCCAGGCTTACACAAAGAAACCCTGTCTTGGAAAACAAAACAAAAACAAAACAGTATTTGGTTTTACTCTAGGATCCCTGGGCTAGTTTTGGTTCTCGGTCACCCAAGCAGTGTCTCTAACCTTGGTTTATTCTTCTTTCTCTATTCCTATTATTCATAGATTAGGTCTTTCCATAGTGTCTCAGATTTTCTGGATATTCTGTGCCAGAAGTTTTTATTATTTTTGTTTTTTAAAATTCAGCATTTTCTATAGTTGTTTGTTGTTTTTTTTTTTTTTCTCCCATTTCTTCTATTGTGTCTTCGGTGCATAAGATTCTTTCTTCCATCTCTTTTATTCTGTTGATAAGGCTTGCCTCTGTGGCTCCTGTTTGATTTCATGAAAATTTTCATTTCCAGATTTCCCTCACTTTGGGTATTCTTTACTGATTCCATTTTCACTTTCAGGTCTTGAACTATTTTATTCATTTTCTTCCACTCCTTGTGTTTTCATAGATTTCTTTAAGGGATTTATTCATTTCCTCTTTAAGAACCTCTATCATTTTCATAAAGTTGTTTTAAGGTCTGTTGGGAGCTGCTGATCTGCCAGCCTGCTTTGATATTTAGATCTCAGCAGAAAGACTGCTTTCACCCTGGCCTTCACTGGAGTCAGTGATGAGTTTCCAAGTCTCTCTCCATTTGTTTGAGACAGCAGGTGGGATGTCTTGTCAAAATCATGACTTCCTTGTGAATTCGTTCATTGTGCTGAGGTGCTTTTGCTCTGGCTTAAAAGGAATCTGGAATAAAGCAAGGTGTCTACCGTCTACTAGAGCCTCTTGGAAAGGTCCCATGTGTTGTGTGTTGGTTTATTAATTTCAATCCTCACTCGCGACTCAAGAACTGTTTGACTCCAGCAAAGATCTTTTTCTTGTGCTTCAGCTATGTTGGAATACTCAGGGCCTGCTGTGGTAGGTTTTACTGACTCTAGTAGAGACATGTCCTGGCTGTTACTGATTTTATGGTGTCTAGGCATCAGGGAATGAGAATTTTTTTTTTTTTTAATTCTAGGTGCTGATATCTGGTATTGTCTTTGTTGGGTGGTATTTTGTTCCTTGGGTTCTGTTGCCCTCTCTTGTTTTTTTGAGAGTGAGGTGACTGTATGTTGCCTGGTAGAAAATTGTTCTGGTGTCCCGATAGTTGTGGCCACTGGAAATTCCAAGTAAAATGTAGTTTTGGGTATTGGGGGCTGACATTTAGGGATGGGGACAGGCTTTGTATCAGGCTGAAGGGGTCCACAGGAAGGAGGAAATCAGGGTGTTCCACCAGGATCTGCATAGTCCCCAAGTTGGGGAATGGGCCAGAGAGGGGGGAGAGGCAACAGCAGGTCTGTTAGAGAGCTAAGGATGAGAATGGGGGATTGGACTTTGAGGAATGGAGGGAGAGGTGAAGATCTACAGTTAGCTACCTAAAGTCTCTGGTCAGAGTGGCCTGTGGGTTCCAAGAGAGTGTCTCCTGGGATGAAGCAGTGAACTGGTGGAGGGCACGTTAGAAGGGAAGATCTGTGTGATCTGCTAGAGTTGTGTTCGGCTGCAGAGCTGACAGTGAATGAGACTGGGGGTTGGCTTTGTAGGAGCAGGGGGACAGGTGAAGATCTGCACTTAACTACTGCTTCCCTGGCTGGAGTGCTGTATGAGTCCCAGTAAGTACACCTTGTTATCACCTAAGTGAACCTTGAGAAAAGCCTAAACCAAGTGTATGGGGCTTCTTTGAAATCTCATCCACTTTAGCAATGCTAAGCAGTTTCATAGGCCTGTGCTCTGTTCATACAGCAGAATCCCAGGGCAGCCTCATCCTGAAGGCTGCAGTGGGTAAGTTTCTTTTAGAAGACCTGGGTTCTGTGCTTGTTGCCCTGCTTTGAGTTGTAAAAAGTAATTAACTGTAAAGAGAAATGTAGGATCATGAACCATTTGAAAAAGTATATTATCTGAGGGTAGTGTTACTTACAGGCCTGTAATCCTAGCTACTTTTGGAGTTTGGAAGCATAGGCATAAGAGTTTGAGGCCAGCTTAAGCAACATAATGAGATATCCTCCCCCAGGAAAATGTTGATTGCAATTACTCTCCAGCCCTGTGTCCTCCCTCTTAGAAGGTCCTGTGGTTTTTTTTTTAAGCTCTCAAGATACCCTTGATGGTGTTTATATACATCTGTATGACAGGTCAATATTTGGGCCTTTCCTGTTAGTTTTTAGCCCTTTTCATAAGTGGATATATGTTATGCTCGAATCGGGAGACCCCAAAAGACCACCACCAGAAGTCAAGTCCGTTGCAAAACACATAAGGATCTTTTTATTACAAGCTGCAGCTTGGGCTCACACCCTTACCGCCAAAGCGGTGAGAACCTCATGCTCAGGTTAATTCGGTGATTTGAAGATTCTGGTCCCCTCCCAGTGCACCCAAAGCAGGGGAATTCCTGAATGGCAAGCATCTATTGGTCAAAACACAAAAGGGGGTGTTGCATTCTGAATTGATTGGCTATAGGAAGGCCCCCAAACCGTTAATGGTCTGGCTTCGCTTCCCAGGGAATGGGCCGGTTTCCTAGCAACTGTATCACTAGTGGGCAGGGAAGAATGCACTAAGGCTAACTCTTCCCCTCAGGGCATTAAAGGCTAGTTCTTCCCTGCAGATGGCTGGACATACCTCCACTTGGCTGGCCTAACTTCAGGCTTGTGCTTTAAACTTTAAAATAATAGCCACTGGTTTTTAATCCTTTGGTCTCACAATATACTTGTCATGTTTGTATTTAACCTTTTGCTTCTTGAAAGCTAGTTACATTCTTTTCAAACCACTTGGCATATCCACATGGCACAGATAGATGTGGTACACAGACATAGTTCAGGCAAAACATCTACACACACAGTCATTTTTTAAGTGTTTCTTTGAGGCTAAAAACACGGTTCATTCAGGAAAGTGCCTGCCTTGCAAACAAATCTGATTTTTGAATCCCCAGAAATGGTGGTGTGTGCCATAACCTTAGCCTGGAGGAGGAGGAGTGGTGACAAAGTCCCCCAGACGTGTTGGCCGGGCAGCCTAGGAACACTGATGAGCTTCCAGGTTAGGAAGACATTTGACATTGACCTGACTTTCCTCACATACCTCAGGCGTGTGTGTGCACACTGCACATCTATATCACACAAAATACAAAAAACTAGAAGATTCTTTTAAAAGTGATGATTTTCTACACAATGTTGAATGTTAGTGGTGTTGATCTCTCTTAGGGTCTCTTGTGTTTATTCTGTCATACACACATGTAGACAGACAGACGGCACCCATCCCTATTATATTGAATTTTCTCTTGATGTTGTTGCCTGATAGGAAATATATAAAAAAATATAAATATATATATAAAAATATAAAAAAATATATTTTTTTTCTAAAATTGCTAGGAATTTTTTCATGTATAGTATGACTTTTGAAATCATTATCTTTATTTTGTTCTTTTTAGAAATCCTTTACATTTCTCTTGAGAGTAATATGCTTAATCTCTCAGTGCAAAGCAAATATATATTTCTGAATACCAATCATGTCCAGGTACTGGCCATGTGTGTCAATTTATTTGACCTTTAAAGCAGTTGTTGGAGGGCAGTGGTGGCATCTTTAATGACTAAAACCGTTGGAAACATGAGATTTTTTTCTGGTAACTGTAGAAACATGACATGTCTGCTCCTTGGTATGGATAGGGAAGGTATTTATTATAGCCAGGAGCAAGAGAACACGCAGAGGCATCTGAAGAGGCCAAAGCATAGAAAGTAGTAGACTGGGCATGGCCAGCAGACTGGACCTGGCCAGGGCTATCTACAGGAGAGGAGAGAATAGCAGGGACAGAAAATAGAGAAAACATAGTGAGAGGCAAAAGCAGAGCGTTAGGAGGATGGTGATGGTGGGGCATAGCTGAAATAGCAAGGGTAAGGAGAATGAGTTGGGAATGGGTTGGTGGGCTGTGAGCAGGGGGGGAAGAGGTGGGAAGGCTAGGATGGTGAATTTTCAGATGTGTAACAGGTCCTTGAAATACCGAGGGAGGCTGGAGGCCAGCACACGATTTGCCATGTTACTAGGCACGGCAAGAAGCCGTAGTCTCTTCTGCCCGAGGTGAGGGAAATGATTCCTTTTGAGAAAGGAGAACCAGTTTCACAGTTCATAAGGAATGCTGGCTTTTATTTAACTACCAGAAATCCCCCTGTAGTCCCAGGTTGGGCCCATTTCTGGGTTATTTGGACTGCCTTTTGAAGTTTGGGAAGTTGGAGTTTCCTGTGTACCCAACAGTAACAAGCTTTATTGTATTTTTGTTGTTTCTAAGCACCACTTTGTCCTGTTTTGCGGTGCCTGCAAGCCTTTCTCTGACACCCTTTGTGAAGTATAGACAGAGCAAGCTGCTGAAGATGAAAAGGAGATGGGGCCAAAGTGCTGGAGTCTTACAGTGAAGGCTCTGCAGAGAGTGTAGTGGCTTTCTCATGGCTGACTCTGGAGTTGGCTAATTGGTGGTTCCATTCTCTGTGGCAGCCAGTAACGGATGGTGTACACTTGGGCTCTCTGCCAAGAACTTGTACTGTATTTGGGGGCAATGGATTTGCTGTAGGTAACTGGGGACAGTGGTACTGACAGAAGTCGACATACATTGGCATGTGGGGGAGTGTCATCTCAGCAGAGCCTCTGCCCTTATCTGTGTTGGGAAGATGCCAGTGTCTGCTATACCCTGAAGCAGTGTCAGCCTATACCCTGAAGGAGAGTTGGCACAGGCTCCTTGTTGTCTGAATTGGATGCTTGATGTTTAGAATCAGAAACACTCATTACCCAGCTAACAAAATGGCAGTGCTGTGTCAGCCTTTGGTTTTCACTCACGTTAAATTCTGTTTGCTGTTCCAGACCTGCCACAAAATGGGACAGTGCAGCTATCCAGTACTTTCAGAATATTCTAAGAGGTAAGACCAGGTTATGTTTGCAGATTGTTTTAATTGATAACCTATGGTGCTTACACTTCTGTTGCTAGATCTCTGAGATCTGCATGTCTAAATGTTTGACCCTCCTCATGAGGCTCCTTAAGCTACTTGGAGTCCCTTTCATGCCTGGTATCATACTGACTTGTGCCCCTGTAATTCTGCAGGTGGATTTGAATGTCAGTAATTGTCAGCTGAAATAGTGAACTGAATTGTGCAGAGGACCCTCTCACAGCAATAGTGCCTGCCTCTCAGATTGTTTTTAAATGCTGAGGTACACAAATGAATATGTATTTTCAGCAGTTAATTAAAACAAAAACAAAATGCTTTTACCGAGCAAGGGATAGCAAGTGGACATTTGTTGTATAATAATCACCAAATTTAAAGTGTGTAAATACCTTTAACCGTTTGTATTGGCAGCTGTAAAGAATGTGTGTTTTGTACTATCTGTTCTAACTCTTGTCAGTCTGTATTCCCATGGCTGTGCCTACCTGTTGGGACTGCTCTGAAGGGTGAGTGGACATGAAAGACGCACATGTTGCTGGTTCCCTAGCGAGGCCACGCTTGCTTTAAATAAACCTTGACTTTCAGCTCACTTGTTTGTCCATTTATTGCCATTTAGCAACTACGCAAGTAGAAGCAAAACTATGTGCTGTGGAAGAAGATACTTTTGAGGTTTACCTTTATGCAACAATAAAAAATGAAAAAGTAAGTGAAAGATTTTGGGGGAGTTGTTATCTGGTTTTAGGTTTTTGAGTCTTGTATAGGCTAGGCTAGCCTTGAGCTTTCAGTGTTGCTGAGGATGACCTTAGATTGTTGTTAATAAAATATAAAAAGATGTAACAAAAACACATAGGAATTGGACAAAACAAATAGAAGGAAAAGAGCCCAAGAGAAGGCACAAGCTGAGTGTGTTGGCGTACACCTTTAATCCCGGCAAAGGCAGGTGGATTTCTGAGTTTCAAGCTAGACTGGTCTACCAAGCCAGGACAGGACAGCCAGGGCTACACAAAGAAACCCTGTCTGGAAGAGGAAAAGGGGAGTGGGCACAAAAAACAGAGATGCATTTGTTTGTTTCCACATTCAGGAATTCCATAAAAACCTTAAACTGGAAGCCATAATATGTATATGCAAAGGACCTGAAGTAGACCTGTACAGGCCCTGTGTATGCTGCCTCAGTCTATGAGTTCACATGAGTGTTGATGACACAGATTTAGAGGATCTTCTTGTCTTAGACTTCCATCCTTTCTGGTTCCTATGCTCTTTGTGCTTCTTGTCCTGAGCCCTGAGGAATGATTTGATAGAGACATCCTATTTAGGGCTGAATGTTCAAAGGTCTCTCATTCTTTGCATGTCTGGCTGTGGGTCTCTATTTGATTGCATCTGCTGTAGGAGGAAGCTTCTCTGATGATGACTGAACAAGGCACTGATCCATAATTGTAGCAGAATGCCATTAAGAGTCATTTTGCTGCTGCTGCTTGCTTCCTCCTCCTCCTTCCTTCCTCTTCCTCTTCCTCCTCCTCTACCTCCTCCAGTATTTGGTTTTGTCCTTGGTCCCTGGACTAGCTACTCTTAGGTTCTTGGTTACCCAAGCAAGTGGATGACCTTATATTCTTAATTTTTCCTCTACTCCCAAATGCTGTGATTAAAGGCATGGGGCCACAAAACATAGCAAGATTTAAAATTTGGAAAGGTTTATCATTTTAAATTTTACTTTAATAAAACTAATTCATACAGTGGGGGTTATTTTAATCTTTGAAGGTCTAGCTTGGAGATGCTAGTAGGACTGTCCCTTCTTATTCATTTCATGTGGGTGTGTTTGTGCGCATGCACAAGTGAGAGACAGGCAAGACCCCTGGGGCCATCTACTTGATAGTACCCCAACTACACTTCAGGTGCAGAGTCTATCTTCTGTTGATGATTAGAGACATGCTTTTAACCCCAGCATTGGGAGGTGGATCTCTGAGGTCAAGGCCAGTGTGGTCTACAGAGTGAGTTCCAGGACAGCCAGGACTATACAGAGAAACCTTGTCTTGAAAAAATCCAAAGCAAAGAACAAAACCATTGACCTAACCTAATCATTTTATTGAGACAGCGTTTTCACTTTCCTAATTAGTTCGAGTACTCATAGCGTGCTTGTTCACGGGTGTGTGTGTGGCCAGAAGTCAGAGTTGGTTGTTCTACCCTGTTGTTTTGCAGCCTATTCTGATTGTTTGAGACAGGATTTTACTACCTACTCAGGCTGTCCTGAACTCACTATATAGACCCGGCTGGTCTTGACCTCACAGAGCACTCGGCCTTTCTCTGAGTGCTTTCTCCAGAGTGCTGGGATTAAAGGCACTACCACACTCAATTGGAATTTGTTTCTTCAGTGTCTTAGAGTTTTCATTATAGAGGTCTTTCACCTCCATTGTTAAGTTTTTTTCCTAGGTTTTTGTTTGTTTGTTTTGTTTTGTTTTTAATGTGAATGAGCTTTCTCCCCTCTGTTTCTTGATGAGTTTGTTTTGAACGTATGAAAATGTTCCTAGTTTTTGTAGGCTGACTTTGTGTATGTGGTGTGCATTTTGACTGTGCAAGCACACCTGTGTGCCGGCACATGCGTGCCGTTGCCCTGACCTCTGAAGAACTAGCTCTTCCTGTATGTGACTGTGAGAAAGGATTCTCCAGTAGCTTATTTGGGACCTGTGAGTTGTGTCCAGTTAGTCCTCATGAAATAGTTTTTCTCTGGGTGTACAGGTTCTTCTTAGGCAAATATCTAGGGTCTGGATAGTATTGTTGACATTTGGAAGATGCCATATTGTTTGCCAAAATAACAGACCGTTTTACATCTGTCTCAGCAATGTGTGAAATTTTCACTTCCTCCACGTGCTCATCCACACCTGTGTTGGTCTTCCCAGCCAGTGTGAGGAGCCATCTCCTAGTGGATGAAATTCCACTTGTTAACTCACTGGAGATGCTTTCACATGCTTTCTTGTACTCCACGCTTTGATAAGAGGGTTCATACTTTGCCTAACTTTGGATAGTTCTTTCTTGTAATTTTTATGAATGTCTATGTGTGTCTGTGTGTGTGCATGTTGTATGCATTGATGCATGTGGAGGCCAGAGGACAACCTTGGGTTCTTCAGGAATGCTTTTCACCTGGTTTCAGACACAATTTCTTTCTCAGTGGCCTGAAACTCACTAACTAGACTATATGGTCAGCAGGCTGTGGGGATCACTCTCTCTGCCTCCCAGGTCCTGGGATTCCAGGCACTGACATCATGCCCGGTTTGAAGCATTTTTATAGTTGGCTTGGTTTGTTTCTTATTTACTTTTCGGATGGTCTCTCTGTGCAGCCCTGGCTGTCCTAGGACTCACTCTGTAGACCAGGCTGGCCTAGAACAGAGACCCTCCTGCCTCTGCCTCCCAAGTGCTGAGATTAAAGGTCTGGTTTTTCATTTTCCCCTTTTATTGTTAGTGGCCTACTGTCAAATCTGCCCTTGACCAGATGGTGTTAGCTCCCTCTTCCTCCAAGGTACATCTTGTACTTCGTGAAGCTTATTGCTATTTTCTCATAAAGGGGTTCATGAAAATAATTTAATTTGTTGCTTACATAGCAGGAACCAAGTGTTGTTGCTGTCAAATTATGCTTCATAAAAGTTTTTTGGTAATTGGGGCTGAGTTTGGAATATTGACTTTGTGTACATTGACTACACCCATCTGAATGGTAACTTAAAATGTTTAACATTTTCTAGGTTTGTGTTAATGATGATCTTGTTGCAAAGAACTTTGCTTATTATGTGTCACCCATGGGGAATAAAAACCTCAATACTTTGGAGAAACCTAAGCTCAGTCTCAGTTCGGTGCCCTGCTCAAGTAAGCTCAGCCCATCACTCACTCTGTGGCCAATGCTTTTGCAAGGGAAAGACTGTCACGGAGTGGAAAGTGAGTATCACATGTTACTTCATCCTAGCAAACTAAGTTCTGTCTAAGCTCCTTCCTCCTTGCAGACAGACTTAGACTCTGTGCTTAATAACTGAAGTGTACTTCACAGGGGCCTGAGACCAGGAAATTCTAGACTTCCTGTTAACATTGGACCACATTTTCAGAAGTTCAGATAGCATGTTCAGACATGTGGAGAGCTTTTTATTACAAATGATACTTAGTGTGGACCATTGATATGATTTTAAATGTTCCTCTCTGTTTTTAAATTTTAGTATCCCACACTTCTGTTCCTTGCTAGGTCTCCTATAACTTTACAGCATAAGCAAGAGCATAAGAAGTAAAAAATAAGGACTTGAGTTCATTTCATGGTTTAGTTTTGAAATGTAATATGTTCTTTCAGATTCACAGGGCTTAGATTTTCTGGCACAGTCTCTCCGGCATACATGGTGTAAGGACGTTGTCAGCAACCTAGGACCACCTGCTGCAGGTGAGTCCTGCCAGTTTGATTTCTTTTATAGCCAGCACAAAATCACACTCTGTGGAAGCACTGGAGAGTGAGCCTCGGGCCTCACACCTGCTTGGTCACTGAGCTTTATTAAACCTCAGCCCATTTTTGTCATTTTTAAAAGTAGTTCTTTGTTGTCTTTATATGGGGTTAAGTGTTCTTTATCTACTTTGGATGATAGTCCTTTATCAGATGTATCTTCTGCAGTCATTTTCTTCTAGTGTATGGCTTATTTTCTTTAGTGTTTGATTTGATGTGTCATTGCTTTTAAAGAGAATTTTGCATCTATGTTTATAAGACATAGTGGCCCTTCATTTTCTTGAAATGCCTTTTTCTGGTTTGGGCATAAGGATAGTGAGGGTCTTGTAGGATGAAGTAGGAAGTGTTTTCTTGCTTCTGTCTTCTGAAAGGGCTTGTGGGATTGGTACCATTTCTTCCCTACATGTTCAATAGACTTCATCAGTGAACCCATCTCAATTTAGAACCCTTTTTGGGAACCATATTAATTCCATTTCTTCAAAACTTATGTATTCTTGTTATCTAGTTTTGTTTGGAAACGTATATCTTTAAAGGAATTTGTTTCATCTAGATCAGTGGATCCCCTTTGGGAGTTGAATAACCCTTTCACAGGGGTCACAGTGTATCAAATATACTGTATGTATATTAGATATATACATTACAATTCATAACAGTAGCAAAAATTACAGCTATAACGTAGCAACAAAATAATTTTATGGTTGACAGTGCCCTTAATCACTACAACTTGAAGAACTGTATTAAAAGGTTGTAGCCTAAGGAAGGTTGAGAACCATTGCTCTCAGTGATCTAGTTGTGAACACGGAGGTGTTCATTCCACTATCTCTCAACTTCTTGATATGCTTATAAACACAAGTGGAGTATCCTTTATTAGTCTCTCAATGTCCATGGGTGAGTAGTCATGTCCCTGCTTTCATTTCTCTCTTTCTCTTTCCCTGCTTATCTCTTGATCTCCCTTCTTCTGCCCCCTAAATTAGAGCCTTAGCAATTTTGTTACTATTTTTTTTAACTTGTTTAGTTTTATTTCATATGCAAGGGTGTTTTGCCTGCATGTATGTCTGTGTGAGGTGTCAGAGCCCTGAAACTGGCATTACAGACGGTTGTGAGCTGCATGTGGGTGCTGGGAATTGAACCAGGGTCTTCTAGGAGAGCAGCCAGTGCTCTTAATCACTGAACCATCTCTCTAACCCCTTTCTTTTCAAACACATGCTGTAGGCTGTATTCTGTGTTCTCAGGACTATGCTACAGACCTGCCCCTCAGTATGGCTGTTTGCATACAGGGTCTTTATGAGAGATTAGCTCAGGGATGCCATAAGGACAGCCCCATAGAGAACCAGAACTGACTTTCTCCTCAGTATCATGGACTTAGTAAGATGATGGCTAGCTGTACACCAGGAAGATAGCACTCCTGAAACCACATTGGCCAACGCTTTGATCTTGGATTTGCAGCCTCCAAGACTATAAGAAAATTAATTTCTGTTGTTTAAGCAACTTACTCAGACTGATGCAAACATTTTGAAGTTGTTTCATAGTTCTTGGATATTTCAGTTTAAACAGTTTTTTTCTTCTGTTTGCTTTTCCACTTTGGAATTTCCTGTCGTAGTTTGTGGGGGTAAGAATATAGATCCTGTGTATCCCCCCCCCAAAAAAAAAGGTTTCTCTGTGTAACAGCCCTGGCTAACCTGGAACTCACTCTGTAGACCAGGCAGGCCTCCAACTCACAGAGATCCCCCTGCCTCTGCTGAGATTAAAGGTATGTGCCACCACACCCAGCTAGATCCTAGATCCTTTTTCTTGGTGAGAGTCAGTTACACTGCATTAGGATTAAGTTTATAGAAAGAAATAAAGGGCAAGAGTTTAGATAACCTCAGCAGCTGAAGCAGCTTCAATAACCTGAGAGGTGGTGTCTGCCCAGTGGATTATAGGCTTCAAGCTGGGACCTCTGTAGCTGCAGGTAGGGAAAAGGGAAGGGGTATTGTTAGGGGAAGAACGGGAAGTTAGCTGTTTTCCTTAGGCAGCTGTGTTTGAAACTATAGGGTCTATTGTCTATCTGCGACTATCTGGCTGCTTTGCTTCTGCAATCTCCAGGATTGCCAGATCACAGGAAGCACGTTTTAGCGATTCCTAAATAGCTGGTTTGGAAATCTGAGCTCAGATTAGAGTCTTGGCTTTTTTTCTTTTCTTTTTTTTTGGGTCGGGGTGGGGGCCTGTGTACATTGTAGGAGAAGCATATATGTTGGAAACATAAGTAGCCTCCTTTGGAAAGTACAGTCTGCCAAGTTGGGAAAATTGTTTTATTCTTTTTAAGTTGATATATGAATTTCTACAACCCTTTTAAAAAGTAATTGAAGCAAGATTTTTAAAAATTGCATTGATCTAGCATGTACCTATACATATGAGTGGGCATATACATACTGTAGAATGCCTGTGGAGGTTAGAGAACAACTTACAACAGTTTTCTCCTTCCAGCATGTAGGACTGGGGATCAAACTCGGGTCACCGGGCTTGGCAGCTAGTGCCTTTACGAAAGTGCTTTTACCTGATGAGCCATTTTGTTATTCCCAAAGCAAGATTTTTAAGTTTAATCCCTACAAGTTTAATATAAAATCTGTTGGACAATAATTTATGTGTTGAAACTTTATAACAGTACTTGTTTGTATTATTTTTGTCCTATTTTATATAGTTTTCAATAGCTTTTTATTACTATCTTTATTTTGCAGATAAAGCTGTAAACTGTAAGGATTCCTTGGGAGACTCGCCTAAAATGATGTTTGAGAAGAAACAGCAGAGCCTCCCTGTAAAGCACATGGATAAGGTTGTATGTTTAAATGCCTGATGAATGTAAAGCTCACATGACACTGATATCCTGTTACCAGCAAAATGTGTGCTTCAAAGTAGTCTCATCCATAAACAATGTAGTTTGTGTGTTTGTCTTAATGGAGCAAGGTTACTGGCTCCACCTTGTAGAGCTTTTGTTTCCAGTGAGTAGTATCCTATCTATAAAAGTGTTCTTAAGCTCACTAAACATAGATGTGTTACTGTCTGGACTTGGGGAGCATTCAAATAATTAACTTCAATTCTGATGTGCCTTATAGTTCTTTTGACAAAGACATGTAAAAGTAATTGTAGACATTTTAAACACTCATATGAAATGCCAATTGCCTGTTGTTTGATGTTTTAATCTAACGATTATAGTAACAGTATAACTAACTTTAACTCTCCCCCCATCTGTGTCCATGAAAACTTTCTGGAATAATTGTTGATGAAAATAATTATCACTATATTTTGGTTCCAAAAAATACAAATCTTAAAAAAGGTGTATATAACCCCCTCATTTCTTCCTTATTCTCCTTTCTGCCTTTCCTTCTTCCCCCTCCTTTCTTCCATTCTTACAGTGTGTTGAATCTTCAGTTTACTGGCCAACCAAAAGAGGCATAACCATACATGCTGATCCAGATGTTCCAGCAGCAAGGTATGATATGAAGATTCAGTTCAGCACACTAGAGCCTTAGGACAGTGTAACACAGTCTGACATAAATATCCTTCATATTAGGGTGGGAGTTTTGGGGCTTAGTTCCACAAGTTTGAGACTACTGAGGCTATCCACCTGTGTGTCTCAGATCCAAATAAAAATGTGTGATATTTACATACAGTCTATGCATATTCTCACGTATATTTTAAATCACCTCTAAATGACTTCTAATACCTAATGCAATGTAAATACTATACAAGTAGTTATTATAGTATATTGTTTAGGGAATAATGTCAAGGAATGAAATGTAAATATTTAAGACAGCAGTTTGTTTTTGCCAAACATTTCCAGCCTGTGGTTGGTTGAATGCACAGCTGTGGAGACCACAAATGCAGAAGGCCACATTACAGTAATTATGTAAAAGGTTGATGACCGACTGGAATACCATACCTCCCCTCAACCCCCAAAAAATAAAAGTTGGTCTTCTCTTCCTCTGCAAGCTCCCACATCAGCTCTACTTCGAAGCCCTAGCACACTGAATTTATATAACTACCATCTGGGTCCTGATTGGCTGGATATGGGAAGATGAAAAATAAGAGCACCAGGAAAGAGATGCTAGGCCTGGTGGAGGGAGGGCTAGGGCTGAGCTCACAATCAGGTCCCCAGGCCTCTCTGCCTTTACAGGAGGAGGGAAACTAGTAAGGAAATTGCTGTTCACTCCTGGTTACTACAGCGGTCTTTGTAGGCCACCTGCTGCTCTCAGGATGCTTTGTTGTTCCACCGGGGATTTCACACGGCTTGGCTTTTGTTGGTTTGTTTCTGTTCTTATTTCTTTAGCAGCTACTCCTCTTCTTGAGGCTTCCAGCTGTCAGAAAGCCTCTTGGGGTGGGTAGACAAGGCACATGGACAAGGGCAGGCCCAGACCCCTAACAATTTCTCTGTGTCTTGTGATGGAGGCTTGTGGCTTCCTCAACAGCAGGGTCTTATTATCATCTAGGTTCTAGTGAGCAACCTATACCAGAGGCTGTATTAATGTGTGAATAATCTTTTCATGTGTTTTGGTTTCTAGTGGGTTTACCCAGAAGCCAAATGAGAAGCCACTACGGTTAACTGAAAAAAGAGACTGTGATGAGAAGAATGGCTGTGTAAAGTAAGGTTTGTTTGTTTGTTTTGAATTGGTATGTTGGGTGGTTTATTTCTTCCCTGACTTGACTTGTTTATTGAAATATTCGCATAATATGCTAAGCAGGAAGAAATTCCATTTATTGTTGTTGACCTCAAATGTCCATTCCCATAAAACAGCAAATATCCGGAAAGTCCTCTGTAGGTTTTTAAGCTATGTCGGGATGGGGTCAGGTTAAATCTTGGGTCTAGTGTAAAGGGGTTGTTTTCATCCTGATTCTTTCAGTGAGGTAGACAGCTTTTAATGGTATTAGGTGAGTTTTATGCATCTTACGGCCATTGGTTTTCGTGGGTGATTCTTGCTTTCCTTCCCAGTTTTCTGATGTTAAATGGTGCTCTCTAAAAGCAGAGGAACTTCTTTTGATGTTTGTTTAATTCACAAAACTGTTCAGTACCCATGCTTCCTAGACTCTACAACTTAAAGAGCTGCATCCGAGTTGACTGGCTGCTCTGTAGTTAGCAGGCCGACAACTTAAAATAGTTTGTGTCCATGTTGTCTTGCTGCTCTTTACTACTGTCAGTCTGCTGAGCCACCTTCCAGAGCCACCCATGCCCTGGATGGCCTCTGCTAGCAGAGGTCCCTCAGTGTTGAGGAGTCAAGTGCATTGAAGCCTGGTGTGGGGCTCACTGTGGGCTAATGATCAATAGCCCCTCCCAGAGAAGCTCTCCTGCCTAATGCTTGATGGATTTGCTATTATAAGTGTCTTAGTCAGGGCTTTTATTGCTTTGACAAAACACCATGACCAAAAAGCATGTTAGGGAGGAAAAGCTTTATTCTGTTTACTCTTCCCATTGCTGTTCCACACCAAAGGATACAGGACAGGAACACAAAACAGGGCAGGATCCTGGAAGCAGGCGCTGATGTACAGACCATGGAGGGGTGCTGCTTCCTGGCTTACTCCCCATGACTTGTTCAGCAGAGTTTTGAACCATGTGTGTCCAGGAAGTGCTGGCAGGCAGTGAAAAACCTGACAGAGTGAGAGTCGCTGGCTTACATCAGCAGTGACTTGGGCAACAAACACTTTCAGAAGAGGCCATGCAGGACCTGAAGTCCTGTGTAGAAGCCGTAACCAACCATACAGCAGTGTTGTGTGCCACTCACTATTCCTGGGAGACATGAACAAAAGACTACTTAGCTCAGCGAGGAAACCAACAACAGACAGAAGTGCAGATGCCACCAGAATCCAACTGTACAAACTAGTGAGTTCATTACAGGAGCAGTAATGACTCAAGACAGCCAAATCACAAAAAGCCCACCCCAGCATTGCTAACAGTTCACAGAACCTGGAAGCCTGGAGTACGCTCGCTGCAAAACCTGCAGGCAGCTCAGCAGGTCCAGTGTCCTTTCCAGGTAGCTCAGCTGCTCTCTGCTTCTTCCAGGCAGCTTTGCTGGTCTGAGGGTGTTTCTCGATAATCCTTACAACTTAGATATACTTGGGGAGGGGATTCCTGGAGCCTTTGAGTTTACTTTCTGAATTTCCTGACTGTCCATGAAAGATGGAATGTTTTACTTTCCCAGAGAATGCTTTTGGTCTCATCTGCTTGTAAAAATGTGTCCTGGAGATTTCATCCTATTGTTTCAACTTTCTCCTTTTATGTCTTAACCAACTTTCCTCCAAGATGAGGGTTTCAGTCTGTGAGTAACAGCAACACAACAGACAGATTTCTTTAGGGGTGTAGGTGTTGTATTAGGCCCCCAGTCTGTTCCTCTGAGGGCCTCTGGAAATACCAGGTACCTTGTGTTGGACCTAAAGCATAGTTACAGCCTCTTGCCAACCTCATCAGCTAACCTTGGATTTATGTGAGATGAAATTCCACTTAGTTTTGTGGGTAGTGGTTCCCTGTAGCACTTTTCAAACATAGTATTTATGCATTATAAAATTTACCATCTTAAAGTGCAGAGTTTAGTGGTTCAGGGTAATATTTATACTCATGTAACTATCACCAGCAATCTAGTTTCTTACCATTTTTGTCCCTTCCCACCATATCAAAGTCACTCTCCATTTCCTTACCCTCTGGCTGGCACAAATTGGTTGTCTGGGTTTTTCCTGTCTGGAGTATTATACATCTTTGATCCCAGCACTCTGGAGACAGAGGCAGGTGGAGCTCTTTGAGTTGGAGGACAGCCTGGTCTACAGAGAGTATGCCAGGGCAGACAGTTCTAGGACAGACAGACAGAAACTCTGTCGTAACAACAACAGAATTAATTATTTTTTCAAAATCTGTAGACAGGAAAGGAAATACTGTGGTTCACTGTGTGACCACCATCCTTCATCCTGACTTCCTGCTTCAGAAAATGGTGTGACTTCTCTGCTGCTCTCACCAATCCTTACCCATGAGTGAGTGACTCTGGGTGTAAAGAAGAGCTCTTTCAAATTACTTCTTTTCTTTAGCAGTTGAGTATAAGTTCTCATCTGGTATTTTCTGACTATAAAATAAAGCTAATGATTAGACCAGTGGTTCTGACTTTATCTGAGTCCCCTTTTAGATACTGTACCCTGCAGGACATTGGTGGCAGGTGTGGTGGCCCAGATGCCAGCCCAGGTTTTGAGTGGGAAACAGGAAACAGGTGTGACCTCCGTGGTCCTTGAATCCTAGTGAGGCCAGCAAGACAGAGCACAGTGTTTGCCCAGATGTGCCCTGGGGTGGATGGCCACTGTATCTCCCTCCACAGGGAAGAGTTAAAAAGGATTTCAGTGGGGAAATGTAACCACTTCCTTCTTCAAATTGCTTTTTAACTGCTTTACAGATTACTGCAGTTTCTAAATCCTGATCCTTTGAGAGCTGATGAGATCTCTGACCTGCACCAGGTATTACAAACCATAAAAACAGAAGGTCAGACAAGAGAAACTGGTAGTGTTATTAAGCCTTCTTTCTCCCTGAGATGGGGCATCTTCCCAAGACATGGCTTTAGTAGAGTCTAGAAAGCCACTGCTTTAGTGGCTGTGTTTTATTTGGGGAACAAATGATCTTTAATTTGGGTGGTTTATGTTTTCCAGGAAGCACGCATCCCTAGGTTTTTACATGGCAATGTTGTGTTTTCGTCTTGGTAAAGCCCTGAATACTCTATCGTCCACTCAAGGGAGACCTGGCTGTGCTTGTCTAATGTCTGTGTTGGTTAGTTGCAGAAGGTGAAACTGGGAGCACTACAGCCTGGTGTGGTGCTCCGGAACAGGATCGAGCCCTGCCTGACCATGGATAAGTCACCTCTGTCGGCAGACCTGAAGAAGGTGAACGTGTTCTTAAAGCCAGACTGCTGAGGAGGTGCCAGCTCTTTCCAGCACAAGGGTTACTTTGTTTTGCTTTGTCCGTTCTGCTCTAAGAGCAATGGGGATGGAATCCAGGGCTTCATGCATCCTGGGCATGCATTCATCACTGAACCATACCCCGGTCCCATAGGAGGCTTTAAAGAAACAGCTCTAAGGCCGCACTGCATTCTTCTTGCTTCTGAAATTCTCTTGGAATCTTTGTGATTTCTTTCTCATGTGTCTGTAAGCCCAGATTAACTTCCCAGAAGATTCATTCTTTTGTAGAAAAGCCCATTGTGCAACTGTCAGTCCTTTTCTAAAGTAAGTTTTCTTCTTTATCTTTTTGGTTTTTGTTTTGTTTTTTGGTTTTTTGAGACAGTTTCTCTGTGTAGTCCTGGGTGTCCTGGAACTCACTCTGTAGACCAGGCTGGCCTTGACCTCACAGAGATCTGCCTCTGCCTCTGCCTCCGCCTCCTAAGTGCTGGGATTAAAAGCTTGTTTGTTTTTGTTTTGTGTTTTCTGATTCTAGAAATTGTCCTAGATTGTGTCCTACCAGTTTGTATTGTTCTAAGCGGGGGTGGGGCCCCACTAGAGCCATGTTCTAGAGAGCAATTTATAATAATATTCAAAACTGTCCTAGTCAAAATGCCAGCTTGCTGCCTGTCTTTCTTCAGTGTTACAGTTCATGATGACAAGATTTGCCTCACCCTCTGAGCTGCTTCTTGGGTTTCAGTGGCTTTTCAGTATGAACAAGCTGGTGATCAGAGACACACTGAAGATCATCTTTCCCCCAAAACAGGAGTAACCAAATCAAGTTTTGTGCAGGGAGAAGAGACTGGTAGAAAGTGTGCATCACTGTGTGTGGTGTGGGCCTGCAGTCCCAGGGACATGGGAAGCTGAGACACAAGGGTTCTTTGAGCATAGAACTTCGGGGTCAGCATGGGCCGCATAGTGACACTATGAAAAAGAAAACTACCCCAGAGACACAAGAAGATCCTGCATTGATTTAATGGCAACAACGGTTTCTGTTGTGTTTCTGCTTTTGGGGTGTGGACACGTCCTTTCAGCTGGATGAAGGATCTTGCCATAGTTGACCATAGTGTTGGAACAGAAAAGGAGAGCAGGAACACATGCTTGCTGGATGTGCCCCAAGGCTTCTAGGGAACATGAAGCTGATGCTCACTGATGACATGGTCTTCAGGCCCTCTAGGAAACATGCAGCTGTTCCTTTGGCTATGTCTATGCAGATCTACCAGAAGGGTCAAGGGAAAGGGCTATTGTTCAAAAGGAACACTCATAAATGCTACCACAGCAAACCAGAAGCAAACCATTCAGCATGGTTTTGGCTTTGTTGTAAACAAGCACAATTCATGTCAAGAGAATCAGTGTGTCTTGAACATACTAAGCATTCTGGAAAGCTGGTTTGTTCCTGAAAGAGGTATAGGAAAATGGAGTTGGGGGAGAAGCCAAAGAGAAGTGTATCTGGTTCAGCTGAGGTTCCATCCTGCTCCATCCAGGGAAGTAGTTTGTGGGAGCTAACAGAAGAGCTGAGCTACTGGATCTGTTCCCTGTGGCTTCATGGCTAGCTGTACAAGGAGAAAAGGACCTGGATTTTAAAGAGAGGACTGAGGTAGCTCGTAGTATAATCTCAGTACTTGGGAGATAGAGGCAGGAAGATCAAAATCACAGCTTGAGTTACATGAAACCCTCTCAGGAAGATCAAAATCACAGCTTGAGTTACATGAAACCCTCTCAGAATACAAAGTTAAAGGAAAAAAAAAATCAGAAAATAGAAATAAAAGCATTTTTCTAGACAGTATATTTGAAGTATGAAATGCAAGTGAACTGAAAGAGCAAAGATGAAAGTAGAATAAAGTTTAGGGTTTAACTTGAAGTCCAAAAAATTGGATTTCTAAAGGACAAGAGATTCTCTGAGGAGACATTTGTGGACTTGAGTGACATGAATCCACATGTTGACAGTCAGTCCCTGACTGGTACAAGTGAAAAGACTTCCATTAAGCACCTGTGACCCATCTGAACTCAGGTACCGAGGTCATGAAAGCCTCTATGAAGAAGTGATCCCACCACAGAGCAGGTTTCAAAATGACCTTGGACTTGAACATTCAGTTGTTCTAGCTCTACAAACAGGTCTATACTTGTTTTCTCAGTGAGCTATGTGTGTAGAAAGATATTTCCAGGTTTGTAAACTGTAAAGAAAATGAACTTCCTCTTCCCCATGTGCAGAAACCACTGAAGCCTCTGCCTTCCTCACAAGAGTGTCAAGAATGAAGATCACATGAGCTGCAGGCAAAGGAGCAAGCTGACAAATTCCCCTTCAGCTCAGCTGGAAGCTCTGGGCTTTGGGGAAGGGGGTAGCACAGAGAATTCAATGCCCTTTGAAAGTGTATATTCAGGTTTTAGTAATAGTTGAATACTATGCCAATAAAATGTGCTTTTTAAAGATGTTAAGGTAGGTGAGGTGGCATGTGTGTGTAATCCCAGCTCCTGGGAAGCTGTGACAAGAGGATCAAGAGTTTGGGGCTGGAGAGATGGCTCCACAGTTAAGAGCAATTGATGCTCTTGCAGAAGACCCAGTTTGTTCTCAGCACCAGCAAGGTGGCTCAGAATTGTCTTTCCAACAGTTGTGTGCCCTCTTCTGGCCTCCAGGAGTACTGCATGAATGTGGTACACAAGCAATACATGCAACCAAAACACCCATACATGTGAAGAAAAAAAGTTTGGTGCCCTGGTGCTGAGAGTTAGGTGAATGGAGCTGTGAAATGGGGGTGTTTTCTTTGTCATTTATCTCTCTCTTCCCCCACCATTTTCTCCATAGGCTCTTCAAAAAAATAAGTTCCCGGGACCCAGCCACACTGCATCTTACTCTTGGCCTCCTATTGCACGTGGCTGTGATGTGGTGGTCATTTCTCACTGTGGAAATGACCCTTTGTTGTACCTGCCACCACTGCTCACGGTTTTGCAAATGGGGGGCTGCTACAAGTCATTACCAAGTAGAAATGGAGTAAGTTGGAGATAATTTTGAAATGGAGTAAATGTTTATTTTCAAGTGACACACTTTTTATCCTAAAGCTGAGGTTATTTTACTCACTTTTTCTCAAACTGCTGGACTGGAAGCAGGCTGTCAGCCTGGCTTGGTGGCACTGTACCTGGGGCACTAAGGCAGTAGGATCATGTTTGGGGCCATCCTGGGCTACATGGTGAATTTGATGTCAGCCTTGGATATGCGTTAAGACCGTGTTTGAAAAAGACAAACCTGGGCCACTTGAAAGTAGCCTTTGCTGTCTTAGTGTCACTGAGTCCTTGGTGATCCTTAACTGTGATGCTTACCTGTGGCCACTAGCTGGGCAGAAGAGCCATGGCTTTTAGAGTTGAGTATAGAGTTTGTAAAATGATGTTAACCTTAATCCACACCACCTGGATAAGATGGTCAGGCCGTGTCTTTCTACTGTCTCACATGAGAACATTGAGTTCGTGGAAAGCTGTTGGCTTACCTGACTAGTGGTGAGTGATTAGAAGTTCAGTTTCTGTTGTCTCTTCCCACATTTTTGCTTCATTGCACCCAACGCTGTTAATATGCTTTTGCCATGGGTAAAAAAGATAGAGGAAATGGGACCTAAGGACAAACTGGTGGTGGGTAGTGCCTTGCTGGATTTTGGCTATCTAACAGAAGGTCCCACCAGGCACCATAAAGCAAGTGTGGCAAGGAAGCGTGCTCAGAGTCTAGAAGGATACTGGGTTTAGGGTTATTGGGTTGTTTTCCTATCCTACCATGCAGTAGAATTTCTCTGGAAATTGCACTGGTTATGTATTGACTTCAGTGAGTGCATTTATACCCTGAATTAAGCTAGGCAGCTAAGCCCCACTGATGATGGAAGTGCCATTTTGTGCTGAGATGGGAAGAAAGTGACATTCAGCCCTTACTCTTGTGTTTCCCCTGCTTTCTCCTTGCCTCCACAGGCAGCTTGCTTTCAGGCCTGTGGAGAAGTTGGCACTTGTCTGGACCTATCTAGAGGAAGGACACCAGGCTCTTCACAGTAGGAAGCATATGCCCATGAAATGTTAACAGGCAGGTCACCTGGAGAGTCTGTGGGCTGACGGGGAGCTGAGTTTAAAAAGCACTCTCCTAAGGAAGAGTCAGTGGCTCTTTCAAGGCATTCATTCATCCTAGTGCTTAGGAGTAGGAAATGGAGCCAGACTTCTGGGTTCTTAGTTTCTTGCTGTTGTATTAGCTGTGTAGCCCTGAGGACTGACTTCACGAGTGTGTTAAGGTTTAAATGACTGAGGGAGTGCTTTAGTTCAGCTTAAGAAGAACTTGCTCAGTGTTGTCAAACCCACTCTAATGAAAATGCTCACTTTTCTCATCTGTATGATGATGATAGCTACAGACTTACTCTGTGCCAGGAAATGGTCTGGATATTTCACATGTTATGTTTAATTCCTAACAACTGTCCAAATCATTTGAATCTGTTTGTCTTTGCAGCCTCTTGCAGTCATCGTGTGTCCTGGGTGGAAAAAGGCCCAGTTTATTTTTGAGCTATTGGGAGACTGTAGCATGTCCTCCAGGCCTCTTCATCCTGTGTTATTAACAATTGGACTTCACAAAGATGAAGCCAAAAATATGAAGCTTCCAAGGGGGTGTAAGCATCCTTTCCAAGCTGTTTGGTTTTCTTTACAGAAGACAGTGAGCTTGCCTAAGCAGCCTGGGTCCTCAGTTGCTGGCCACTGGCTCTAACTTGACTCCCTAGTTACTAGCGGGTGTCAGTGGTGAAGGCTTAGTCTTGATGCATGTCTCTGAGAAAAGTGCATGATTCGTTCAGTTGTCATATGCTGCTGACTGTTCGCTATCAGAGGCTGGGCACAGGGCTGAGGAAATCTGCCGATCAGGAAGCAGAGCCTCTGGCAGCTGGGTGTAGTCAGAGACTACAGCTCACACAGGGTGGACAGGGGCTGGCTTTGCTCACTTAGTAGAGAAATGGCTGCTGAGAAGGAAGTGGAATCATGGTGAAGGAAGTACTGGAGAAACCTGTAGAAAACCTAAAAAATGTTCACTGGTTTTTTGTTTGTTTGTTTGTTTGTTTATTTTAATGTAGGCGATGTGATCGTCACGACTCCACACAGCCTTGTGAGGCTTCTCACATACCGAAGCCTGTTATTTCTTAGACTCTGCCACCTAGTTCTGGATGAAGTGCAAGTACTGTTCTTCGAAGCTAATGAGCAGGTGAGTGTGGACGCACTGGGTATTGGTGCTCCCCATTACGAGAGCATGCGTGTTTCCAAATTACGTCAGTGTTTCCCTGGTTAGGTAATCATGGAATATCTAGTTGGCAAATCAATTTGGTAATATATATAATTTAGAAGAGAAAACATTTAGCTGAAATTTCCTTTCCAATGGTGAACTTTTACTTGAAAAGAAGTTCTTAAGGAGATTTGTTAAATATTTCATGACTATCTAACTACAGAAGGAACATTTTTAGAAGAGAATTAAGAAATAGAGGAGCACATGAAAAAAGATTCACTATCACTAGTCTTATTCTCAGAGATAGTCTATTTTGCGATATTTCCTTCTTTATAAATGACTTTTTATTGAAACATACAGTTAATAGCAAAAGCTAGTTAGTGCTAATTAAAACCTTAAACTTTATAGTTAGCACTGTGCCAACAAGATTGTTATTGTACCCAAGTATGACAACTTATTTGAAACCTGTGCTCATGCATGCTAGAGAATTGGTTTCCTGCTGAGCCACACCCCCTGAGTTCTTTGACACATTTATTAGAAGTAGTGTGGCAAGCTGACCAAGAACGATGTTTGAGAGTGATGGTGGCCCTCAGGTCAAGTTCAGGCTTTGTTTCTTACTGCTGTGTGGGCTTCTTTGAATCTTGGTGCACATGATCAAGCTGGTTTCTTATATGAACAGCCTTGTACCATTGCTTTTCTGAAGCAGTGGGCAGTCTGTGTTGCTGTTGTCAGCATGCCGTCACACCATGCGTGCTGCTTGCCTGCCATGTGGGGCCCGACTGGCTTATGTTTTCTTTGCCAACTTGTAAACAGTGGGTTCCTATTTCCTTGGCTAATTTGGTTGAAAAATTAATGGAAATTGATCATTATATCTATTCTTCTGTTGGTTGTTTTTAGTTGATGGTGTCATCATTCTGTAATTGAGTTTTGAAGTCTTTAATATAAGCATGTTAATCCCTTGTTAAAAACATATAACAAGATGCTGTTTGTGGTTTAATTCTGTCCCTGTGAATTTTACACTATTTATCATGCATTTTCTTCTTTTGAAACCCTTTGTTTTTTTCCCTATCTTTGGAAAGGCTTTAACCACACTAAAGACTTCAAATGGATAGCCCTCGAATTTTATGTTCTAGCTAATCCTTTACTCTATTTTGAAACAAAGATTAAATTTACTACTTTTTCAGATGTTTGCCATATTAGATAACTTTAAAAAAAACGTTGAAGTGGAAGAGCGGGAGTCTGCACCACACCAGATTGTAGCAGTGGGTGTTCACTGGGACAGGCACATCGACCACCTTGTCCGAGAGTTCATGAAGGACCCGTACATCGTGATCACCGCCCTGGAGGAGGCCGCCCTCTATGGCAATGTCCAGCAGGTGATGGGGAGGGGCTGGGAGCACAAGCAAGTGACTTGTATTCATGCTGCTTATTAGAGTGATAACTGTGGTTTCATCACAAAAGTGTAAGTGTGAGTTAGATTTATATTAGGTTCCTATGCGTTCTTTCTGTTAAAATCTCTCAGGGAGAAGTGTAGATGGAATGCTTTGACCTCTCAGAAACCAGCTGGTTCTGTGTTCATCGGCAGGTAGTGCATCTGTGTCTGGAGTGTGAGAAAACCTCCACTTTACTCCAGATTCTTGACTGTGTTCCAAGTCAGGCCCAGAAGACCTTGATCTTCACCTGCTCTGTAGCGGAGACAGAAATTGTATGCAAGGTAAGCATACAGGCCATTCTCAACATGGGTGGGAGCCATCGCTGCATCTGCTGAGCAGAAATGGACTGAGAGGGTAGGGCGATGCAGTCTGGCGGTGTGACACCAGGCTCTGGCGGGGGGCTGGGCTGGGAAGCGCTGAAAACAGGGACCTGGTACGGAGGAGGAGCAGTGCTGTGTGGCTGTGTCCTGTGAAGTGTGAAAAAACACCAGCATCTGTGCTCTCAAGAAAACTAAGAAGGTGGGATAAGGTAATGTCATGTAGAGTACACTGTAGACAGAAGAGCCAGAGAACTTGCCTTAGGATTCATTCTACTAACCTAATTCTGTAAGCATTCGTTCTTAAAAAAAATAGCACCATGTCTTCCTTTCCATGGTAAGACGCTACAGCATACAGCTTGAAAGGCCTTACAGTAGCACACATAATTGGTTTAAGCATACACGTGTGCGCCCACACACATGAACGTGCTAGTTAAAAGAAAGGGAAGTAGCTTTGCAAATAGTGTTTCCCTGAAAGCAGATCTTTAGACCAAACCTACAGAATCATGGGGGGTGCATTTGTCCTAAGTTGGTGGCCTCATTCTCATTTATACTCTTGCTGGTAATTTAGAGTTGACACTGGTAGTTACCAGTAGAACCACTGACTGAACTTCCATGGACCTAATGCGCATGTCTCTGATTTCATTTTCAGGTAGTAGAAAGCAATTCAATATTTTGCTTGAAAATGCATAAAGAAATGGCTTTTAACTTAAAAAGCATTTTAGAACAGTGGAAGAAGAAGCTAAGTTCTGGCTCTCACATTGTATTAAGTGAGTATTTTAATGTATATTTATATTAGACATGGCTGCACTAATAGGGGGCATGTCTTCATATACCTCACCTTTAGACTTCACACTGTTGTTACGATTTCAGAATTCATTAGGAATCTTCATTTCAGGTGAAAATTAACCACCTCCCTTCAAGGTAGATCTAGGGCTCTCAGCTTAGCAGGCAGGGTCCCCCTGGAGTCCCAGTTCGGGTTCACCTATGTACAAAGTCTGTTAGTCTGCATCTGTCTGCCTGTCAGTCCGTCCGTTCATGCACACACCTGTAACAGTACTAAGGTTAATAACAGAAATATAAAGGTCAAAATGCACAGAGCAAGTGAAAACTCTATGGGCAGGCTGATTGCTGATAGAGGAAGGAATATTTTTTGAGCTAAAAGACAGAACACTGACCTGGAATTTTGTCAGTAGGCTGTCGCACTTTAAGGGACAAAAAGAGAAAGATGGTATTTGCATATTGAAAGTGGCACGGGGCTGTGGGTGTGGCTTAGTGGTCAAGCTTTTGCCCAGCATGCATATGGCCTGGGGTCCATCCTCTGCACTTAAATAAAGGAAGTAAAATATAGTACAGAAACGTGGTACTGTGTGGGTGCTGGGCCTGCTGATCTGAGTTCATACAGAAACACCATTCATGAGACCTTGTGGACATTTTCCTCAGCCCTAACAGACGACTGCATACCACTCCTGGCCATCACCGACGCCACGTGTGTGGTTCATTTCAGCTTTCCCTCCTCACCAAAAGTGTTTGGTGGACGCCTGTATTGCATGTCTGATCATTTTCAGAATTTAACTGAACAGGTTTGATCAATTTTTATTCTATTTGGGGTGTGTGTGTGTGTGTGTGTGTGTGTGTGTGTGTGTGTGTGTGTGTGTTTTACTGGCAAATTCAGAGCCTACAAAGCTTCATTGAGTAAGATCAGATTGTTATGGATGAGCTGTGTCTTTTATTCACTCCCAATTTTAAGGGTTCTCCTGCAGAGCAGGGAGATAAGAAAACTAAATCTGTCTTGCTGCTGACTGAGAGAAATGCAAGCCATGCAGTTGGCGTCCTGCGATACTTGGAGCGAGCAGATGCCAAAATCCCATCAGAGCTCTATGAGTTTACTGCAGGGGTCCTGGAAGCCAAAGAAGACAAGAAGGCCAGAAGACCTCTTTGTCCATATCTGAAGGCATTTGGCTTTTGCAAGTAAGTCAGTACTTTTTAAAATTGAGTAGTAATGTATATTAAAGTTCATAGGTAACAAACTTGGTCCTTCATGAAAATATCACCCTTATGTCCCTGTGTCAATACAAAAGGAGCACTCAGAGGTTCCCACATGGTCCTCCAGAAATGACTACCTTCCCATAGCTGTTTGTACTGGCAAGCTCTGCTTTTTTTTTTTAGGTGACACATATTAATAGAATTCAGTGTGATATTTCCATACATGTACATAGGGTACACCAGCCAACTCTAACCTACCGTATTCTACTAACCTTCCACATACCCTTCACAATTGCTAGCAATCACACTTTGGCTTTCTGATCCACTTTTAAGTTTTCACTTATAAGAGAACAAAGTGCTTGTTTTTCTGTAGCTGAATTGTTTTCATTATTTCCTCCTTTTGCTACAAATGACAGGATTTTTTTTTGTTACTGAATATTTCTATGCTCTGTGTGTTTACCCCATTTTTAATGTTAATTTATTAATGAGAATTGTATTAGTTTGCTTTTCTGTTGTATTATAAAACATTCTGATTGAAAACAACTTAGAGAAGAGAAGGTTTGTTGTCCTTGGAATGTAATTGGATACCATAGGCTCATAGGGAGTAGTACTATTAGGAGGTGTGGCCTTGTGGGACTAGGTGTCATTGTGGAGGTGGGCTTTGAGTTCTCATATATGCTGAAGCCACGCCCAGTGGCACAATCTTTTGCTGCTGCCTGTGGATCAAGATGTAGAGCTCTCAGCTCCTCCAGTACCAAGTCTGCCTACACACTGTCATGCTTCCTGCATGGTGATAATAGACTGAACCTCTGAAACTGTAAGCCAGCCTCAAAGAAATTGTTTTCTTTATAGGAGTTGCCATGGTCATGGTATCTCTTCACAGCAAAGAAACCCTAGCTAAGACAAGGTTTATTTCAGTTTATCTGTATTTTGTGGCTTTGTATTTTGTTCTGTGACTACATTGCCATGTGCGTATCCACTTTTAGTTTATGGGCCTGTGGCAGTTTGCAGTTGGGCTGTTACATTTGGTGCAGTTCTCAATGTTCTCCTGCATGTCTTTCTAGGAACTGTGTGTGTGCTCCTTTGTGTGACATGGTTAAGGAGGGGCTCTTGCCTTAGAGGTCAGTTGGCCTTTCTTGCAGATTATGGTGCTGTGTCCTGAGGGGCTAGAGAGATGGCCCAGCAGTTAAGAGTACTGGCTGCTCTCCAGAGGACCTCTGTTGGATTCTCATTAACCCAACAACTGCTCACAACCATCTGTTACTCCATTTTCAGGAGATCTGATACCCTCTTCTGGCCTTTGTGGGCATCAGGCACTCATGTGGTGCACAGACATACATGCAAGCAAAACATCCGTACAAATGATATAAAAATACAAAATTAAAGAAATAAGAATGTGCTAAGGAATAATAAAGAACTCTTAGTTCATACAATGTTGATTAAATAGTGGAGTTATTCTTACATGAGTACTGTTGGTGTCCTCTTCAGTCTTAAGCAACTTAGCATTTAAATGTTTGAAATAAAACTTGAGTGTACCTGCAGGTCAATTTCTTGGAGATGTCTTAACATTTCGTGTTAACTTATTTTCTTTTTGTTTTAAAATCTAGTCTTTTTTTTCCCCCCCCCAGAGACAAAAGGATCTGCCCTGACCGGCACCATGTTAATCCAGAAATGGACACCCCAAGGAAATTATCCAACAAAATTCTGCCAGTGCTTGGACACATTAGGGTACGTTTTGCCTGCATATTTTGTCTACTGGTTAACAGTAATTTTCATAAAGACTTTGTTTTAATTTATTAATATTTTTTGAGAATTTTATACAACGTGTTTTGATCATAGTTATGCCCTTCCTCCACCTCCCCTCAGATCAGCTTCTTACCCACCCAGCTTTGTGTTGGAAAAGCAAAACTGTAAAGTCCAGTTGTGCTACCTACACATCCTTGAATGTGGCCCTCTGCTGGAGCATGGTGGATCTGCCAATGGCTGCACTCAAGAGAAAACAAATGCTGTTTTTAAAGCAGCAGGGAAAATGAAGCACTGTGTGTTGAGTTAGCTTTTTAAGGTTGCTTCAACAGCCAGAGCTGGCGACTCGTAACAGCAGCTGCTTTCTCACAGTTTATGCCCAGGTATGGGCAGTGTGCCAGTGTGCACAGGACAGTCTAATCCTTGTCTTTCCTGTCTCTCCCAACCCCTGCTGCCTCCCCCAGCCCCTGCTGCCTCCTCCCAGCCTCTTCTGCCCCAGGAACCTTGCGGCTTGACATGTCTTGATTTTGGAGTTGCATGTCTCTTAGCCTGCTTCTTCAAGTTGCTGCTTCTATATTCAAGTAGGCGTCTCTTCTCGCTTTTCTCTTATAAAAAAAAAAAAAAAAAAGTACTTGTTACTGGGGAGAAGGCCTACCCATTTGTCTAAAACTATTCCCTTATAGAACTTCTGTTGTATTCAGAAGTTCTACCTATTAAATGGTTGTCTGTGCTTTAGATAGCCTACCATTTAAGGACTCCTTATGTGGAGTAAGATTGCATGAGTCCTTGCGGTGATAATCATATTTGAAGAGACCTTTTATCAAAGAAGGTCATGCTTATTGTGACCTTGGGTGGTAGAATGCCCTTTAAATTTTTAATATTGCTGTATGTTAGTGTGTGTGTGTGTGCATGTGTGTGTGTGCATATGACAGACAGAATAAAAATCAAAATGTGCATATAGAAGTCAGAGGACGACTTTTCACATTGCTGAGGCAGGCACTCTTGTTTCTGCCTTGTCGACTTCAGGCTAGCTTCCAAGTAACAGTTTTCCTATTCCCATCTCCCATCTTGCTGTATGTGAACACCACTTACGCCTTTTTAACATAGATTTTGGGCTCAAGCTTGGGCCTTTGGGCTTATAGGGCAGGTGTTCTTACCCGCTGAATGTCTTGGTGTCCCAGTCTTAAAATTTAGGGTATTATCCAGACGTTTTTGAGGGGTCATCATTCCAATTCAGTGCAGTTTTATTATTGTCATGTTTTTTTCTCTAATTTTTAGTTTTTTCAACTCAATTTAAAGTTTTCCTAATTCACATTTATGTTATTTTTTTTTTTTAGAGGACAGTGCTGAGGCGTGATTCTAGAGCCCCTTAAACATTGCTACTATGTAGTGCTGAATAACCCCACTACACTTTAGTTTATTCATGTAAAATAATAACCTTTTAAATTATGGTCTTATTAGATGATGTCTCGCTATGAACTCTGGCTAGCGTGGAACTCCTTGCTGGCCAGCTTTCATAGTGGCAGGAGGTTTCATGCAGGCTGACATGGGAAATTGTCATCAACAGTCTTAGTTATGGAATGTTTTTTAGCCATAAAGAAGAAAGAAATTCTGTTTTGTAGAAAAGTGGATGTACTGGGAGATAATCATAATAAGTGAATTAAGCCAATCTCAGAAATACAAATATCATATATATTTTCCCCATTGATTTTATAGAGTCATATAAAACATGGATGTGTATGTTAAATGAAAATAGAAGTGAAATTGTCTAGGGGAGCAAAGGGGATAAACAGGAGAGAGGAGGGGCAAGAAAGGGGTGGGTGGGGATTGGGATGTGTGTGAGTTAATATGTTCAACATATTATATATACCTGTACAAAAACTTTAAAATACATATACAGCTTTTTAAATAAATGTATAATGATTTCAGTTAAAAAGTAAACAGAGGAGCCAGGCAGTAGTGCTACACGCCTGCAATCCCAGTACTTTGGAGGCAGAGGTAGGCAGATGTCTGTGAGTTTGAGGATAGCCTGGTCTACAAAGCAAGTCCGGGACAGCCAAGGCTACACATAGAAACCCTGTCTCAAACCACCCTGCACAAAATCAAAGTCCAAGTGGATCAAAGATCTCAACATAAAACCAGAAACACTAAACCTGTTAGAAGAAAAAGTGGGGAAGAGCCTTGAACTCATTGGCACAGGTGACAACTTCCTGAACAGAACACCAACAGCACAGGCCCTAAGAGCAACAATCAATAAATGGGATCTCATGAAACTGAAAAGCTTCTGTAAAGCAAAACACACTGTCAGAACAAAACGACAGCCTACAGACTGGGAAAGGATCTTCACTAACCCTATGTCTGACAGAGGGCTAATGTCTAGTATGTATAAAGAACTCAACAAGTTAAAAAGGAACAAATCAAGTAATCCAATTAAAAAATGCGGTACAGAGCTAAACAGATTTCTCAATAGAGGAATATCGAATGGCGGAGAAACACTTAAAAGAAATGCTCAGTGTCCTTAAGGCATCAGGGAAATGCAAATCAAAACAACCCTGAGATTTCACTTTACACCCACCAGAATGGCCAAGATCAAAAACTCAAGTGACAACACATGCTGGAGAGGATGTGGAGAAAGGGGAACCTTCCTCCATTGCTGGTGGGAATGTAAACTTGTATATTCTGGAAATCAATTTGGCACTTTCTCAGAAAATTAGGAATAGTGCTTCCTCAAGATCCAGCTATACCACTCATAGGCATATATCCAAAATATGCTCAAGTATACAACAAGGACATTTGCTCAGCCATGTTCATAGCAGCTTTGTTCGTAATAGCCAGAATCTGGAAACAACCCAGATGTCCCTCAGCTGAGGAATGGATACAGAAATTGTACATTTACACAGTGGAATACTACTCAGCAATTAAAAACAAGGAAATCATGAAATTTGCAGGCAAATAGTAGGAACTAGAAAAGATCATCCTGAGTGAGGCATCCCAGAAGCAGAAAGACACACATGGTATATACTCACTTATAAGTGGATATTAGACATATAATACAGGATAAACATACTAAAATCTGTACACCTAAAGAAGCTAAGCAAGAAGGAGAACCCTGGGTAAGATGATCAATCCTCATTCAGAAAGGCAAATGGGATAGACATTGGAAGAGGGAGGAAACAGGACAGGAGTCTACCAAACAGGGCCTCTGAAAGACTACTCAGCAGGGTATCGAAGCAGATGCTGAGACTCATAGCCAAACTTTGGGCAGAGTGAAGGGAATCTTATGAAAGAAGAGGGAGATAGAAAGAACTGGAAGGGACAAGACCTCCACAAGGAGAGCAACAGAACCAAAAAATCTGGGTCCAGGGGTCTTTTCTGAGACTGACACTCCAACCAAAGACCATTTATGGTGATAACCTAGAACCCCTGCACAGATGTAGCCCACGGCTGCTCAGTCTCCAAATGGGCTTCCTAGTAAGGGGAACAGGGGCTGTCTCTGACATAAACTCATGGGCTGGCTCTTTGATAACCTCCCCCTGAAGGAGGAGCAGCCTTACCAGGCCACAGAGGAAGACAGTGCAGACAGTCCTGATGAGACCTGATAGGCTAGCATCAGATGGAAGGGGAGGAGGACCTTCCCTATCAGTGGACTAAGGAAGGGGCATGGCAGGAGAAGAGGGAGAAAGGGGGGAATTGGGAGGGGTTTAGGGTGGGTCACCACATCTGGGAAACAAAGTGAATAAGTTGTAATGAACTTAAAAATAAATTAATTATAAAAGTGAACAAAGGAACACATAACCAACTTGCACTTTGTGGGATCTGGGATTGGAAGATCCAGCTCAGGTCTTCAGGGCTGGGTGCAAGTACCTCTACCAGCTGAGCCATCCTCCTGGCCCTAAAGTGAAGTTTTTGAATGATGGAATTTTTTCTCTAAAAATCTTCTGTTAAATTAAATCAAGACTGTGGTATTTTTCTTGTTTTGGTTCAGTGTTTGGCCTGCTTCCTCGTTTATTCTTCTGTCCTTCTGTGCATACTTTAGGTTGTTAGCACATTTGCTGATGTCTGCAGATGACACTTGTGCGGATTGTATTTCAGTTGTCTTCTACAGTTGCTCATTGCATTTATTTCAGATAATACCTTTTTACATTTCAAATGCAACCAATTACTTTGGTCGTATAATTGATAAACAAATGGATCTTTATGCAACTCTCAATGTGGAAATGAATGAATATTTTAAGGATCCCAGTAATAAGGCAGCTGCTGAGAAGGTGGAAAATTTGGGGTTGTATGGATTAGAAGAAAAAACACTTTTCCAGAGGTAAATATTGAGTAATTTAAACAGTGTTGAATGCTCATTCTCACCATGGTCTGTTGTGTGAGTGTCTGTACCCTGAGCCTGGCCACCTCCCAGGAAGGTGGCGCTTGCCCACTGCTCAAAGCATCTGGAACACATGTGCATAGAGTACTGTACTAGTTCCTAAGCATGGAGTACAGTAGCCATGTTACTCCAAATATTTATTGATCCGGCACTATGAGTAGTACATACACGCCTCTGCAACCGGTTGAATTTCTCTCTGATTCCTATAAAAGAGGCATAAATGGAGCCCTGGCTTTGTTGAGTAATTTGTCTAAGCCCATCTCAGTGGGTGGCACAGTTAGTGTTCAGCCTGGCCACCCAACCCATGTATTTATTTGCACCTACCTTTCTGAATGCACATGGCCCACACTGTTGGTATCAGCCTCATCTCAGAAACCTAGAGTCTCTGCCTTGTCCCATTCATTAACTTTTGTTCGTTTAGCAGAGACAGGGTTTGCGCTGTTAGAAGTGTGCATGCTGAGGACTGCTGTGCTGTAGAGGAACCTGCTGAGTGCGGCAGAGTAAAGCGCCTCCTGATGTCCCTGCTGTTCCTCAGGGTGCAGGTGCTGGAGGTGAGCCAGAAGGAAGACACCTGGGGTTTGGGGAGTGTCCTGGTGAAATTCATAGATGAAGGCAGGACCAAGCTCATTGCAAGAGATCAGCTGCTGCTGCTCCCAGAGAAGTTCCACACTCTGCCCCCTCAGGCAGTGGAGTTCATTGTTTGTAGAGTTAAACCAGCTGACAGTGAAATTGAATGGAACCCAAAGGTGAGTTACTTTAGCTTCTTATGTTTATTGACTTAGACAATACAGTTAACCCAGAATATACTAAGAATTGGTACATAGTTTCAGCGTGTATATGTGTCGGGGGAGGGGCTTGTTTGTTCTTAACATGGGGGACTTACTATGTTGCCCATGAAATTGCAGTCATAGTCATTAATGGTAAAAACAAAAGAAATTCAACTTGAAAAAGAAAACTGAGTACCTGTGAAAATAGGGATACAAGTTATAGATATTCCATGGAGAGGTTAGGTGATCCTGTCAGCATTGGTAGTGTGGATTTAAAATGAGAGAGATAGGTGGCCAGGACAGGTCACAAAGACTTTTTTCTGGACCCCATGGGGTCACTAGAATGTCATCAGTCAGATGGGGTACCAACAGCAAAGAAAAATGCCTGTTCCATGCAGTGTAACATAGAAGGCCATTCCACTCAGACTCACATGGCAACCTGAGGTGGGTGGAGGGGCCTGATAGATCATCCCATTCTTCACCAGAGCAATGAGTTCTATTCACGATAATGCATCTGAGTCTAGAAGGTCAAGTTATGGAAGCTGGTTAATAGGCGATGAGATAAGCCATTATGATGAGCATTGGAAACTGGCTGGGTTTTAAGCAAGATTAAATAGTACCTAGGCAATAAGTCAGTAGCAATAAGCAATGGGCTTTTTCAGCTGGAACTCTCCCTCCTTTGTTTTAATAAGAACTTACAGAGTGTTCATTGTGTGTCAGGGGCCATACTGAGTTCTGCACTCATCATGAGGAAGGTCATAGTGCTTGTCCTTTAGTCTGTGAAGATGACTTGAAGGACAGTCTGCTGTAGAAATGGGAGGTTCTAGTTAGGCTTTCTATTGTACCACGTTCTGGAGGAAAGGGTTTATTTGGCTTACACTTCTACATTATAGTTTGTCACTGAAGGAAGCAGGGCTGGTACCTGGAGGCACAAGAAGATTTACAGGCCATGCGTGGGTACTGCTTATCGGCTTGTTCCTCGTGGCTTGCTCAGGCTGCTTTCTTATACAATCCAGGACCCACCAGTCCAGGGATGCTACCACCCACAAGGGGCTGAGCCGTTCCCTGTAAATCCTAATTAAGAAAATGCCTTACTGCCAGATCTTAGGGAGAGAAACACTTTCTCAACTACTTTCAGATAGCTCAGCTTGTGTTAAGTTGATAGAAAACCAGCCAGCACATGAGACAAGCTCTCCTGCGAGTTGTTGCCAATTCATTCACTGTCCCAAGAACACTGAAACAATCTCACAGCAAGGACCAACTAACTCTCCTGTTCTGCTCTATAGGGATTACAGTAAGCACAAGAGATAACTGAGACAGGTCTTGACTGCTGTGGCCTTCCTGAGAGGAGAGTGGTTATGTTCCTGTGAAAGAGCAAGGCCCTCAGTTGTATGTCACTGGCTGCAGAGAGCTCTCTGGCTGTAATGCCTTCTAGAGAAGCAAGTAGGATTTCTGCTTCACTCCCTCAGCTATCAGGAGAGGAACTTCCAGATGCTGTAGGTAGTCTGAGGGTCAACAGAGGATCTGAGTCCACCAGCTGTAGTGAGAAATAGCATTACAGGTCCAAAAGCATAGACCTCTCCTGTTCTCGGAACTCACATGAGGTCTTGAGCCAGTTCCTGTACTTTTGCACACCTGCTGTTGCTAAACTCTTCTGCACCTTTAGTAAGAAAGGAGGCAGATGCATGCCTACGGTCATAGAGCTGGTAGGAGAAACAGGTGCAAAGTGTAGGGTGTCTTATGTACTGAACAACATGGAAAGGATGAGATGCTAGCGGGTGTGGTGGCACATGCCTGTGAACCCTCGGGAGGCAGAGGCAGGTGGATCAGTGAGTTTGAGGTCTGGTCTACAAAGCAAGTCCAGGACAGCCAGGACTACATAGAAAAACCCTGTTTTGAAAAACAAAAATATAAAAAACAAACAAAAAAAAAAGGATGAGTTGCTTGCCCAAAGGCTCAGTTGAATAACAAAAGTACTTTGTTTCAGGTTACTAGATATATTCATCATAAAATTGTTGGGAAAATACATGATGCCAAAGTGGTACTGGCTTTGGGAAATACTCTGTGGATTGATCCAATGGTAAGTGTGCGGTTTTCTTCAAAAGAAGTCTTCTTGGATAGCTCCCAGAACTGATGTAAAGAATTCCAGTTTGTTGGTAGAAATGGAGGTTTATTTGAGGTTCTATGGTGTGTGTGTGTTGGCGGGGGTTGTTATCTTGTTATTTGGGTCATGAGTTTGGTGTGGGTTTTGTTTTTGCCTGGTGAGGTATTTTTCATGGTGACAGTGCATGTGGTCATTGTATATAATGCACATCTATACCATGCATAACTTGAACCGCATATATGATAAGTACCAAACATACATAGCATGAACCTTTCCTCACTGCACATGACATTGTCCGGTATTTACAATGATCAAAGTTTCATTTTATCCTTAATTTGAATTATGAATCGCAGATCATTACATGGGTTTCTGAGCCTCCTGCCCAACCCAGAGCATAGGTCAGAGTCTGCAGCCAGCGTGCTTGCCTTTCTAGTTTCTAACGCTCTGGGCCTTGCTGGCCAATCACTAGTGAGAAGCCCTGTCCTGGCTTCAGAGCTGTCCTCATGTTTATAGTTTCTGCCTTGTTCCTTCTTCATCAGTTGAGCTCCCACTATGTGCTAAAGCCATACTGCACCCGTAAGTTCCATGTGTGGGAAGAAGAGCCTATGGTGCCAGTATGGAGAAGAAAGTGTGACATGTGGCTCCAGAGGCCTGTAGGCTTCTTCACAGTTGTACTGCATTAGACAAGCCTTATTTGTTACGGTCACTTATATAATGGAATTCGGTTCCCTTCTTGTTAAAAGTAAATTTCTTAAAGTTGGAAAAGCTTTAATACATTAAAGTGGAAGTTTAGGTATAAGATTTATGAATAAGAGAAAAAAATCATTTTTCAGAAAGAAAAATTTCAATTACCAGAACAGGTAAGCAGAGATATTTAGGATTCATAAGTTGTTTTGTTATAGTTAGGATTATAGTTGTCCTTTATTAGAGAAAAAAAAAAAAAGATTAAGCAAGGTTTTTTTAAAATACCATCAGAATAAGAATCAATAAAGAAAACCCACTTGAAAACATGTTGTTAGAACTGCAGAGTGTTGGGCAGTGTCTGCGGACATACTGAAGGGAGCAGCGCCCCAGCTTGTCCTACCGAGCAACTCCCCTTCGCTGTGAGGGCTGACTCTTCTATGCATCCCTCGGTTGGAGTGTGCCCTCAGTAGGGTCAGCCTGTTCTCATCCCTGTCCTTCCACAAAATGGGGCACCTGACCTGTGTCCACACTTTTCCACATAGGAATTCCACTGTTGGACTTTTCATGCTTGCATAAATTGAAATGCTTTGGTGGGGGAAAAGACAAACAGATAAAATGGTGTAGAACACAGGACTTGGAGCCTTGGCATGAGGAGTCCTTTAGAGGCTCTTGAGGACTCTGAGCTTTGTCAAAGAGGCCAAAGGAGACTAAGAAAGAAGAAAAGCACAAAGAGTGTGTATCTGGTTACAGCACCCCAGATTGTTGGACACCAAGGCTCTCCTCATAACTCACGATATCACACAGTATGGGATGAGACTTCAGCGGATTCTGCCACCACTTTGGGGATAAAATAACTGGCTGTCCTTGCATACTGAAACCGGTATCCGAGTCATGTGACTTTTAGGAAGCCTTGAGCGGCTGTGAGAGAGCTCGTGATCCAGGCAAGATTCAGAATGTGACTCTTACAAATGTTATGTATTTTTCCCCCCTTTGGTTGAAGGTGCATGTTACAAAACTTTCAAATCTAAAAACTTCTATCATTGATTATAATGTTCGAGCTGAAATTTTGTCCATGGGAATGGGTATTGATAATTCAGAACATGTAGAACAACTGAAAAAACTATACAAAGAAGCTAAACTGCCGGCTTTCGAGGACCTTCCGGGCCAGACCTCGTAAGTCCATTTCTGTCTCCCTGTGGGAAGCTGTTTGGTTTCATGGAAACATAGCAGTGCTGAGATAAAGCTCCACGTTCTAGCACACAGCTTTCAGCACTTTCAGGGTTCAGGGCATCTGGTTCTACACACCAGTTTACCTCTCTAGTGTTGCTGGAGCGGTGTAGACAAAGCCGGGCATTTTAACTGTTTCTTTTACAGAAAGGACTTTTATTGACATTTTGTTTGCAGATAGCTCCATGCGCAGTTTGTTAGTACCCTTGGGTATACTCAAGGTACACTGTGGACACCAGGGGAAAACAGAGATGGGGCTCCCTAGCTTTGCAGTTCATTTGAATGGACAACATCTGTGCTTTGTCTGTCCTATGTCTGGCCACATTATCTCACACTGACCATACATACTGTGTGGTGGAACTGTAGATCTAAGTGTGCACTCTGTGTCCCTGTGAAGTATGTCCCCATGCTCACTTGGTGTGCAGTTGACTGGGCTTGCACATTTGCTGTGCTTCATGATGGTGTCTGCCATCATGAGGAACTGAGTGTGGTTACTGCGACTGCCCACTAGGTTTGTTTTTCTTTTTTCATTAATTTGTTTGTTCATTTTACATCTTGGTCATAGGCCCTTCCTTTCCTCTCAGTCCCACCGTCCTTCCCCAGTTTTTCTTTTTTATGTATTGCAGGAAATAATGGGTTTCATCATGACGTTTTCACACATGCACATAATGTTCTTTGATCGTATCTCTGTTGCACTTCTGTCTCTTCTCCCCCTTGCCTCTCATTCTCCTCCTCCAGATAGTCCCTTTTCTACTTTGACATCTCTCTAAAAAAATCTAGATTCTTCACTTGAAAGAAGAGAGACAGTGTTTGTCTGGGTCTGGCTTATTTCACTTAGTACAGTGATTTTCAGTTTTATCTATCTTCCTGCAAATGCCATTGTTTCAAGTTTTACATATGAGTAAAACGCCACTGTGTATGTTCTCCACATTTTCTTTATTCCTCTACTGATGGGCAACTCTTGATTCCCTGGCTTGGCTACTGCAGGTAGTGTTGAGGGTACACAGATGTGATCACTGAGCAGTTCTCCATACTGGCTGTTGCCAGCTTAAACACCCCCACATGGACTTGCAAGTTGGCTCACAGGGTAAGGGCACTTGCCACCAATTTGATCCACAGAACTCACTTGGTAGAAGGAGGACATCAGTTCCTGAAAGTAATCCTTTGCTTTCCACATGTGTGGAATGGGATGCAGTGCCCTCCACAACATGTAAGGTATAATAAATGTAAAGATTTCCCAATAGGTAGAGCAATTTTTTAAAATAACCATGTGTAGTGCAGTCACTCTGAGAAGTGTTAATCCCACCATTTGAGAATAAAACCACTACCACAAATGTGAAGCAAGCTTTAGTTAAATACTGGCCAGGGTGAAAGGCTCTGGCCAGGTCCATTCTGGAGTTCCCAGAAAATGGTGAGGAATCAGATCACATTTTGCAAAGACTTATATAAAGACTTCCCCATTTCCCTGTCAGATCCAATCAGTACTTCCTCATGTACTTCCTGCCTGCTGCCTTCTGCTTACGCGTGATTGAGCACATGTGGTGCAGTTGGGTCGAGCAGGCTGGCTTTAGGAAGCAAAAACGTGGCTTGCTGTTTTCCATAAACAGTAGCCTCCAACAGCTCTGCAAGCATCTATCTGTGGGCCTTTAAAGGTTAGACACATTTTGTTTTGTGGACCTCTTAGGCATAGTAATTAAAATGTAAAACATAGCTTTGGCTCTCACAGAAGGTTCATGTGATGATTAATACTGACTGTCAACTTGACAGGATCTAGAATCACCTAGGAAAGAGACAAACTGCAGGACATGTGTCTACGAGATTTTTGAGATGGGTTAGTTGAGGTGGGGAGATGTGCCTCAATGGGAGAGCACCACCTCATAGGCTAGGGCCCAGATTGAATAGAAAAGAGAGAGAGCTGAGCACCAGCATCCACTCTCTGTGCCTCCTGACTGAGTCAGTAATGTGCCTGGCTGCCTCACGCTCCTGCCCCATGCCTTCCTCCCACAATGGACTGAACCCTCATATGAATCAAATAGCAACCTTTCTTTACATTGATTTTATCAGGTGTTTTGTCACATAAATGAGAATAATAACTAATAGGGGAAGACAGACACAGCTGTGTGAGTGCCAGAGGATTTGTATCAAGCTGAGCTTGCTGGCTCATGCCTTTAATCCAGGATTTAGGAAACTGAGACAGGAGGATTGCTGTACATTTGAAGCCAATTTGGGCTACAGAATAAAGTCCTATCTCAAAGGAAGGAAAGGGTGTGACGTTGTACCAAAAGCTCTTATCAGAGAGAAAAATATTCTCATCTCACTTCTTAGAGATGAGAACCAAAGACTTGCATCTCTACCTGAGAGAGTGCAGTTACTAGATGGTAGGAGCATGGGCTCGGCTTACTTGACAGCAGGAATGAGCAAGTAAGAGCTGTGGGTGGGGAGCAGGCTCCAGAGAGGGCTCAGGAGTTAAGAGCACTACTGCTCTTGTAGAGGACCTCAGTTCAGTTCTGTGTAACTCTGAAGTGGTTTCCATACTAACTGCACACTTTATATGCATAGCCACAGGAACCACATACTCACCAGAATTTGTGGTCTTTTGTTTTTAATAGTCATTCTGACAGGGTGAAAGCAATCTCAAGTTTTAATTTGCATTTCCCTGACCTCTAAGGATGAACACTTTTTCCAAGTATTTATTGGCCATTGGTATTTTTTTCTTTTGAGGGTTGTCTGTATAGTTCATCAGTCCATTTATTAACTAGATAATTTTGTTGCTTTGTATTTAATTTTTATAATACTTACACATCCTGGATATTAGTCTCCTGTCTGATGTATAGTTGGCAAAGATCTTTTCTCTAATTTCTATAGGCTTTCTCTTCACTCCAGTGGTTGCTGTACAGAATTAAACATTTATATAATCTCATTTGTCAATTCTTGGAATAATCTTCTGTGCTTCTGAAACCCTGGCCATGACATGAGGACCCACTTGATCCCTGGGTTTTACTGCTGTGATCCTCTGTGATCTCAGAAGTTTATTAAATTACAGCCAAAAGGGGAATAGGTGGTCAAAGCATCTGGCAAAGATAAAAATAGTTTGAGATGTAAGTGGTTTTAGCTCTTTGTCGAAGTAAATTAGATACTTGTGGAGTTAGGATAATAGTTGTTTTCCTCACAGGTCAAGGAAACAAAAGTTTCTGTTACTATAAGGTATTCTTTAAAAATAAAGATGTTGTTACTGTTGGGATTTATTCCTAACTCTGAGCAGAGGCTGTGCAAGTCCTCTTCACACAATGGCCTTGGAATTGAGCAGAGGACATCTTGGTTATGGTCAAGGTGGAGACAGATGCAGAGCCTTTGGGGTACAGGATGAAACAGTCTGGAAAAGGAGGCCTATTACATAGTAACAGGTTTTTCCTGCTGATGAAATGAGCCAGTTCAAGTCTGATTAAAGCATAAAGCCAGGTTTATTAGATGCAGCTCTTGGGTAGGTTCTCTGGTCCTGAGGGGGGTGGGGGGAAGAAAGAGTGTGCTCTTGCAGAGAGAAAATGCAGAGAGAGTGAGGGAACCAAAATATCTAGATTTTATAGGGAAGCCCCGCCCCTGCGCTGGAAAGCTCAGGACAGTGGAGAGGTATACCAGGTATTCCTGTTACCACGCCCTAACAGGTAGGGACTGAGGTCAGGTTCACTTTGGTATTTAAATAGGCACCTCAGCCACTTGTCCCAGCGCTAAAACCCAACACATAGCACTTAGATTTTCAAGTTTAGGGTGATTCTGAGAGAGGGGACTGGTGGCCTTTGGTAAGAGTTCAGGAGCATTAGAGTCACAGTAGATGGTAGAGTATGAGTGCGCAGGTTTGCCATCTTTGCCTGTGTAGTTGGACTGTGGGCATGACAAAGGTATGCAGAACTCTTAAAACAACTGGAAGCAGCATGTGGGAATGAGGAGATACAGTGATGCTGAGGGAGATAGGTTGGCAGGTGGTAAGAGGGGGATGAGGCACTGCCTGATGGAGCTGTCACAGGACTGAGGGGCTGACAGATACAGAGATCAGGATTCTGAGATGACACTAAGCATAAGAGGAGATGGTTGGGTAGGGACAGCTCATTAGAGACAAAGCCCAGAGCTGGCTCTTGGATATGTTAAGTTTTAAGGTTATCAAAAAGAAGCAGCTTGGCCTGCTGACACAGGGGGTGGGAAGGGGGTCATGGGAGATCAGTTTTTGGTGGTGACAGTGATGGAGGCCCTCAGCCAGTTCCAGGGTGGTGGCCTAGGTTCATGTAGATGGAACAGAAGCCCCCGGAGACAAAAACTAAGCCCTCTCCCTATTTAGAGGTGTCTGTATCTGTGTCATGCCGGTGTCAACTTTAATTCTCTCTAAAAGCCTGCAAACAGTGAATTACATTGTCATCCATAAGCAGGGGAGCAGGGTTGCAAGGAAGTGCTGCCTTGTGTTATATTTTTATTTTTTATTTGACCTACATGACTGCTATGCTGGTTGTTCTTGTCCACTTGACACAACCTAGACATAGCTAGAAAGACAGAACCTCACTAAGAAAATGCTTCCATAAAATGGGCAAGCCTGTAGGGCATTTTCTTAATCAGTGATTTTTGGGGAGGATCTGGCTCTCTGTGGGTGATGCCACTCCTGGGCTGGTAGTCCTGAGTTGTATAAGAAAACGAGCCAAACAATCCATGAGGAGCGAGCCAGTAAGCAGCACTTCTGCATGGCCTCTGCATCAGGCCCTGCTTCCAGGTGCCTGCCCTGCTCTCTTTCACTAATGGACTGTGATATGGAAGTGTAAACTGAAAATAACCCATGTTAAAGTATCTTTTATTCACCTGATTTAATTGTCGTCTCAGAGGCTACTGCCCCGGTCTGCTAACCAAGGCCTATTCCTGGAAGATTCTAGCCTCTGTACAATCTAATCTAGGCCTAGAATGTTTTCAGCCTCTGAGAGTTAACTGTTAATAAGTTCACCCTTTGTAGTTCTTTCTGAACTCTGGCTGGCTTGTTCAATTTAGCCGTTTCAGCTCAAATTCCTCTCCAAGCTGACTGATTCACTCTGGCTTCTTTCAGTTTCTGACTTTTTGCTCTGTGTGGTCTCAAACTTACTCTATTCTAATCTTCTGGCTCCTTCTCATTCTCAGGCAAATCTGTCTTTACCTGTGTCTACCTTGTTTTCTCTCTGCAACCTGCCTCTGTCCCGGTAAAACTGTCTCTTCCCTCTCTCCTCTGTGCTGCTCTGTATTAAGAGTTGGGCATATCCTGTTCTGCCAGATCTTTGATTCATCACGTTGTCTACCACTCAATTAGACCTCACTTTCAAACATGTGTCTTTCCTTCTACAAACTAATTTTACCTTCATTGTTTGGGATTAAAGGTACGCACTAATTAAAGGTACGCATGCATTAAAGGGCATGTCTATATTCCAGCCAGATTGCCATGTTGCTGATTAAAATTCCTCTGCATGTCATGGTGTTCTATCACAGCTGTAGAAACCCTACATTAAGACAACTAATTGTCTGCTTTAAGAGCCAAAAGAATAGTGATATGTAGTTTTACTTTTTTTTTTTTTTTAGACAAGGTCTCTACATAGCCCTAGCTGTCCTAGAATTCACTGTGTAGACCAGGCTGTCCTTGAACTCAAAGATCTGCTTGCCTCTGTCTTCCAAGAGTTGGCATTACAGGCATACACCACCACTCCTGGCTTTGTGGGCTGTGTGTGTAAATTTTCTTGAAGAGATGGTCACCTGAGTGAAGTGAAGTAGGCTCTAATTGGCTAGTAGGCAAAATCAAAGGGAGATGTGTTGGATTTAGTGGGTTTCTGTGTACATAAAAAGATGTAAATGGAATATAAAATTTTTTCTTATTTTATGTATACTGGTGTTCTTCCTGCTTGTATGTCTGTGTGAGGTTGTCAGAGCCCCTGGAACTGGAGTTACAGACAGTTGGGAGCTACCATGTGGGTGCTGGGAATTGAATCCAGGTCCTTTGGAAAAGCAGTCAGTGCTCTCAACCACTGAGCCAACTCGTCAGCCCTGATATGTATATTTTGGAAGCCTCATCTTAGTCTTACCTCTGAATCTTAAAGCTTCCTCATCCAAGCTTGGAGCTGGACCGCCACCTCCACACCCCCACCCCAGTGAGGTTTACTTTTTTATGGAAACAATATTCTAGAAGTTAGCCTACACTGCTAACAGCATAGACTCCAGGCAGACACACTAGGAGACAGGTGGGGAGGAAGAGAAACCAGCTGTGCACCTGGCCTCTCCTGTCTTGTGTGAGTGAGGAAACTACATATGCTCCTCTTCCCAGTTCAGTGAGTTTGAAGGACAGGCTAGCTGAGCAAATGAGAGAGCGCCTTTCTCTGATCACGTGTCCCTCATCAGATGTGCATGTTTGGAGCAAGAGTACTGAGCAAAGCTGACCGACACTATGCTACCATTGTGTATGGATCACACAGGCTCCAGGATGACAAGCACCTCAGTTGTTTAATGTTGTGGCCTCCTTTGCCAGAGTCTCCTCAAGTTCACTTAACCTCTGCCTCTTCTGGTTAGGATTCCTACCACAATGGAAGACGCCATGTGTTTGCGGGGTACTCAGCAAGGAGATGGAGGTACCGAAAGAGAGGCCGATTCCCAGGTGGACTCAGACAGCCAAAAGCCTGGTTAGTGCCTGCATTTAAAAGATGCTTAACTCGAGTTAGGATTCACATATTTAGGCTTCTCGTTCACTGTGAGAGATGGAAAACAGAGCAGCACACACCAACAGCACTGACCTGTGCTGGCTTCCAGGGATTCTTTTCAGCAGTGCTTTCTCTGTAGGTAGTAGGTCATTTGGTTGGTTGTTGTTGTTGTTGTTTTTTCTGAGACAGGGTTTTACTGTGTAGCCTTGTCTGTCCTGGACTCAATTTGTAGATGATGCTGGCCCCGAACTCACAGAGATCTGCCTCTGCCTCTGTTGGGATTACAGGCATGCACCACCACATCTGGCTTATTGGTAGTGTTTAAGCAGTGATGTGAACACGGTTAAGGGTTTTGTCCCATGTGTGTACCTCTGTCCACACTTAACTCATCCTGGCTGACAGCCTCCAGCACCCTCCCTCGTGACCCAACTTTGGTTTTTCTGAGTTGGAAGTATGTAGCATACACTGTGTTTCCTCCAATCTATAGCACTGTAATCAGTGTTGTTTTTTAATTGTTAGGTTATATTCTATAATAGGAATATACCAGGGCTTTTTGTACCAGTAGTTTACTGGGAAACACCAAGGTTGTTTCTCAGTAGGGGCAATTATGATTAAAGTTGCTCAACACCTTTTTTTTTTTTTTTAATGGTAACTTTAAATGTTTTAGGTAAAGAAGTCTAAATTCCCTTGTCTCAGAAAAGGTATGTTCAGCAGTTGTTCCATCTGCATGTTGATGGAACCTCAGCCTGCAGGTTGAGGGAGCACAAGCAGCCTGGATATCTGTACTCCACGGCAGTCACGTGGACAGCAGCCACCTTCAGTAGAGCGGCTGCTTTCCTGAGAGAGTCTACTATTTGAAAGTTGATTATAGTTTACATTATTGTGTCAGTTTCCTAAAGGATGTGCGATTTAGTTCGAATTATTTGTTACTCAATACCTAAGTTTTAATGAAATTTATACTGTTTGTTTGTTTGTTTGTTTGGAGACAAAGTCTACAGATCTCTGGCTGTCCTGGAACTCACTATATAGATCAGACTGGCCTCTGACTCACAAAAATTGGCCTGCCTCTGTCTCCCAAGTTCTGAGATTAAAGGTGTGCACCACCACATCCAGCTGGAGTTTATCCTCTTAACATAATTCTGCCTGTGAAAGTTGCCTGCCTTGGGCACAAACTCGGTGTACCTGTGTTGTATATAAATAACCTGTGGAATTTTAACATTGACTTTGTATAGAAGTTTTATCTGAGGACACTGGCAGAGCTGACCTCAGCAGAGCTGCACAGCCACATGTGAAAAGGTATGTTTGTACGTATGTATGTATGTGCCCCAGCTGCCAGCTGCCTCTCCACTAGGCTGTGTGCCAGCAAGTGCAGAACCCTTCTCCTTTCCTTTTAGCTTTCACCCACAAGTCAAGTGGTTCCAAAAAGATGATGTGCTCATCTTAAAGATAAAGATAAGGAATGTCAAGGATTATAAGTGCAAATTCTTTACAGATAGAGTCGTTTTCAGGTAGGAGTGTGTATGTGTCTGATACAGTAAAATTGAAATCACATACAACATTTTTAGATGGCCAATTTTATTTCTTATTGAAAACCTAGTGCCTGGGTAGGAAACAAGTTTTACTTGGCTGATATGGAACTTCAAGGTGACATAAGGAAAGATGATTGCAAGTGCATAATCAAAGATGACGAACCTCTCATCACACTTGCAAAAGAGAAGAGGGCATGCTGGTGTGGCCTCCTCAAGCAGAGGGTGAGTTGGTGTGCCTGTGACTGGCTGGTCCTGCCCTTGAATGCCTTGTACTTACTCACCTGTGTCCATTCTTGTGTCACACAGAATCCTAACGTGGCTTTTGACTTTGACCACTGGGAGGAATGTGAAGAGGACAGCCCCTTCTCCAAGGGTGAGATGGGCAGGCCCTGCTCTTCAAGTGGGGGTTGGGGACAGGGAAGTTGGCTGGACACACCAGCTTTTGTTAGGGATTCTACCTTTTAGAAATAAGCTATTAATGAAATTCCTTAAAAATCGGTGTTGCCTTGGTGCTAACTGTTCTGTTATGGACATGTAGCGACCCTTGGTGATGAGCATGCTTCTTTGAGTATTTTGAGTGCAGGGGATGGAGCCCATAGCTTCCTGTACAGTGGGGAAGCATTCTACCGCTCAGTTTCTAAACACTCCTTATAAACTCTTTCACGATGTTCCTTCTTAGAACTGTTCAAGAGCAGCCGCATCTGACCTGCTCACTGCTTGCTTAAATAATTTGAAAGAGCTAGAGCCGCGGGACATTTGCTGCACTGACCAAAGTAATGGGGGGGGGGGGTGTTACGCTGTACTAAAGCATTTCTAATAATACCAACTCTTCTAGTTGTAACTTCTAAAAACCTGTCCTGCAAAGTGGCAGCCTTGGCCGAGAACAGCGGCAGCTCTTCAGACACTGCTGACAGCAGCGAGAGCGAATGAGAGTGTGAATTATTCAGAAGAGTGAGAAGATGAACAAACTGATAAAGCTGTGTGACTGGAAGATAAGGAAACAAGTCATATCTAAACCTTTCACCTTTGAGCGAACTATCACTGTGACACTGGAATGGATGATGAGAAACTCTTAATTGACATCAATGAAAGTGGGGGGCATACCAGCTGATAGATTATGTTAAGAGTGTCAGCAGACAGTCCAGGAATGCTCTGTAGTCAGAGACACAGAAAGTTAGGGACACTTTTGATCCCAGCACTCAGGAGATTGAGACAGGAAGACTTCAAATTTGAAGGCAGCCTGGCATATATAGGGAGATTCTGTTGAGTGACTGTCCCCAAGAGTTTATTTCTTTTTACATCAGAAAGTACTGATGTTCACAGTGGGCATGGTGGCCCAAATCTATAATTCCAGCGTTTGAGAAGGGGAGACCAGGAAGTGTCAGGCCAGCCTGGGCCACATAAGACCTAATGTCAAAAAAAAAAAAAACAAAAAAAAAATAAAAACAAAGAAACACAGATGTCCAGGTTTCAGTAGCCCCAGGAATGAGCCGCTGCACACCTTCCACAAAGTCTCTGGGCTTTCTGTGCCAGCAGCAGGACTGGGCCCACACTGGTTCTTGGTTTTCTCATCTGTAAAATAAGACCTGAGCACATGCAGCCCAAAAGAGTCCACGGGATTGTAGGGTGGGCAACTAGCTTTCACAGCAACTGTGAAGAGGGTCAGACTTGCACCCAACAGTTGGAGGCTGCCGGACTGGGCATCTGCCAGGAACACACATCCTTTGTGATGCTATGACTCTCAGGTTGATTGGCAGGTACTAGAGTGGCCGTAAAGCAAAGTGACTCAAGGCAGCGGAAAGCACACTGTCTTGCTGGAACAATTCAGTTGTGGGCCGGGCTTTGTCGGTGTCTGTCTATACAGATGCAGGTCCACCAGCTGGCGGAGGGCTGCTGTGGCACTGGGCACCGTGCAAGAGGCAGGCTGTCTCAGCAGATACATGGAGACCGTGGGGACACAGCTCTGTTTAAATCACTTTTTTCAGATGGTCACATTTTCCCATATGTAAACCTCTGAGCAACATTTTGTAGAACATAGGAGGCTGGCTATGCAAACAGTCGGCTGTTGATTTTCTGTATTAACCTGTTCTAAGTGGGGTAAATTTCTAAAATGTGAGGTGAAATGGAAATACTTGAGTTTGTGCTCTATCATTTGCTCCCATAGAATTGCATCTTTGTGGTGAATCATCAGTAAAACTCCAGTGTTCTTTTCTTTTTTTTTTTTTTTTAATGTACATTGGTGTTTTGCCTGCATGTATGTCTGTATGAGGGTGTCAGATCCCCTGGAAGTGGAGTTACAGACAGTTGTGGTCTGCGATGTGGGTGCTGAGAATTGAACCTGGGTTCTCTGGAAGAACAGCCAGTGCTCTTAATGGTTGAGCCCAGCTCAGTTCCCCCGGCCATTTGCAGGGGCCACAGACCAGCCGTGCCCAGGACAGGATAAAAAATTGGGAGTGGCAACGGGGGGGGGGGGGGACGGACGACTACATATTTAAAACCCCTGCCAGTGATCTGTAGATCTGAGCAGCATTTTGTGTGGACTTGATTGCCAGTTGCTCCTGTCATCTGCAGAAACAAACACAGCGCCCTGCCTGTGCTCAAGAGCTATCGCTCCAGCTTCGCCCTGTGCCTCATTAAATAGCATGTCTGCAGTGCAGCCTCCCCAACCAGTCCTGTCAGGCAACATCCCCCATTAACTTTTGAGTTTCTGTGCTTTATTTTTAAGACATGGTTTCAGTGTAGCCCTGGGTGGACTACAATGCACTCAATAGACCAGGCTGGTCTCAAAGTCACAGAAATTGGCCTGCCTCTGTGTCCTAAGTACACCTGGTAAGTCTGAAAACATGTTCTTGCCTCTATGGAAGAGCCCTAACGCACAGAATTAGGGATAGCTAAAAATACTAAACGAATAACCTGAATACATGCTTTCACTAAGAAAAACACCAGGAAGAAATAACCACAGATAATTGCTTACAAAAATAAATTGATTGCAGCTTTGGGCTGTGAATGATGGGCTTTTCATTCGGGGTCCTTCTCTGGTGGGACGACTTCCATCAGCATCTGCAGGTGCTTGGTGACTGGACCTGGAACGAAGCCAGGGCGTACGTGCAATTAGAACAGTGTGGCCACAGGGCTTCACTGTCGTGACGGTAGCAATGGGTCATCTAGACCCTGCAGTAAGCGACAGCTCATGTTCACATTGATCAGAACTGCCCTAGTCGTAGCATTGGTTCTTCAGAGGTGAGTTACTGCCTACCGAAGAACTAGGAATTCTGTATTCTTTATTCTCTCCAATGGTTTGCACCCCTGAAAAACATGACTCAGTTATATGTATTTGCTGCTCGGCACTGATGCATCTTGAGAAACTAGGACAAAATTTTAAAATACAAAGTTGTTCATTTTTCTTTTATCACCGTGAACCAATTCAGTGTTTTTTGTGGTTGGTTTGAGACAGGGTGTTGCTGTGTAGCCCAGGCTGGCCTCAGGCATACTCATGACCCTGCTGCCTCAGCCTCCTGAAGGCTGTACTTCCAGGTGTCTGTCGTCAGGCCTTCTAAGTGAGCAGCTTGGTTCTCCAGGCTGCCAGCTGCCCTAGCTGGATGAGCAACTGCAGGTTCACGCCACCTTTCCGCAGCTGAAGAGGCTGGAGCCAGTGATCAGGGAGGGGAAAGATTTTACTCTGGTCAACAGGAGCTAAATTCTCCCTCCCGGTTCCTGTACTCCTGTGCGGTAAGGGAGCTACCCCTCTTCCTGCTTGAATAGGTGTGGGCAGGGAGGGTCTGGTCTGGCTTCGCTCCAGCCTTCCCCATCTGTAGCCCCACTTTACCCCTGTCTAAGTTGCCTGTGTGTCCATGCAGATCTGCCTGGAAAGGCCAGAGTAGCCTACTTCAAAGGCAATATTTCTGTTTTTGTCTCTGTGTAGCCTTCCTGCTCAGCCTCAGTACTGGGATGGCAGGCTCACACTATGCCCGGCTTGAAGAGGCGTTCTTGATTGGTTTGTTGGTTTGGTTTTCTAGAGAGGGTTTCTCTGTGTAGCCCTGACTATCCTGTACTAACTTTGTAGACCAGGCTGGCCTTGAACTCAGAGACCCACCTGTCTCTGCCTACCAGCGTGCTGAGATAATAGGCACTACCACATGCAGCCCAAAGAGACATTTTTTAATCACTTCACACTGTGGCTATATCACACAACACCCTGTGCCTGACTCAGAAGTAAACTGCATAGCCCATCCCTGTCCACAAGGGACACCACACAGGGAGGAGACATCTTAGCGTCCCATCACCACCTGCTGGTGTTCAGGAGCCTTGAAACTTTTGTAAGTGGAGTTTCTTGGGACCAAATTTGCTTTAGACTTTAAAAGTAAGGCATAGCCCAGTGCAGTGATGGGCATCTCGAACACCAGCACCATCGAGGCCGAGACAGATGAGATGGGCCGTCAGCCTAGGTTCCTCAGTGAGACACAAAAGCAGTCTCTTGTCACTGTCGTTTGGCACCTTCCTTTCCATTTAGAGACAGGCTAATGCAGGGATGAGGGCCAGGGCAGCAGAACACAGATGTGGGCCTTGTCCCATGCGTTTCTAGCTACCACTTGGGATATCTTTGGGCTGTTACTGAGCCTCTTAGATGCCTGCGCTGAGTCTGTCAGAACAGTGGCGAGGACTACACAGTGAGATCCTGCTTCAAAACAACAGTAAAAGGCTCTGTCCTGGGAAGACCTCAGCTGATGAGACTATATAGATGTTCTAAAACTACACCCTCAAGGGTGGTCTTAATGGTAAGATGCTATCAATGTGTACTTTGAAGTACGAAATAAACTGGGAACAGAGGACACCAAGGGTGGATCCAGAGGTGGTCACTGGGGAGGATACAGTTCTGAAGAAGTGGATGTGCTGGAAGTGAAAGGCCCTGTGCAGCTGGAGTCGGGTACTTTCCTCATAGCCCTTCTGCTGATACTTACTGGAGATTCTCTCGGCCCATCGGAACTTGTAGTGGACAAAAAGGAAGTAGAATATAAGTCCACTCAGAATGAATAACACACAGTAGAGATATTCCCAGGCTGGCTTACTGATGATCGGGGCCAGGACCAAAAAGACAGATACGAGAATCACAACGACGGGGATGAAGATGGGCACCTGCAAGTGGAACAGCACATCAGCTTGGCACTGCTCATGTTACCCTTGAACAACAATACGAGTGTGGACAAGTCCAGTGCAACTCTGCCCGTCATTTCACCTCTTCCATCTTTGTCTTTGCTGGAATATAACAAAGGATGCAGCTGAGCCCTGTGGCATGCGCCTATAATCTGAGCACTCTGAGAGGCAGAGGCAGGTGGGTCTCTGTGAGTTTGAGGCCAAGCCTGGTCTAGGACCAGTCCAGGACAGCCAAAGCTACACAGAGAAACCCTGTCTCAAAAAAAAAAAGTGGATGCTTATTTGAACTATAAAAAGGAAAGTGCATGTCCACCAAATTAAGGCTTCCTGCTTTCGATTTCCATATTGCCTCCTTTGTCCTGTCACAGATTAGAGAGACTGGGTCATTAATAGATACAGTGTCCAACTCTCCTGTGTTAGTCTCATTTCCTGCAAACAGATGTTTGGAGGTAAAAGGAGAACTTCGTTTGGAACACCGTAGGATAATCACATCTGACTGTTCACGTCCCTTGAGGAGGGGGGCTGTTCAGACCCTGAAGTGAGTGGCTAAGCTCTGAGTCCAGGCTGCTCTGAATCCCTCTTGCTCTAGTCTTCAGGCCTTTCAGTTTCCAGTCATGGATCTGGACCTGATGAAGACTGGGAGGTGCCTGTAAGTTGCCTGTTAGTGTGTTTGATTCTGTTTCTTCTGCAGCTTTGTGAACACAGCTGCACAGAGTAGATCTCTTAGCTGTTATCTCAGAGTTGTGCATTCTGGCTTTTAGCAAGGTGTTGCTGCTTTTTTTTTTTTTTTTTTTGCTTTTTTTTGTAATCTTTGCCTTAAGCAGTGCTTTTGAGTGCTTTAGGTGTTTGATAAGATTACAACACACTTGCCTGGTATTTCTCCCTCTACCCTAAGACAAGGTCTCCTTTAGATAGGTGTATCTCTTGTTGGATTGAGCTCCCAGCAGTCTTCCCCCTCTGCTCCCATAATCACACGGCCTGCATCCTTTCATGGGGTCTGTTCTTCAAGGTCACTGGCTACATAGGAGACTCTGGCTTGCATTGCCTTCTGGTCTGAGTAGTGAACAGCTCTGCTGTTGTCTTTCACCCCCTCCTGTAGAAGTGAATTGGGGATGGAGGCAGGGACAAAAAAGAAGTGGAGCCAAGGCAGTTTTAAAGCTCCATAATTGCACCAAAAAATATTTGTGTTGCTTACAGTACCTCTGGCTTTGCCCTCAAAGTTCCCCTTTCACTGTTGGCTGGACAGTGGAGTCCTACCTCCAGCCATCCTTCCCACCCCGGGGATGTGCAGCTTTTAGAATTGCCCACTTCGCTCTGCTCTCCAGGGACTCTTATGCCTGAATTAGAACCTTGTTGTTGTTGGCTTACTCATTTTATTTTGAACAGTGCTTATTTTTGTCTCCTCCCCATTGCTGGTTCCGTGCTCTTGTGCCCTTCCTTTTTTTTCCTGATGTGTTTTCATACTCAGGTGTAACATGGCCTCCCTGGGGATTTCCTCCCCAGCTGGGTCCTGATGCTCTTCTCTGATTTCTGTCTCCAGCAGTTGTTGTCTTACTTGGTTCCAGAAATGCCTCTGTCCTGGAAAGGAGGCTTTCTTAGACCCTGAGGGATGAAGGCTGCTACATTGCTCTCCCACTTCCACTAGTGGACTGGGGGGTTCTTCTTACTGGGGTCCCACCCAGTGTGCCCTCCTAGAGGATGTGGGCCTGGGTAACTGGTGTTTCCATCCCCAGTCAGGTTGTGGCAATTGCTCATTTGCTCATGTGCTGGTGACACTAGCTCTGAGCTTTCCCCTTAGCTGTTCTATCACTCTGTCTTAATGAGGGGTTTGTGAAGATTACTACCACTGTGATTTGTTGCTGGAGATGTGGATGGATGTGATTAACAGCTCAGATGCACCAAGACGATCAGACAGCTCTAGGCAGCAGAGCCTACAGCTAATTGAGGTTTACCTCAAGAGGTTTACCCTGCTCCTGGCCATGGCAGCCCTCCTTTTGCCTACATTTTTCTTAGATCTGTGCGTATCCAGAAATTAACATGGTTCAGCCTCCTTCATGTGCATGTAGGCATCAGCCATGGGGACATGGGAGGACTGGAGCACACTGTGCATGTACACAGGCTGGGACTAGGGCTGGTTCCAAAGTCCCCATCAGTGTGTAAGCATGTCGAAAGGCCAGGGGATGGGTGGGATGCAGGTCCGCATACAGCTAGAGTGCTGCAGGGGCTTCGTGGGTCATGAGCTGCCCTCGGAAATGAGCAGTCAGAATAAAGAGACGGTAGGAAATGGCTGCCTTCCAGTTCTTTCCAGACACCAAAGCTGCTGTGACAGCCAGACACAGCTTACCTTGATGGGCCTTTCCAGGTCTTTCCTTGTGAATCTCATCACGATGAGTCCTAGGACTGTCATCCCATAAAACAGCCACGCAGCAAAACTGAAGTAGTTGACTAAGGAGTTGATGTCACCGGGGATGATGTAAATGATGGCTATGATACTCTAGGCGAAAGAAGAGTGATGTTTTTGGTTGTCAGTGCACACAAACATTGTCCTTGTCCTCTCAGAAGGCTGAAAGAGCAGCCTGTCCTGACCAGACACTTTCTGTCTCCTACCAGGCGGGCTCAGCCTGGCCAACATGACATACGTTCTCAAGGCTCCACAGGAAGAGATTGGTCAATCTTTGAGCCTATGAAGTTGCACCCCTGCATTTGTGTGCTCACACATACATGCATAGTCTTGCCCAGACTGGCCTGAAACTCATGATCCAAATGCCTTGGCCTCCTGATGCCTTGGCTTCCTGAGTGCTAGGATCACAGGTATAGACCACCATGTCTGACTAGAAGTCATGATTCTAAACAAACGACAATGGACAGTATGTGTGTGTATGTATATGCACACAGCAGCTTTGTAAGGATGATTTTAACGTTGGGACAGTTTTCACTGGGTAGGTGCCTGATGAAATCCAGGTCTCATTGTGACTGTGTATGTAGGCTTGTCCTGGACTTGGCTGTTTACTCATCTTCAGAGTAAGTGGGGAAATGGACATGGATGTAGGGTTCAGGCCCTGAGCCAGGCCTACACATCCCCAGGGGTCCCTGGAGCTACAGGCCTTCAGATCATTTGCTTCCGAATAGATCAGTACATACATGTAAGAAGCAGAGCATATAAGCTGGGAAGATTCTGGGTTGTGTCGGGGAATAAGGGAGCCTGGCTCACACAGAAAGCCCTGGGCTCAACAGCACAGCTCTACTTCATATCAAAGAAAGACCCTCTGCTTTCTCGGTTGTCACCAGGTGAAACGCATACTTACATAAAATATAAGGGCAGGAGCAGGCGTGAGGCGCCTAACACTGATGTACGAGAGCACTTTAAGCATGTGGCCTTCCCGGCCAGCCACATAGATGAGTCTGAAAGAACAATGTGGGGGAGGCACTGAGAATGTATCTGAGGTGCACCGTTGAGGTCGCTGGCAAGGCCACTTCTGGTAGAGTGTCTCTGGAAGGGGCTGGAGGACCATGTGATGGTTAACTGCACCTATAAGGAACACATCCTGGTACCTGGAAGTCAGTAGGGCAGAGGCAGGGTGGACACAGTTAATGAGCAGAGACCTGCTCAACTCCCTAGAGTTATGCCAGAATAAAGTGTAGACACTAGACCAGGGTGTGGAGGCCAGGGCCAGGAAGCAAGGGGCCCCTACCCCTTAGAGTCCCCATGTTCCAAAGGCACATTAGGGCAACTGAAAAAGATTCAAGTGACCCCTTCCCTTCCCCAGTTTTTCCTCATCTGGCAATCAGACAGTTTAAAATATGAAGCAGAGAAAAAGATAAGATCTAAAGTATAAGAAATTGGCCATACTTAAGAATTTAAGAGTACTGGCTGACCTCCCATAGGACAGGAGTTCAGTTTCCAGTACCCTTGGCTGGCGGCTCATTGCCTCTGACGCTAGTTCAAGGGGACCTGATACCTTTGGCACCCCCCACACACTCACAGAAGAAATGAACTGGGAGCTGTAGAGATGGCTCAATAGTTAAAGGGTGTATTCTGCTCCTGTAGAGGACCCAAATGGAATTGCCAGTACACGTGCTGTGTTGGTTACAGCTGCCTGGCTCCAGCTTCCATGCGTATTCCACTCACATGTACATACTGACACATACACACATACATAGAGCAGAACATAAAAAGCTAAATATTTCTCATCAAATATCCTTTGATGTCAGTAAAGAGCACAGTTTCTAGTTACAGCGGCCAAAGGTAACCACCCAAAGCACTTTGGCAGCCTCCTTGAAGTAGCCACTCTGTGAGCTCTTCCTCCTCCCACCCTTCTCCACCCCTTTCCTACTTCCCTTTCAACCCCTAACACCAGATAAGAAAAAGATCCCTGAATAAAGTCAGGGGTTGGAGTCAGGAGTGGGGGGGGGGGGGGGGGGAGGCAACGTTAACTACTTCCTGCTGATTAGAGGCATTGAGTTCCTTGGGGCAAGTTGAGTCTTTGCTGCCAAGATATCTAATTTTTTGTTTCTTCTTTGCGCAGGACTACTTAACAAACCACAACCAATAGCAACCCCCAAACCCATCTATCTGAAAAGTTCCTAGAATTCTGTCACACAATCACAGAAGCTATCTGCAGCTGGCAAGCCCATGCTTCTGCTAGAGCACGAGGCAGATCACAGCTGCTGCACCTGGGATTAAAATAAAAACATTCCCATAATATTTGTTTTTACATAAACCAAAATTCTCACTACAGTCATAATTTAAGAAGAGGTACTGACTACATAAAGGCATATGCTTCAATAAGTTTTTGATAAGGGAAATTTCTACAGCATAATTTTCAGAATTTTATAAGCAACTAAGAAAATCAGCCAAATATTATCTAATATGCTGGTCCTTTATTGTAGGAATAAAATCAGGACTTTGCATATGGTGAGCACAGGCTCAGGCACTGAGCCACACCTTACCCAATACTGCTGCTTTAAATTCATAAACATGGGTTTTACTTTTCTCTTCCAAATACACAACTGGGGTTCTATAACCTAAATAAACTTGTAGAGTTTAACAAGATAATCAACTTATGTGAGCAATTCTATTAGGAATTTACCCAAGATGAAAACAAATATGTTCCACATGAAAATACACACATGAAAAATACAGAGATGAGTGTTCATAACAATATTATGCTTAACAGACAAAAATAGAAATAAAAAAGTTTAACTGATGATAAACACTGCTTACCATACAATGGAGTACTGTTCAGCAGGGGAAAGAAAAGCACTGAGACACTGCAATTTGGATGAACACGGTATCTTGAAAGAGTCAGTCACAAAAGTCATTTCGATGAAAGAGCTGGAACAGTTACGGAGGCAGGAAGCACATCTGCCAAAGTGGGAGATGGAAGGACACTCTTGGAGTGCTGGATATGTTTTAGAACTGGGTCACGGATGATGTCTGCCTGGCTGTACTTCCCACAAGTAGTGAAAGTACAAGAGCAAAAGCTTAGGGAACGTGTAACAATGCGATGTCAGAATTTTATCTGTAAACGAGGCCTGGTGGTGCACGCCTTGAATCTCAGCGCTTGGGAGGCAGAGGCAGGCAGATCTCTGAGTCTGAGGCCGGCCTGGTCTACATAGTGTGTTGCAGGCTAGCTTGGCCTGCAGAGTAGACTCAGAATATTTTTACCTATATACACTGCCAAGAAACGATTGGAAAATCGTTTAAAAACTATGACATTTAAAAACTAAATGTCATAATAGTGTGAAATGCTTTTTTAATAGCAATGCTTTGTAATAAACATGGTGAAAGATGTTTGAGAACTGTCCACTGAGACCTAAGCCCAGTCTGGTATATATAGTGAGTTCCAGGACAGCCAGGGCAATGTAGGAAAACTCTTTCAATAGGTAGGTGGACAGACAGACAGATAGGATTAGATTAGCTTTTAAAGAAAAGCAGGACTCACCCAACTGTTGCCTCTGAGAAATGTATCTCACCATAAAACACACATGATACTTTAGGGTGAAAGGCTGGAAAAGGTATTTTCAAGCAAAAGGTATGGGAAATAAGCAGGTATTCCTGTTCAAATGTATAAGTTGACTTCACAGTAAAATCAGAAGAGACAAAATCACAACACTGATTAAGGGAGCCCATAAAGTGGCAGCAAAGAGAGGCCACAGCACACGCATGGAGGTTGAGCAACACTGTGAATGAGAGTAGAGAAAAAACGGAAATGTAAAATCTCTAACCTCAACACCCTACTTCCGCTGGTTTACACGTTATCCTAGCAAACATACAGAAAAAAATATCTCAATTAAATGACATATAAAACAAATGGACATACTATCTATAGAACACTCCATTAAATCTAGCAGAACACAGTCTTCTCAATGACCCATGGAACTTATCTAAAATAGACTTCATATTAGGACATAAAACAAGTCCTAACAAATAGGAAAATTGAAGTCATTCCTTGTATGCTGTCTGATCACAACAGCAAGAGAAACCTATAGAACACACACATACGTGGAGATTAAACAGCACACTGAATGATGAATGGGCTGATTGAAGAAATAAAAAATGTAAAAAAAATTCCTAACATGAAATTAAAGGAAAACATACTATATTCTATGGGATACAATAAAGATGCTCTGTAAGAGAAGTAGATGGCTCTAAAACTACATTAAGAAATCAGAGGGAGGCGGGTGGGGGGCACATCTCAACACTTAGGAGGCAGAGGCAGGGAGGTCTGTGAGTTCCAGGCCAACCTGGACAAAACCAGAGCTACCCAGAGAAACCCTGTATCCAAAAAAAAAAAAAAAAAAAAAAAGAGAGAGAGAGAGAAAGGCTGGTGAGGTGGCTTAGGGATTAAGAGCACTTACTGCTCTACAGAGGATCTGGGTTCAGTTCCCAGCACCCCACATGGTGGTTCACAATCACCCGCAGCGCTATCCCCAGTGATCCTACACATCTTCTGACCTCCAAGGAATCCTGGTGCGTGCACACACACACACGGGGAAGAGAGAGAGAGTTCTGTTTAGAAATTCTAAAAATAGTCACTAGAGAAAATGCAATAGTGTTAGGAAAACTGGAGATCCATATGTAGACGAATAAAACTAGATCTTTAGCTCAGTCTACACAGACATCAACTCCATAGCTAGGGAGACGATGCAGAGGATAAAGTGAGTGCTGTCAAGTATGAGAACCTGAGTTTGGTCACAGAGGAAACAGCTGCTATAGGGGTAACTGACCACTCTAATTGGACGAGAGACAAAGTCCACAGATAGGAATATACTCCTGACACACTGGGCCGCTCTGAGCCTTAAACAGAGACACTTCTCTTTGCAGTGAGTGGAGGTGAATGCAGAGATGTGTGGCTGAGAATAATACAGGCTCAGCCAGCTCTAAACAGGGTAGTTATACCCCTCCCCCAGAAGAGTCGGCCCTGAGGGTGTGAGTGTGGGGGAGCTGGCCCTGGGGTCATGAGACTGGGAGAACTGGCCATGTCCCTCACCAGCTGCAGCACTCAGGAGAGCAGGCCCTGGACGTTGCCTGGGCGGCAGGGTAAAGCTCATCGCGGTTGATGGGGTTTCGGGTGAGCCAGTGCCAAGGGTGTGAAAGTGAGAGAGCCAGGAGGCTGACGAGCTCAGATACCTCTCGGGCCCAGATCCAGGCTTTGGACCCCACCATCTACCCCATTGCTGAACTGCTGGAGTGTAGGAAGGGACCAGTCCTAGAGATCCAAAACTACAGGATCTCTGTGACACAAGCCAACAACAGGATATCAATGAGATTCCGGAGAGAAAGTGCAGCAGAAACCAGAGGCCTCCTACCAGACCAACGAGTCAGTGAAATGAACATTTGCAGGCAAGGAAGTGTGGACAAAAGAGTATACTGTGCGAGACACCCTGCAGCTTCCACAGTAAGATTTTTTTTCCTCTATGAGGGTGGGTGGGGGTTGCAAGGGTGGAAAGTGGGATGCATAATGTGAAATCCATAGACAACAAAGAAAAAGTTTTTTTCAAAAAAGTTGAGGGGAGAAAAGCCAGGCCTGGAGGCACATTCGAGAGGGAGAGCTGGCTCAAGCGTTAGTGGCTCAAAAACCTTACTGTAAGACATGAACCTGAAAACCTAAGAGGAGAAAGTAAGGAAAACACTCTAAGAAACAGACACCGGGGAGGACTTCCTCCAAAGGACTCTAGTCACTCAAGAAGTAAAACTAAAACTGACAAATGGAAAATAATGAAAGCCAAAGCCTCTGTACAGCAAAGGAAAACAGTTAACTGGATGAAGAGGCAGCCCACAAAATGGGATAAATCTTGAAGCCAGCCGCAGAGGCACACACCTATAATCCCAGCACTCAGGGAGGCAAAGACAGGAAGATCTCTGGGAGTTCGAGGACAGCTTGGTCTACAAAGTGAGTTCAGGACAAGTCCAGGACAGCCATGGCTACACAGAGAAACCTTGTCTTGAAAAACAAACAAACAAAACAACAACAAAATCTTGGCCAGCCACACACTTGACAGTGGATAATATCTAGAATACAAAAAAAAAAAAAAATCACTTAAAAATGAAATTAGAAACATATTTTTTTTTTAATGGAATAATGTGGGGCTGGAGAGATGGCTCAGTGGTTAAGAGCACTGGCTGCTCTTCCAAAGGTCCTGAGTTCAATTCCCAGCAACCACATGATGGCTCACAACCATCTATAGTGAGATCTGGTGCCCTCTTCTGGCAGAATGCTGTATAAATAACAAATAAATAAATCTTATAAAAAAAAGGGGGGGGGATCGTGGGAGCCGGGCATTGTGGGGGCACATCTTTAATCCCAGCACTCAGGGAGGGAAAGGCAGGTGAATCTCTGTGAGTTCGAGGCCAGCCTGGGCAACAGAGCAAGTTCCAGGACAGCCAGGGCTACACAGTGAGACCCCGTCTCCAAACAAACAAAAGTGTTCAACACATGTGGCTGGCTAGAATGATGGCTCCTCCTGTGGAAACAGTTGCTGCTAAGCCTAGCAATGGAATCTGATTCCTGGGGCTCACAAAAGAAGAGAACTGACCCCTGAAAGTTGTACCGACCTCTCCGTGTGTATCACATGCCCACACAGATACGCACGTGCACATATACAGACAAATGTAATAAAAACAATTTTAAGTTCTAATAGAAAACAAAAAAATGCTTAACATCCTTAGTTATGGGGGAATGCAGCTGAAAACTACTCTGAGATTCCATTTACTCCAATCAAGATGACCACTATCAGGAAAACAAATATCAACAAATGCTGGCAAAGGTTTGAATGAAAGGAACCTTATTCATGCCGTGGGACTGTAAACTGGTAGTCACTAAAAATCAGACAACTAAAACAAGATCTTCCATACAGCTCAGCGCTCACACTCCGGGGTCCATCCCCGAAGCATCTAAGGATCATGCTGCAGAGATAAGTTCACATAGACGCCTACTGCTGCTTTACTGGTGGGTATCGCAAAACTGCTAAGAGTTGGTGTGGAATGTTCTCACCAGAAGGAAACAATGAGCATGGAAGGTGATGGATAGATTAATTTGCTCATTTCTATAGTACATACAGGTATCGTAACATCATCCCATTGTAGCTCAGAAACACATGCATTTGTTTGCTAATTAGAAAAGATAATTTACACATAAAGACCCCTAGCCTAGCCAAAAGTGGTTTTCTTTCCCTCTGTCTCTCTCCCTTCTTTCCCTGCCTTGCTAGGGATGGACCACAGGACCTGGAGCACAGGATGCAAGCAGTCTACCGTCTGATCTGCTCTGATCTGCGCCCCGAATTCAAAGCGCTCTGTGAAAAGGTCTGGGGACAGAATCTATGCACACTTCCCTGAAGCCTTGAAAGAATTGCTTTGCGGTGTGTATTCACTTCATCGTGTGACGTGTGGCACACTGGAAAGTCTGTCCATTCAGAGCATGACCCTGAGCAGAGATGTTCCGGAATGTTTCCCCACAGCAGCGTGCAGAGACACCCACACGTGGATACCAGGGGGTTTGTTAAAGCATGTGCCTTGCAAAGGGAAACCGCACAGCTGTTAACTGTCCGAACCTACTCGGGTGCCCAGCCCAGCGCTGTGCGGGGGGGCCCATGGAGTAGAGCTGTGATAGGGACTGGCACCGGCTACAAGCCTACAGCATTGGCATCTGCCCGTTTTCAGGAAGGCCTGTCCTGGCCAAGTTTGGGTATGTATTAGCAGGACAGAATGTTCAGGAAGGATCATCAGGGGAGAAAAATGAAACCTAGGAAGTGCCACCGGAGGCCAAGCCTTGTTCTCTTACAGCTGTCCCTAGGTTAGAGCCCAGGTCCTCTGAACTGCACAAGCCACGCCCAACTCCATCCAGCATGGCTGCCTACCCGGTCCTGGATGCTTTGAGGTTCAACCCACGTTGGAGGTTCAGCCCCCACGTGGGGTTTAACCTGCCCGAGTCCTGAGGATGTAAGGGGGTCCACTTTCCTGCCCCCTGCCCACCCCGAGAGTGGAGAAGGTGGGGTCCCCTACCTGCCCGCTGTGAAGCAAGTCCCATTAGCAGCACCGATAGTTGAAAATGCCACAAAAAGTGGGACCACCCAAGATGCTGGGTAAAGAACGCGGTCTCCGAAGGTCTGGAGGAAAGCAGAGCGCAACCCTGAGGGGTTTCACTGGGCACCCACACCCCCATGTCACTTCACTGTGCACAGCCTTTGGGGCCCTCTACTGGAGAAAAGGGAGAAGCCTTCCGAGCAGCCCAGTCTCTGCTGATGACAGGACCCTGGCCCTTGCCCTCTCGGTCATCTTACTGTCCTGCCCCTCACTTCCTGGTCCCACTTCACTCACCTCAGCTCCTGGAGGAACCTCACTTATCTTATTTCTTGGCCCCACCTCACCTTAATTACATCAATTGCTGGCCCCACCTTTTTACTTCTTTCTTCCTTGATCCCCTTACTAGGCATGACCTTGCTTTAACCACCCTTCTCAGGGTTCATGGACTTTTCTACCATCCTAACTACCCTGGCATCCTTACTCAGCAGCGGTCCCACAATCCATTGCTAAAATCACCTCCTCCCCCTCCTCTCCTTTCCCTCCTCCCCTCTTTCTCCTCTTCCTCCCCTCCTCTCCTTCCCACCCCCTTCTTCCTTCCCCTCCTCTTCCTCCCCTCTCACTCTTCTTCCTCCTTTCCTACCTTCTCTCCTCCTCCCCCTTCTCCATCTCCTCCCCTTCCCCTCTTCCTCCTCCTCTCCTTTCTCATCTCCCTCACCTTCCTCCTCCTCTTCACTCATTTGTACTCTCCTTCCTAACCCTGGGGACTCCAGCCCAGGGTCCTTCAGCCATTGCTACATGTGCTGGGAGGGAGGCTGAGGACCTGGGAACCATGGCCAGCTCTGTGTTGGCAGTATAACCCACTACCTTTGGCCCCCAGCCTAGATGTGTACCCTATCTGTCTTCTCTCCTTCCTTTCCAAGGTCACTGCCACAGCCACTTACCACAGCCACAGCCTGAGACTGCAGGAGCTCTGTTGGGGTCATCACCGTGAAGTAGGCAATATTCATGAGGATGTAGCACACTGTCACCAGGGGGATCCCGAGGACAATGGCCATGGGCAGGTTTCTGAGAGGGACAAAGACACAGGAACCCAGGGTCACACCGGAGCACCCTGGGAAACTGGTAGGACTGACTTCTCATCTAGTCTGTTCCTCCCTGCTTCCACTCTGGAGCACACTGGGGGCCCAGGTATCCTTCTTGGGGCCAGCAAGCAGGGATCTGTGATGAAGTGGCCCCAACAGAGACATTTTTCAAAGGCTCCTTCAGGGCAGGAGGACACAGTGGCTTAATGTGAAGTAAAGCAGAGATAAAGAAAGTCACTGTTTTCCTTCCTACTCCCAGCCATGCCACTGGCCAACAAAGACAAGCGCACTAATGGGGACATTACTGAGTACATGGGGTATTGCTGTTCACCCAGGGCCAGGGGCACGGCCCATGGATACCACACTTGCTGGCACGCTCAAGGCCCTGGGTTCCACGCCCACAGGGGTAGAGAGTAGGAGTCTAGTGAGCAGAAGAGGGTCATGAAACAACAGAACAGTAGAAGGAGGCAGCAGCTGCACTTTCTGCCTCACAGAGGAAAAATGTGCTGTCAGAGCACCGCCTCCAGCTCTGTGCAATGCTCTTACCTGTAAGGGTTTCTGAGCTCTTCAGTGATATAGTTGAGTTGGTTCCTAGACAAAGAAAAGTAACAAGGGCATCACTTGCTACAGGACTTTCTTGGCTAAGTTTGTGAAGCAATGATAAATGATGGCTCACTTTAAGACTTCTACTGTAGGAGCTAAAGGTATGGCTCAGCATCTGCCTGCCTGCCTAGAATCCCAAAGGAAGGGGCTGGGGGCATGGCTCTGTGATAGAGTACCTGCCTAGAATTCCCCAGTGAGGAGCTGGGGGTGTGGCTTAGCAATAGAATGCTTTCCTAGAATATGCAAAGTTCTGGATTCCATCCCCTAACATTAAAAATAGAGCAAAATAAAATAATACAAAGAATGGTAATTGCTGAAGAAAAAAAAAAAAGCCATAAAGAGCTTTTCCACAACAATGCAGAGTAACATTTGCCCCATAGATCCTAGTGGTGACAGGCCTCACAACTGCCAAGAGCTAGGTGTCTGTCACTGGGTGAAGTCTTTGTTCTCTGTGGAAATCACGTGAATTTTCAAAACTATTCAAGGTACTTTGAAAAACTGGAAAGAGGTTGAAAGAAGGATGAAACCTATACCAGTGGGGAGGGGGGGGGGGGCAGCATCACCGTGGCCATGCTTCTGCTTTGAGGGACACACACACAGTCCATCTCATGTCTTCAGGAATGCTGTGGTAGGGCTGTTGAACACCCTTGGTCTTATCAGGTATTTCTATTCGGCTCAGACAGGATTCTCCCGGTAAAGGTTCTAAACAGGGCTTTGCCAGCCACCCCCTCATGGGGCACTGTCAGGAGCTGGTTCCAGTTCCAGGCTAGGAAAGGAGCAAGGGTCTTGACCCCACGCTCTCTCCACGGGGTCAGAGGGATATGGGAAGGTCACATAAAAGAACTGTGAAGGCAGAGCTAAGAGGGTGTCACTGAACCCCAGAAAGGAGACATCTTTGATCCTAAAAGACATCGTAGGAGACTTGGGGTGTTTTAGGAGACCTTACCACCCATCGTAGGCCCACAGTCCATTGTAAAACGCCAGGCTGATGGCGCCCACAGAGGTCTGCACACCCTCGAAAGAATTCTGAAAGTTCTTTGTGTTTCCTGAAATTAAGCCAGTGAAGAGTGAATGCATTGCAGGGTATCTGACCCCATTGTGAACCCTGGAATTGTGAACCGTAAAAACCTGTTTCTTGTTTGGTGTGGCTCAGCCTAGCACACACCCTGTCAAGAGGCAGAGTAAGAAGCCAGCTGACAGGAATTAAGTAGAAAGGAGGGACTTTGAAAGAACTAAGCCTTTTGGCTTCTTGGGCTTTGGCTTTGAGTTTTTGGTTTTTAGCTTTTGGTTTTTGGCTTTTTCCTTCCAGATGTGAGCTGAGAAAGAAGGTCAGCTGGGCACTTTCTCTGACCCTCTGAGCAAGCAGATTTTTATCTGGCTCCTACATCTTTAACTGGTAAAATCAAACGATTTGGGATTTTTCCATCCTTTAAAACACTGTGAATGTCAGCTGACCAAATGCTGACTTCCTTCCCCTCTCTACCAGAAAGAAGGGTATGACTTATGACCCCTGTTCATTAAAGGAACCCCAACTACGCATGGAAGCACATGTCTGGTGTCCCAACACTCAGGATACTGAGGCAGGAGCATCTCAAGTTAGAGACAAGCCTGGCCTATATGGTAAGTTCCTGTATCAGTCATAAATAAATAAATAAATAAATAGATATCAACAAGCAGGCATGGTGGTGCATGTCCTTAGTCCCAGCATTCTGGGAGGGACAGGCAGGCGGATGTGAGTTTGAGGCCAGCCTGGTCTACAAAGTGAGTCCAGGACAGCCAGGGCTACACAGAGAAACCCTGTGTAGAAACCAATAAGCACGCATAAATACAAAAAGCACACATGCTCATAACCGAGATTGCTCCAGAGGACAAAGAGTCACATGCCAGGTGGGGCCCGGTGCCCCAGCCCGCCGCAGCTCACCTTGGGCCAGGAAGACCAGTCCGCTGATGATGATGATGGCCACGATCACCAGCTTGGCTGCTGTGAAGATGTTCTGGACGTAGCTCCCGAGCCGCACGCTCAGCGCATTCACTGTAGTGATGAGCACTGGGAAGGCCCAAGTAGGGTAACCTTCTGTATGCATGGCTTTTCCCAAGGTCCTGAAGATTCCCTCTTTTCTATTCCTCCACCCTGACCCCCCATGCCCTCAACGAAGGGAGCGGAACTAAAAAGCTAGCGTCAGCACCGTTAGAACACACTAGTGTTGGCCCCTGAAATCAAGCCCAGTCTCACACCATGAAGGAGAAGCAGCCTGGTCCTGGACAGGGAGAGCCCCCTCCCTGCAGCCCCCACAGGCCCCACCGGGTTGCCCAACGCCTGCTGGGATAGTCACCATCCCTCGCAGGCCTGCCGTGCCTCTCCCTGAACAGAGAGCCGACACTGGTCACGCAGAACCACCCCACCTTCCCCAGCCTGGCACTCACAGATGGCGGCGGCAGCCAGGAGTTTGATGACCACCTGAGGAGGCTTACAGCCCAAGTAAAAGGCTGCACACACATACTCGGAAAAGCTGAGGCAGATGATGGCGAAGGACGAGGGCTTCATGACGATCAGGCTGGTCCAGGAGAAGAGGTAGGCAGGGATGGGGCCAAAGGCCTCCATCAGGTAGGGGTACTCGCCCCCTGATTTGGTGATCATTGTGCCAAGCTCTGCGAAGCACAGGGCACCTGGAACACAGAAGAAGGAGCCCATGCCTCGTGAGGCGCCATCCCACTCCACGCAGCCTTCCTCCTCTGGGTGCTCGCATTCTGGCTGCTGGGCCTTTTACTGCAGCCAGATTCAACATATTCGCCACACACCCCCTGGAAGGGACCCAACCAGGCAGGCTGCTGCAAGCCTATAACCCTGGCACTTGGGAGGATTGGCAATTTGCGAGCAGCCTGGGCTCTCCTCCGTGCCTGTGTGGCTCGTCTCCACTGTCGATGGGGAGAGGGGGCGGTCATCAGGGGTTGTCTCATTACCAAGTGTAGCCAGGATCCCACAGGCTGCCCATACGATCAGACAGGGCCCCACGGATTCTGTGTTGGCCAGCACAGACTTGGGGGAGATGAAGATCCCGGAGCCGATGATGGTGCCCACGATGATACAGATGCCGCTGAGGAGGCCCACCTGCGTGTGCAAGGGTGGAGCTTATTCTGCCAGCAGGGAGCTCACAGCCACAGGTGACTGCCGACACACACAGCCTGGTGTGGCCAGAACACCCCCCCCAAAACACACACACAGCCTGGTGTGGCCAGAACCCCCCCCCGCACACACACACAGCCCGGTGTGACCAGAACAACCCCCCCCCCACACA